GGCATTGTTGTTGTGTGGGCAGTACAGTAATTGGGCCATGAGTGGATGACACAGCCAGCCAGCCAGCGCTGTATCGTTCCAGTGGTGAGTGTTGTGAGCCTTCGATCGTTTGCGAGGCGGCAGGGCAGGCAGGCCTACTCGGCGTGCATGGGCTGATCAACTCTGGCTGGTGTGGCTTTGGGGGCGATCTGGTGGTTGGTTAAGTGAGGGAGGGAGAGAGGCAGTGAGAGGGGGATGGGTGGGGAAGGGGGAAAGGAAGCGAGTGGCCGGGCTGCTGGCTGCCTCATTTGCTTGCTGTGCTCTGTGGGAAGGGGTAAGTCCATCCATCCACTGGGATCGACTCTCGCCTTTCCTGCCTGTCCTTCATTGCTCTCTGGCTTTTGGCCACCGGCTTGTCTGAGTGAGCGGGGCTGTGGACGGCCCGGCAAATCACCGTCGCTGGCCGGTGCACGTCTACACGTTTGTCATCTGACCCTGGGACGTGCCGCTTTTCTCGGTTGGCCATTTTGGCGCTGCTGGCTGGTGGGTGCAAAGCGACACGAGCGAAGGCCCATCAGTCATTCAGCTGTTGTGGTGCAGTAGAACGCCGGACAGATGGATGGAGGGATGGATGGATGGATGGGAGGCAGGCAGGCAGGTGTTCGCTTCCAGCAGAGCGCCGTCTGTCTGCTGAGAAGGGAGATCTTGGCGGCTGCAAGTCTCGTTTTGTTTCTCGTGTGAGGTGGTGCGTGACCACAGTGAGTATTGCGCTTCATGACAAGGGAGAGCTCTTCTGGCTGGTCAGTTGGCGGGGGGCTGGGCTGATCAACTTCGGGGGTTTCTCTTGGCTCGCAATGGACGGTGCTTTGCTGTGTTGAACCTTGCTTGGCAGGGAGTGGGTACGGGAGACATTGAACTAATGCTTGCACGACGCTGTGAATGGTAAATGGTACACGGTACAGGAAGCACGTCCAGGTCAAGAGGAGAGAAAAGCTAAAAGTCAGCTGACATGCACACACGCATTGCGCGGCGACGTGCGCCACAGCTAAGGCAGCCCTGAGTCAGACCATCTGTCTGTCTGTCTGATCTAGCTAGCTATCAACACACCACCGCACCCACCCATGCCCCCTCCCCGTATGTCAACATGTCCCTCTAGGCTACACACAGGCAGGATGACGTCTGAAATCACATGCACCTGCCACTACACAAGAGCTATCTCACACACGCAGACGCACACACGTGGTGTCAGTCGGCCTGCTCGCTACATGATGGCACACCCCTCTCTGCGGGTCTCGAGCTTGGTGAAGGGGCGCACCGTGTCCACGCCCAGCATGAGGATGAGGCGCGTGGGTGTGTGGTGCATCAGCTTGTATCGCAGACACACAATGATGAACTGGCAGACCGGCGGACAGACAGACAGACAGAAAACACACCAATGACACAGACACACAAGTACATATCAGGTGCGGTGGGGGTGTGGTGTGCCGCCACACATACTTTGGTCATGGTTTGCCAGAGATGGCCCCTCTCCGTTCCGACGTCGGCCGCCACTGTGAACAGACTCGTGACAAACTGGTGAAGCCGAAGCACACACACCAGATCCTGCAGACAGGCAGAGAAACAACTGGGTGGACTCACACGCACACACACATGATGCTCATCGTACGAGTTGCCGGTGCCAATTGCCCCTCGCCATTCGCGACACGATACACGCCAGGAACCGATCCCGACTGACGCCTCGCCGCTGCGCATCAAGTGCACACACAGAGAGGACAGTGTGTGTGTGTGTGTGAGTGTGTGTGAGCCAATTGCCTACCCCGAAGTAGGCTTTGCCCTGCTCGAAGTTGGTCATGAGGCTTTCCACAGTGCCGCCGGGGTCTTGACCGAAGCGATTCGGGGCGACGGTCTTGAGGATGCTGTAGTGTGTGCTGTAGTGGGCGTGCGGGCACTCGAGGAAATGCAGCACGGTGAACCAGGGCACCTGATAGAGGCAGCCACGACACGCATCGATTGACAAAGGACCATCCAGTTCTTCATCCACGTGTGCGGGGGGTGCTTACCAGGAACCACACGATCGGATGATCGGTGAAGTCGATGAACATGGTCGCCAGGCGCCCGCCCTCGACGTACTGGCCGAAGTGGATTTCCGCCAGATAAATGAGGTCGACCATGAAGTCAACCGTCTCCCTCAGCGCAATCAGCAGACGCGGATATCGCTGGCACACACGTGACACACACACATGCACAGAGATGGATCCATGGATGGATGGATGGATGTGTGTGTGTGCTGCATGCCCACCCCTCCCCCTCCCGCCCGTCTCTCTGACATGAAGCCACCCATCCCATCCACCTTGTATAGCATGGCATCGTCACACTCGACCTTCAGACTGCGCACACGGTACATCAGCTCGGCATTGCGGTGCAGCTGTGGGTCGATGTCGACCAGGTCGGTCTCCGCCAGATGCCGCAGCAGCCTGACAGACACACCAAGTGGTTGATGTGGGAATGTGTGTGTTCTGTGTGTGTGTATGCGCACCCCCGATATCGGTCGTAGGCCTCATCCAACGGGGCAACAAGCCCGAGGAACATCTCACACCCAGGTAGCGACCCTGCAGAGGAGACACCACAGACGAGTGTGGGTGTGCTGTGTGTTGCCCTCGCCCTCGCCCTCGTCCCTATCCCCCACCCCCGCGGGGCCCCACGTACTTGCGTTGTTGCGGATTCTCCTGCAGAAGACCATGAGGTCGTTGTCGATGCCGTGCCGTTCCGGGTCCATACGCAGCACCACACACATGACGCGAATGAACCGCCGCAGCACCTCCCGCGTGTCCACGGCCGCTGCGTCGGTGTTGATCTCATACATGATGGCCTCGGTGATGGGTGCGACTGCCTGGCAGTTGATGGCCATCAGGTCGAGAATGTGGCGGCGCTCGAAGTCGGCCCAGCAGCGGTCGAGCTGCTCTAGTGCGGGGGGGCATCATGGCCTGCATCTCGCCGATGGCGGGCTGCTGGCTGTAGGGTGAGTGCTGGCGAAGCTGCACGAGAGACGCCAACAGGAGACACACAAAGGCAGCGGGACAGAGGATGCGTCGCCCGTTCATCCGTCCTGGTTTCTTTGATGCGTGCAGTGTTTGCGTACGGTGGCGACGAAGGCCTGCCACGCCGCCACGAGCTGCTGCGCCGACTGGCGGACCCGCTGTTGGTGCATGTAGACGAAGCCATTGAGCTGCACCGATGAGTGCCTGCAGCCATCCACACACACGCCAGTGACACACAGACGATGCATTGATGGACGGGTGGTGCGTTCCCTCCCCTCTCCCCTGCAGCTCCTTACATGTTGTAGGCGACCAGCAGTATGTCCACACGATATGTCTTAACGCCCGGTGCAAAGGCGAAGTTGAAGTTGACGCTGAAGTTGAGGCGGTAGGACCGGTTCACCATGACAATCAGCGCGCCCGCAGCCTCATCCTGCACCATGCACCACACACGCAGGCACAGAAACACAGAAACACAGAAACACTGATCCATGCAGTGCACCCTTCACTCAGACCCGTACCAGGCAGTTCCAGAAGTCATCCCGGTGTATCTTCTGGAAGGCGTTGAGCGGATAACTCGGCCGGCCATTGTCCTCCAGCCGGAGCTGCCGAAACTGGCCCAGCAGCTGGGCCAGTTTGTGAGCACTACCAGCGGTCAGAAATGCCGACATCTTCTCAGGCCTTCACCGCCAACGGTGCAGTCGCTCTCTCACAGCCGACAGGAGAGCCGAAACAGCAGCAAGGGATGAGCCAGATCGTCGTTGATCTCGCAATTGGATGGTCGGTGAATAGAGTTCAGACGGGCGCAAGAAGGGCACAAGGAGCGGGTAGTGATGACGATGAAGGCAATGCATTGATACGTCTGGTGCATCTGTGTGGCTGCTTGTCATTCTGCAGGAAGGTCTTTAGCGTCGGGCATGATGGCGTCGAATCAGCCTGTCGACCTTCGTCAGCTGACGTACCTGGGCCCTAACCCATGGTGAGTGCAGCGCCTCCAGCTCCCACCATCTTTGGTCCTCCATTGTCATCTCCTTTCCTTCCTGTTTCCACCTCATGCAGGATAACGCGAGACCCCAATTGGCCTCCCTGTGGGTGAATGTCCACGCCACGCACGAAAGAAGGAGAGAGATGCGCATTCCATCCATTCAAGTATCTGTGTGTGTCTGCGGATGACCTCACCGTCGTCAGGCCTGTTGTTGGACGGAGGCGGCCAGCTGAGCGCCTGCGGCAACTACTTCGAGCACCGAGACCCTCCCATTCCGCCCGGCAGTCGCCGGCAGTCAGTGGCGCCTGACCGCGAGTACGCCCGTAGCGACCGTGTGGTGCCGTCCTGTCCCGACGAGTGGCTGGCTCCCGACGGCGCTCCCGACCCCGAGATCATCAAGCGGCACATGTACCCGTGGAAGTATCTGCAGGGGCAAGAGGAGGGAGAGGCTGCTGGGGCTGCCGCTGGCCCCGCGGCCGGGGCGGGGGCGGGGGTGGGAGGGCAGGGAGAGGCTGCTGGTGCTCCTGGTCCCAGCCAACAAGAGGCTCCTGCTGAAGTGGCGCGTGCTGGCCAGCAAGAGGCCCCCCCTGCTGCTGTAGTGGCGCCGTAAGCAGGGGAAGGGATAAAGTGAGGAGATGGCATGTTGGGCGGATGGATGGGTGATTGTGGGTGTCGTGTTTGCAGGCAGGTTGTGCGTTACGTTCCACCAGTGCATCCGCCGGTGCTGCCCGTCCGACCTCCGGCAGGGTGATAGACAGACAGACAGACAGACAGATACCCAAATGCTGTGAATGGCTTGCTTGGTCTCAGGGTGGTCCCGCATCCGGTGCTGCACCCGTTTCGACCGCCTCCTGCCGCCATGCCGCTGCCAGCCGGGTATGTCGCCAAACACACAAGGAGGGAGGGAAGAGATGGAGGAACTTGCTTGTATCCATCCCGCAGACCCTTCGCGGCCGGCGGGTACCAATACGCGCCCGTCCCCCCTCAGTACCACACAAGACCGTAAGAACACTGGCAAACATGACATCAACCAATGGATAGACAGATTTGCCCTGCATGGCTTGTGCAGCTTCGCTCCACTCATTGCGGCGCCGATGCCGATGGTGCGCTCGGCCTATGGCGCGGCCCCACCCGTCCGTGGGCAGTTGATCATGCAGCACAGTCCAGCGGGCTACCCACACCGCCCATAGAAGTCGCTCTAGCGCAGCACCACATTGGGGTTGGAAGGGGGAAGGGGGGAGATTAGCGCGTTGTGGGGTTCAGACGGGATGCTTAGGCTTGGGGGAGAATCTTCTAGCGGTGATTGCGCTGCCTTGCTGGTCTGCCACAGACGTACGTGGTGGGCCAGCTGACTGACTGACAGACAGACTGACTGACTGACTGACAGACTTGCAAGCTTTGATGGCATAGCCATGTTGCCTGCCTGCCTGCCTATGTGTGTGTGTGTGTGTGTCAATGACGACTGAGGCACATGGGATGGACCGACCGATGAACGTAGCGTGTGCAGAGTGCGTGTGTGCAAGAAGTGGCGGTGAGGGAAGAAATAACCCATCAGTCCAATTCACGCGCAGCACAAGTTACCAAGCCACCCAACCGAGTCCTTCTCACCCCACAGCGGCACCCGAAGATAGGCCATACCGTCCAGCAGAATCGCAGGTCAAAACCAACGGCCCGTTACCAGGCTCTCATGCAATGTAGCCTGCCTGTCTGTTGCCGACCGACCAACAACCAATAAACAAGTCCCTCCCTCCAAACGATCTGCCTGGCTCGCCAACCGATACACACATGCGTGTGGGGTGGTGTGTTGAATCCATTTGGCCATGCACTCCATTACAACGATTGCTGGCCGGCTGGCTGCATCGATCACACCAGCTGTCTTGATGACGGCTGCGCTGCCCACAACCGATAAACAATACGCTTTACCCCCTCGACCCCTCTCCCCGAGCTGCCTGCCTGCCTGCCTGCCAAGCGGCCAACCATCGCTGGGTGTGGTGTGGTTCGCCAAACCAAGGATGGCCCATGAGGAAAAGCAGCACAGCAGAGTCCAGCACAAAGCGAAGACATCCATTGGACGAGAGTCGGTCGAGAGAGCGCTTCTGCCGTCCACTTAGCCTCTCACGATAAGTGCCTGCGGCTGTGGCTGTGGGTGCGGGTGATAGTGGTGGTGGTGTGGTGGGAGTGGGTGGCCGGGCATCGGCCAGTGGCGATACTGGGCCTGTGAGGGGGGCAGGAGGGAGGGGGGCGCGAAGTACACGGCCGGCATCGGCGCGTTTGAGGGGGGCGGGGGCGTTGAAGGTGTGCGACGGGCCGCTGGCACATGCTGTTGGGACGGTGCAGCTCGGGTGCTGGTGGTATCAGGGTGGGGATGGGACGGCGTCTGTGTGGAGGGCAGTGTCCATTGCCCAGACGGGGCAAACCTGCATGTAGACACAGTAAGGCAAATGAGATCAGTAGCCCCCCAGCTGTCTGTTGCGTCTTTGCTGCGTATAGGTGTACTGACCATTGATGCCTGAGCACTTGTGCGATGGATGGCCGCATGCGGGGGTCTGCCGCCGTCATGCTCTCTATCAGCTGCCTCACGTCCGCCGAGAGGTCCGTCCTGTAGAATGGTGATGGCTTGGGCGGCGGCTGGTGGAGGTCTCGGGTGGCCGGGTCGTGGCCGAACTCCAGCAGCACCCGCAGCATCTGACCCAGTGAGAAAACCGTCGACTTCTCGGGGTCGACGAGGGCACATGGCGTGGTTGCCTGCAGGAATGGCACAGAGGCACACCTCATGTCTGTAAGCTCTCTCTCTCTCCTTGTGTGAATGTCTGTCTTGCCTCAGGTGACTTGTAATAGAATACCCCCCGTGGCTGCGGTCCGGCATTCACGAGACCACCCCCCTGACGACACACACACACACACAGTGGGCGGCATACTGACTGCTCCCCCTAAGTGCACCCCGTACGCACCAGGCGAGCTGCGAAGAACTGTGTCGACTCGAAATCGATGAGCTTTGGCCTGTCGTTGGCGTCGAAGACGATGTTGTTGAGGTGCTCATCGCTGAGATATACACACAGACACGCAGAAGTCCACACAGGGCTCATCAGTGGGATCTCTTCCATCCCTCTGTGTCAGTGTTTTTCTGGCGTGCGCCCACCCGTGGTATATCCCCTTGGCGAGCAGCTTGGCGTACGCGTCAGCGACGGGCCGCATCCAGGCCCTCATCTGGGCTTCTGTCAGGACTGATCGGCCGAGGGTGTCCACATGGCGGGTGGCCAGCCGCTCGAGCATGTTGCCACCTGGCAGCAGCTCGAACTCCATGTGGCTGACCTGGCCCATGTGGTACACCTGCATAACACACAGAGATAGAACAGCCCCACACACAAGTCAAGTGCCCACCCATCAAAGGTTCCTTTCATGGATGTGCCCACCTACCCTCTTGAGATCCACGACGCCGTCGATGCCCTTGGCGGCCTCCAGAGCCCGAATCTCGCGCTGCAGGCGTGGCATCCAATCGCTCCCATCGCCCCCCGCCTCCACCAAGTCCCGGTTGGCCACCGTCCGCAGCGCCACGACCTCCCCAGTGGCCTTGTTGCGGGCCTTGTGGACAGCAGCTGCGGCCCCCGCGGTGATGGCGCCCAGCCACTCCACCTGGTCGTGCGGGAAGTGGCCGATGTCGTTGAAGCCCCAGGTCATATCGAACTGGTCGACGGCCTCCGGGGGGTCGCAGGGGGGCGGCACGCGGGAGCACCAGTGCCCGAAGCGGGGGGAGGGGCGGGAGAAGAGATGGCGGCAGATGCACGCCATCGGTGGATGGATGGATGGATAGGGGGGATGAGCGAAGGGGGAGGAGGGGGTGACGGGTTCCGAGGTGTTGGGAGAGGGAGAGAAAGAGAGATCAAGTGGCGAGGAGTCGAACAGCTGCCACACAAGCCGCACACAGGGGGGAAGATCTGCGCCAAGCTCGCACGACAAGAGGGCATTGTGTGAAACCGTTCTCTCTGGGGAGGGGAGAAATGCATTAGTCCGTAACATGACAGTATCCCCTCCGGGTTTTTACACCACACCAACGAAACCAAACCGAGTCCATCTATGACATATTTGTTCAGGTAGGGATCCCACAGATGGGGAGAGATTTCTCTGTGGGTACACACACCACAGTGGACAAGCACCACACACACACACACACGCACACGGACACATGCACGAATGAAAAGACGCCATTGCATCCTTTGGATGCGCACACAGCGGCTCGTCGGGACTCACAAGGCCACGTCGTCTGCACAGACGTTCCGAGAGAGAGGGAGAAATTGAGGAGGCCGTCATGCACACGCTTACGCAAGATAGGATTAAAGCTGTGCTATGCTGCGAGGAGTGTCCCTGATATCCCACGAGGGAAGCAAACAAGTGATACTGCAACGGTGGCCCGAATACACGACTGGTCCTGAGACAGAACGATTCCACAGCACATGACAGGCGATGATGTCTCTTTCTCTTCATCTTGTGTCTCGTGGCAACGTACTCGGCGAGGTGCGCCACACAAAGCATCTCTTGTGTCTCCTCTATATTTGTCACCACACAACCACCTCTGCATATCGTATCGTCAGACATGCCCTGCACGCAGAGATATAATGGACAAGCCCCGTCAATGCAACGCGGTGCATCTCACCTTCACATCAGAATGCACGGCAAAGTGTTGAAATGTCCCGGGCAAATATAAAATGTAGCCAGCGATTTGGCCCCTCCGCTGTCTGTCCAGCTGACTGTCCACATGAGCCGTGGGTGCACGGGGTGTGTCCAAGTCTGGTGAGACAAAGCATACCTGCCAATTGATCAGACTTCACGTCGGGCGACAGGTCGGCCCTGTGGAAGGGCGAGGGGGTGGGCGGCTGGTGGAGGTCACGGGTGGCGGAGTCGTGCCCATACTCGAACAGCACGCGGAGCATCTGGCCCAGCGAATACACAGTGGCCTTCTCGGGGTCATACCATGCGAAGGGCATCGCAGCCTGTAAGCAGAAATGACATTAACAGTGTCTGCCTGTCTGTCTGCCTGCGCCTATCTTTGTGCGCTTGCCTCTGGCGCATTGAAGTATCGGACGCCTTTGGGATTTGGTCCGCTGTTGACGGTTCCGCCCTGGCCGACAGACAGACAGACATGATCGGTGAGCGAGCGAGCGGGCGGCGGGTCTGCATGTGTGGCTGCCGTGTCCACTCACCTTGGGGAGGAAGAACTGGACCATCTCGAAGACTATCAGCTTCGGCCGATCCTCGGCGTCGAATACGACGTTGTCCAGGTGGTGGTCGCTACAGCAAGCACACACACACACACACACACACCGTCAACCCATATCTTGACTGTCTGCCTACGGGGGTGTGTCACCCACACAGATCATACCCATGATAGATTCCTTTGCCCAGCAGCTCGCCGTAGGTCTCGATGATCGGCCGCATCCAACATCGGGCCTCCGACTCCCGGAGCAGCGATCGGCCGAGCGCGTCAAGGTGCTTGGTCGCGAGGCGGTGGATGGGACTGCCGCCCGTCAGCAGCTCGAACTCAAGATGGGTGACATTGCCCATGTGGTAGGCCTGATTATACACACAACTTGAATCCGCTCAACCGTGTGACATACCCTTGTGATATGCATACCCGCTTCAGCTTGCCGACGCCATCGATATGCACGAAGTGGATGCAGTCGCACTCTAACCGGCCCCCTTCCTCAACCGCAAGGTCTACACAGGCACACACACACACGCGTACATGAAGGAAGAGATGGCACTGCATCCTTTTCCCTGGATGGGTACATGGCGGCTCGCCGGGACTCACGAGGCCATGTCGTCTGCACACACCCACGGAGGGAGGCGCAGGAGCACGCCAGTTGTTGCCGTGTGAGGCGCGATACATGGACAGTGTTGGTTTCAACACACAAAAACAGCGTGGGATGATAGGCCTCAAGAAATGAGAGGGCGTGCGCGACTTCATTGTGCCATGGCTGGGCTTACCGTGACACTACGGTCAGCGAGTCGGCCAAGCTTAAGGACGGGAGGAGGGCGCGGCCCTCAAAGCACTGAAATAAAGGAGGAGGGCATTTTGGGACGGGAAGCACTGGCGGGAATCCTTACGAGGTGCTGTGGCGAGAGGAAACTTTCCGTCCGTCTGGAACCGCCGAATCTTGTGTCTCCAATTCTCGACGGAATTCCAAACAGCTGAGAGCACACAATGAAGAGACACAGAGAAGAACCGTCAGCCATTCCTACAGCCAGCTGTCCATATTTGGCAGTGTGTGTTATCATTGAAGGCGTACCCCATTGGAGGGCCTCGGTCCACAGGGGAAAGACCAGATCACCCAACACCTGACGCAGACACACGCGTGGGACACACAGTATTTCCTAGGTCGCTGTGATGGACGGGAAGCAACTTGAACATGGACTCCGTGATCATGGTCATGACGTCTGTCCTTAGCTGCAACATCACCCTCGCGCAGTTTCTCCTTCAGCTCCCCAACAGTCATGCCCTCCGTCAATCGCCATCGCGTGTCGAGGGACAGATTTCGTTGTGTGCCATGGCTGGCTTACCGTGACACTGCAGTCAGCGAGTCGGCCATTGGCAAGACACCATCATGGGCGCGGCCCTCAAAGCACTTGAGATGAGGAGGAGGGCATTTTGGGATAGGAGGCACTGGCGGGAATCCTTACGAGGTGCTGTGACGAGAGAGGAACCTTTCCGCCCGTCTGGAACCGTTTCAAAACGAAGGGACAGAATTTTGCTGTCCCCACTTCTCGGCGAATTCCAAATCTCGCCCACCCTAAACCCTTCCATGAAAGCGACTACAAACCCGTGCTACAAAACTCAGCCTGATTAATCAACACAGCGGCAGAGCGTTGCTGAAGAGCCGTGGCCCCTCAGCTGACGTTGGAAATGAGTGACAACATGGATCCTTACGCACCGCCTCCTGGTACCGAGATGACCGCCTGGGACAGCCTCGTAAGCAACACACCCCCAGACACAAGCACACCAGCACGGGCGCAGCATGCAATTCATGGCCCATCCGTCGCACACCACCAGAAAGACCATGAATCCATCCAGTCTGATGCGCTTCTGCCTGTCTGCCTGTGTGTTGTTCCACGTGCACCAGTCGCTGCCCCCTCCGTCGAGCAAGCGGGCGATGGCGCCTCACAAGGTGCTGGACAAGCAAAGGGAGCTCGCAGAGGGCGACAAGAGGTGGCGCTACACACCGGAGGAGCCCTTCAGGCCATCCGACATCGAGTTCCTCAAGCACCTGGGCGCCGAGGTGGTCACCTACGGGATGGGAGGGGCCGTCTTTGGTGGCACATTCACATACTGGGCCATGAAGGCAACACGTAAGCTTAGAATATAGATGAGGGAGAATGTGGGTGTGTCTGAGTGAATGCACATGTCGTGTGTGCGCGAGTGCAGGGTCGCGTCACGTCCGTCTGGCGACCATCGTATCATCTGTCAGCTGCTTTGTGGCCGGATACCTCGCAGTGGTCAGCACACTGATCCACCAAGGGATCCACCCATGCGCACCTCTCTCTCTCTCTCTCTCTGTCTGCATGCCGCTGACCCCACAGGTGACTGCCTACAAGGAGCCTCTCCTTGCCTTCTTCGAGCGGCACGCCGAGACGGTTGTCGACTACAACCGCGCATCAGGCAAGCTGGGGAGCCAGACTGCTCCAGCTGCTGGTGCTGCTGCTGGTGGTGTGGTCAGGAAAGGGGACCACTATGTCGAGTCGGCTGGTGGGTCGGAGGAGGGGAACGGCGAGGCTGAAGGAGTGCAGAGGCAAGCCACGCAGGCGCCCGCCCAGTTCCAGCCGAGCCAGATGGCCCTCTATGAGAGGGTGAGTGAGTGACGAGAACTCACCCCTTTCTCTCTCTCTTGTGATGTGTGCGCCGTGTGTCGATGATGCCGCCCCTCAGGTGTCCAAGATCTTCAGCGGTTCTCCGCCCCCCGCGCCGCCGCCCGGGCTGGCCATTCCTCAGACGCTGCCGTCAGCTTTGATACAGACCGGCTGGGGGTCGTTACAACGAGATAGCAGGGAGAGGGGGCAGATCACCAGCAGCAGCAGCAGCAGCAGCGGCAGGAGAGGGTTTGGGGAGCGGGACTGACAGCGGTTTGTCACGTATTGGATGGGTTGGTTCATTGAGTGGGATACGTGTGTGTGAGGGTTTCAACGTGGCGCCAGCAGACAGGGCAGAGGACTTTTTTCCGTCGTGTGGAGGGGATGTGACACCTGTATCACATCACACTCATGTCATGACTTAAGCCACCGTCATGTGGATGTCCATAAAAGACTTATCATCATCTGTCAGTCTTCCGGACACAGCTGTCTACCCGGCGTAGCGAACAAATCCTCGCAGACACACGTAACACACACACACACATGCGCACCAAGGCCGCACCCCATCAGCACTCCTCGGTCACGTCACGCAAGAAAATCGGCCAGTGACGCACACGCAGGGATTGCCCAACAGACATGAAGACATAGACAGTGAGTCCCTTCGGAAACAACACATGTGCGTGTGTATGTGTGTGCACGGTGGGGTGGGGGAAGTGTCTCCTTGACGAAAAAGATGGCGCACTATGTATGTCGTCCATCTGCGGTGCTCACCCCCGTCTGCTCAGCTCGATCGTCGTTAAAGCCGCGCACTGCGCACACACACACACACACACACAGAGAGAGAGAGACAAAGAAAACAACAGGACATCCGCTGCCTGCAATGGAATGTTCATGTGTGTGTGTGTGTGTTGGTGTGTGTGTGTGTATGGTCAGTCAGTACTGTACTGATGCCTTATTGACATGATGATGATGATTTACTTTAATGTTGATCTTCTCACTTCGGAGTAGCTTCCACGAGCTGCCTCACAGACTCAACCTGACCAGCGGATGGATGGATGGTTCGTGGGTGATGCATTTGATCGAGACATCCACACACACACACCACACACCACACACCACACACGTGCATGCCGATCTCTGCCTCCTTCTGTGTGTGTGCCGGGAAGGACGGCATACCGATTGTCTGAACATCTTGTCTTCCTCCGCCGTCAGCTTCAGCTCCACGACCTTCTCCACACCTACAAACACTCATCGAAGCAACGGCCATCCACAGACACACGATCCACATGAATGTGTCCGTGTGGCGCTGACCGTCTTTGCCGATGATGCACGGCACACCGCAGTAGAAGCCGTTGACGCCATACTGACCGGTCTGGTAGCAGAAACAAAGCCAACAAGGGTGCCAATGCCACCCATCCTCGTGTTTCAGTGCTTGTGTTTGTGACTGACCAGGTATGCAGCGCACGGGAGTAGCCGCTTCTTGTCGCGCAGGTACGACTCAGCCTGATCGATGATAACACCACAAACGGACCGACACACACGAGTGAGGTACAATACGAATGCAAATTTCTCAGTATACGTTCGTACGTACCATGGCGATAGCCGACGCTGCCGGGGCGTAGAAGGCCGATCCCGTCTTGAGCAGCCTGCCCAACACACCACGACTTACGCCTTCACTGCATCCAGCGATGAAGGACTTGTGTGTGTTTCAGCAACTGACTGGACGATTTCTCCGCCGCCGAATCGAGTGCGCTCGACGAGCTTGTCGATGTCCTCCTGCGTCAGCCACCCCATCGACACCAAGTCGGGCAGAGGAATGCCCGCAACTGCACACGCACACGTACACACGTGGTGGAACTGTTTTGTGTGTTGATTGTGTGGTGTGTCCGTCCAATTACCAGTGGTGTATCTCACGAGGGGCACCATAGTGTCGCCGTGTCCGCCCATGACGAGTGCGCTGACGTCCTCGACCGACACGTTGAGCTTCTCAGCGATGAAGTAGCGGAAACGGGAAGCATCCAACACGCCAGCCATGCCTGCAAGACAAAAATAAATGGGCCGTGGGTGTGTGGTGCGTGTGCGCGCCAGTTCCTGACTCATTCACTCACCGCAGACTTTGTTGGTGGGCAGCCCCGACGCAGACTGCAGCAGCTGGACCATGGCGTCTGACACACCCACACACGACACACAATCACCGCGGATCAAACGATACCCCAGTGTCTGTCGAGTGAGTGCATGGACCGGCATAATACATACCGAGTGGGTTGGTGATGCAGATGACGAATGCGTTGGGGCAGAAGGTCTTGATGTTGGTCGCCACCTCGCGGATGATCTTGGCGTTGATCGCCAGCAGGTCGTCGCGACTCATGCCGGGCTTGCGGGGCACCTGGCAAGACACCACACATCCATCCATCCATCCATCCATGCATCAGGGAGTGAGTGAAGTCGGCCTGCCCTGCCCCTCTCTCCTCCTTGACCTCAGGCCCACCCCAGCAGTGACGATGACGACATCTGCATCCTTCATGGCGGAGTAGTCCTGAGTGCCCGTGTACTTGGTGTCGAACCCCTCAACAGGCGACAGCTGCGACAGATCCAACGCCTTGCCCTGAGGCATCCCTGATCAACCAGCCAAACAGATCCACACGACAACATCTGTCCTGTGTGTTGTCTCAAGGCATTGCATGTGGGTGCGCGTGTGTGCCGGACCTTCGACGATATCGAAGAGCACGACATCTCCCAGCTCCTTGATGCCGCTTATGTGCGCCAGCGTGGCTCCTATCGCGCCACTTCCGACGAGAGCTATCTTGGGGCGCGGCATGACGGCTGATGCTTGGCTGACACGCAGGCCTTGGTGAGGTGCAATCAAGGACGCTATCAGGAGGCAAATAATACCCAGATCTGGGAGACGCAGATCGATCATCGGACACAGCGGTTTCATGCAGCACCCTAGGCGGGCAGATCTGCGAGCTTGAGACCATCCCATCCACTCACAGAGTGGGTGTCGTGCCTATGTCTGGCTGTCATTCTCGTATATCTGCAACCGGTGTCGACAGCGATTTTTCTGACCATCATAGGGTGGCACGTGCGTGTCGAGTGGGTGGGTGGGTGGGTGGGATGGGGAGACAGGCCGTGTGCATGCTTCTGTGCATGTGCATGCTACTAGTTTAGTGCGTGACCTGGACAGGATCCCCTCGGGGTTACAGACACGAGTCTCGTTAAACACAATAACCAACCAACCAACAGAGAGTGAGCAAGATCCATCATTCCTGACAATGCTGGTTGCCATCTTCGACGCGAACCTACACAATTGGGCGGCGATGCATTCTCGCGTGCCGGCTGATGCAGAGGGCGACAAGAGGCGGGAATCACCCTCTGGCGGCAGCGTCGCGGCTGCAGCGGCTCCAGCACAGCCTAAGGTCGACGAGCAGAACCGGCCTGTGACGCTCAAGACCACATGGCGGCAGTTCCTGGTGTTCGTGAGGGCATACTGCCTCACGGAGCCGACGCACTCTCTGGCTCTCCTGGGCGTGCAGGGCAAGAAATGGTCAGTGAGCGGACAAGCAGGAAAACACATGCATCACCAACCAGCAAACGGTGCTTTATCTGTCGCGTCTGTGTGTCTGCTCGTCTGTGTGCAGCGAGTATCTGTATGAGGGCGTGTGCAGCGACTTCAGCCCCGACTGCATGATCCCAATGGAGGAGGACTTCGACACCGACGGCGTGGCCGCCAGCGGACAAGCACAACCACCGCCACAACAAACACCGGAAGCACCGCCATCCGGTTTGGGTGTTGGGCAGATGAAGGAGTGCCAGCCGCACTTGCAGGCCACGCTGAGGCTCAAGAGGCTGCTATCCTCCTCTTATGAGCACAAACATGGCCATGGAGGGACACGCGCAGGTCAGCACAGCTGCACCTTACATGCTACATGAGCAAGGGCGTTTTGCCGGTTCTCATTCACTCACTGTGTTGGCGGTTGCAATGCAGCGGATTCTTCGATTGCTGGCGCTCTGTCGATGGCATTATGTCGTGAGCTGAGCTTCCGGCCAGAGGGAGATGATAGTCTTTGTCCAACGTGTCCATTGTCCGTCCGTCTGTCTGTCTGTCTGTCTATGTGTGTGTGGCAGACATCCAGAGACGAAAGAAGGAGCACCCCTCAGCTGAGGTCAGTGGCTGGAATAATGCCGCGTGTACATCAATCACCCGGCGGGCTGCATTTGCTGTAGTCTTCCTTTGTGCTGTGTGTGTGTGTTCTTTTCAGCCGCGTGTGTTGATTCTTGAGGTGTCTTGTGTGGACGGATTGGCCTTCCAATTCGTGCCATTGATGAGCGCCGCATTCGCAGGCCAAAAGATGGTCAGTCATGTGTCACTTGGTCACTTACTAAGATCAACGCGCGAGTGGTGTCTGGGTCTGTGGGTCAGAACGTGATGATTGACGTGTGTGCGCTCGGCACCAAGACATCGGTGGGACTCTCACAATGCTCACCGATCGGGTCCACAGGCAGTGGTGCATGTCTGGCTGTATTGTATGTTGTGTGTTGTGTGTGTGCAGATGGCTCTGCAGCAGGCGGCCCTCATGACCCGGGGGCAGTACATGCAGTTCTCTCACCCCAACTCTAACGTACGTGAGTCAGTCAGTCGGCCCACCTGACGCACTTACACCTGTGCTGCCATGTTTATGTCTGCATGCGGGTACCTCATTCCTCATTCAGCTGCTGCTCCCCTTCCTGCTGGTAAGTGAGAGGGCTCGCTGCCTTTGTACACTTTGTACGCAGGGGATTCAGATCAAAACTTGTGGCTGTGTGTTCGTGTCGTGTCAGTTTCACTTTCTGCCGAATGCTGACTTGCGGGAGGACGTCTTGTTCCCTGCGCAAGCCTCCCAGTCAGCCACGACCTTTGGCGCCACATGCTTCTGCTGTGGCAAGCCCGTGGAGCTGGCACTCGTCTGCTCGTCCTGTCTCGCAAGTGAGTGAGCAATCAGGGCAGATAGACAGACAAGTAAGTGATCCGTCAATTTCCTGTATGCATTGTGTCAATGTCTGCAGTCTACTGTCACGACATCGGTGCTGTCTGCAAGATGTGCAGGTGGGTGACAGGCTTGTCCCTGCAGTGCACGACAGGCTTGACGCTTCCATCGACAGTCCCTGTCTGTCTGTCTGTTCTTTCTTTCTTTCTTTCTTGTGTGTCTCTGTTTACGGCAGTGCCCAGTTCCGCCCTCTTCCAGCAAACAAGCGGCAATTGTGTCACCTGCTGTACAGACCCCCTGCCAGCAAGGCACAGGATGATCAGAAGGTGGGCGTGGCCCCATGACATGTTCCGATGTTTGCTTGGTTGCGATGTGCCCGCATGATCTGAGTCGACGTCAGTGGAGGCTACACTGTACCGATCAGATCATGTAGATTTGTACATATAATCAGTATGTTGAGATGATCAGCGGTATTCCGACCCCCCCTTGACAGTGTGGAAATACATTAACTCATAGCGCAACGCCAGGCAGAGTCAAGGCTGAACTGTCGACCAACTCTCAATCACGCGACAAACGTACCAGCGCCATCCTCAGCGCCTGCCTGCGTACCTTCCAGCGGCGCCGCCCCCAACGCACACACAACTTGACCCCTTGAGAGTCTCTCTCAGCGGTTTTGCCCTAGTAAGCTCGCAGCGAACCCTGGGGGCCAAGTTGGAAAGCGCCCGAAGGGAATTTCGTTCGCGTGTACAGGAAGGAAGCGACATGGCTGATCCATCCGTTGTTGTCAACAAATCGGAGCTGACTGACTCGAGTGATGCCATCGAAAAGGAAATCAACCGACAGTTCGAGGTGAGCAGACGAATGACAGAACAGCCGCGCTCACACGTCTTGCTATCCGCATGCAGGCGGCACTGAGCAACCTCGATGGCAGGACACGACGGCCACAGCGAGAGAGGCACGCCACGACGCGTCCGGGAGATACCGGCAGCGCCAAGTCTCTCACCTTCTGGCCTTTCGGTGGTTCCACCCCGGGCAGCAAGCACCGCGGCAGCCGGAAAAGGACCCACCAGTATGCCACGGGGATTGTCAGCGTCAGCCCATCTTTCGCCCTCAAGGCGGTGGATATCCACCTGCAGCCCTCGGCATCAGTGGCACCCATCGCCATTGATGAACTGGAGGCCCTGGACCTGCACACCGATGCACGCGTGGCGAAGGGGCCCGTCACCGTCGGCGATCGGTCTGTCAAGAGCTTTCGAGGCACATATCCTGTAGACAAGCAAAGCAAAAGGAGTGTCGCACGCGGCTTGCCGGCCCTTCTCAAGGAAGCGCTCTCGGCTCGTCCGTCTCCGTCGTCCGGTGAGTCGCCTGTCAGCAGCAAACAATCAGGTCAGAGAGATGACACAAAGAAGGTAAATGCGTTATAAAGAAGGAATAGCGTCTGGCTTATCCAGGTTTCGTTCGCGCCATACGAAAGCGGTTGGGAACTATCGGCAGCATTGTTTTCGGCGGCGCTCTCATTCCACCGTCGACAGCAGCAACCAAGTGGCCCCAGAGAGGAGAGACGAAAGGACTCCAAGTCTTCAGCTTAGCTCTATCATGTCAAGTCAAGAAGCCCACCGATCGCCCCTCGTTTCCGACTTCACCGAATCGCGAGACCAGACATCTGTCTACGTCTCCATCTGTGGCTCCCCTATCCCCGACCGTTCGATGGTCTTGCGAGACATGGCGCCGTCCGACAAATCTGTCAAGAGCGAGCGTGTGAGAGACCCTGAGGCCCCAGCAGTCACATTCCGCCTCCCCAAATCGGTTTCGGGCGAGGCGGCCAGCGAGGAGCTGCGAGAGGCCTGTAGCGACCCCGAGCAGCGCATGGACGGTCTGACGGCCGTGTCGTTGCCTCCGGTAGCCACCGCCGGGACCTGTCCTTTCCCCGCAGCCCGCGGTGACGAGCCGCCCAGCCCATGCACTTCATTTACGGCCGCGCTGGAGGAATTCAACTCACAGCAGCTGCCACCGATTAAAAGGTCCATATCGTTCGGGCAGCTTCCGCCAGAGCGATTGTCCGCGCGATCAATGAGAAGAAGCGAGACGGCTGTGGAAATCATCCACAAGGTGGTGGAGCTGAAGGCCGCCCACATGCCCGTCTTTGGCATCCTTACCGAAGAAGAACGCCGGAAGGAAATGCGGAGACGCAGCCAAAGGCAAAGCTTCTGGAGATGCTGCTGCCACAGAGAGATATTCCCCGGCATCCGCCTGGTGCACATCGCTCTGTGGCTTAACAACGCGGCGTGGGCCAGCCTCCTCTTAGTCAGCTTGCTCTGTCTTGTGCATGCTATCGCGGAATTTGTGGAGAAGGAGACCAAGCCCTACGCGGTGCAAAGCGACCTGATCTTCTACTTCAAGGAGTACGTCGACAACGTACTACTTGGTAGGTCACACAAATTCCAGAGTGAGCAATCGATGGTTGACAGGCGTCACTTTTTCTGTCTTCAATACATGCAGAAACGGGCGAGTTGGCGGACAAGGACAGCTATACCGTCCGATGGGCATCCAGCTGGTCGGCGTTCACAATGGGCCTAATGTGGCTCCTCCTCGGCTACGCAAGTGCCTATGCCTTCGTCATGCACACGGTTTTCTGGCGTTACAACGCCTACAGATGGGCGGGGAAGAAAAAGATGGACTATCGGTGCGCTTACGAGAAAATTACCTGGCTTAAGCGCCAAAAGGATCGTAGCAGGCGACTGAAGACATTCAAGACAATCAAGGCACATGCCACAGCCAGCGGAAACAGACCATCTGACGATCTCTCCGAGGCTGTCGAGAGCGGCCCTGCGGACACACTGCAAATGGTGCGGCCCAAATCGCCGGGAGGTGCCTGGTTGGCAAAAAGTCGATTCCCCCGGTGGCTGCACATCGTTGAGGCCTACATATCGCTCTTCTACTTCTATTTTTTGGTGAGAGCCAAGCTTGCCACTCGCTCCTATTTCCACTGTCTTACAACACTCCTTCAGGGCCCAAATGGAAGGCTCTTCTGGTGTGGGTCGGCGGCCTCTGAGCTCATTGGTCAGCAAGAAGACAACGCATGACTTAATCTCAGGAGTGCATTGAAACGTTTGGTGCATTCGTGCAGAGCTCGTTTTTGGCTGGCTGAAGTGTCTTCAATATGCTGGTCAGCTCACATCCACGCGACTACACAGACAGCTGCAAGCTTACCCGATCGTGTGTCTTTTTGCCGTGTGGTGGGCGGTCTCCAGGGTGGTCGCTGGTGTCAGCGACTTCAGCCAAAGAGGGCAGATCAGTGGAGGGAGAAGTGCCAACCAGAGAAGTAGAGGTGTGGTTACCGCTTCCCTTGCTGGTAGCTCTGCAGTCCGTTGTCCTCACCGGATCTTTTTCTGTGAAGCTGAGGGGATGGTTCATTCTAGGTGGGTGTGCAAAAAGACTCATGGAAGAGCAACAAAGAGAGATGGCAGTCTGTGTGTGTGTGTGTGTGCGTACGTGCAGGTGATGTGTGTGTGAATTTGGTCCTGGCTGCCGTCACGCTGCTTGCTGAGGCCCGCTACACCTTTCGCGCTTCGCTGGGATACCTAGCCTACTTTCGCAGCACTTCTCTGCTTGCTTTCGGGGCCGCCTACCTCCCTCTTTTTCTTTCATGGTCTGCCTGACAGACAAGTTGCTCAGCAAGGTCTCGCTCATACGTGACAGTGTGTCTCTTGTATTGTCTACGTGTAGGTGGAAGCTGCGCATCATCGATTCTCTTATGCTCATCCGAGGGATTCATCTGCACCGAAAGCGCCAATTGCAGATGCGCATTTCGGCGGAAGAGGCAGAGGCGGCGAGCATTGTCGACGATGGGGTGGCACTCGAGGACCTCTGCATTGAATCAACAGTGAGCACCCAACTGAAGCACAGCTCCTCAGTCGAGTCGCAACTGCTGAACCTGGTGCCTACCAAGCACAAGGAGGAGGAACCGAAAGGCTACACCAAGAACAACACCGGCGAGCAGCGAGAGTTGCGACCGGCGAAACGATTCATGGATGCTTTCCGGAGATACAGTACTGCCAGCAAATCGCCCGATGCTTCACCAAAAACAACGTCGCGGTGGCAAGACATGCCCACTGTGACGGAGGCCGAAGCGAAGGGACGAAAGCCGTCTCTTCCATGTCCTCGCCCGGCACCTGACGAAAGCGCCATTTACGGTGAGGAGGAGCCTTCCGATGAGGGCGAGCCGTCTGATATCAACGAGGAGTGCCCTGGTGAGACATCTGTCACTCAGAAGCCGCCAGACCTGTCGGTGCGGCGTGTATGGAGGGATGAGGAAGCTATCATGGAGCATGCGCAAACAGAAGACCTGATGAACACAGTAGTGGAGTCTGAAGATTGTCGGCAGCATCACGCCATTAATTTTGTGGAAGAGGAGATAATGGAGCGAGCACCGTCCGAAGCAGGCAACTCTCCGCGGAACAGCTCGCAAACCGGGTCAGGGAGGGATCCCGCCCCTCGGATACCGAGACGGCGCCGCTCGAGTGACGGTGTCGATTTCAGTGGACGGGCTGATGAGCTCCAGCGGCTCTCCGATCTGGTCAAATGGGTTGAGCGATGGCCGCTGCCTCTCGTGCTGTGGGCTGTGACCTTCCTGTTGGTATCACTGCTTGTGCTCTTTGTCGTCCAAGTCATCAGAGCCACTGCTGTGTGCCCGCGTATGGCTATCTGGGATTACTGTACGCTGAAAATATTCCCACCGTGAGCAGAAAGAGCGTCCGTTCACACAGCGTCTCTATCTCTGTCTTGCTTCTAGGTTTGGTACGGCGGCTGAGTGGATGCACCCATGCAATTGTCGTCTCTTTGTGACGTCACCAGGAGAGCCCGCATCAGCTGAGGTACCTTACCAGTAATCCACCTCGTTTGCCGATCAATGCGGAGCACAAGCTTTGTGTCACTTGTCTCCTCGCACAGATCATCGCTGAAAGCCTTGATCGTTTTACCACTCTAGAGGTAAGACAGGCTTTGAAAGAGTATCTTGACTGCGTAGATGTGTATTCTGTGTCTCCCAAAATGCAGGCGTTTTCTATTAACACTCTCACAGAGCCCTCTGACATGCCCGCAGAATGCTGGGATGATTTGCGAGATGTCGGCCCCTTCTTTCCCGACAACTATACATATATAGTGACCAGGCCACTTGAAAGTCCAGGCGGGACCTCCCTCAATAGAGAATTATAAGCCGGCGTGATACGTGCATCGAGCTGTCAGGCCTGGCGGACAAAGAGAGTGCGGCTGAAGTCTTTCCTGAAAGGTGGGCAATATTTTGAGAACCTACGTTTCAGTCATCCACCTACCTTTCATGGTGCTTCAGAGAGCAGAAGTTTCTCAAATATTTTTCTCTTCTTCTCCTGCCGCTGACTCATTTGCCACTTAATTTTCGGTCATATCTCAAGCGAGCAGAGGTCTTGGTGAGATGAAAAAAAGACAAGTGTAGCCTTCAGCAAGAGACATCGGGTTCTTGCTCCTTGCTGTCAGGTCCTAGCCCTCAACAATCTTGACATTATCCCCGATTGGTTGCCGGAGGATGCCCCGAATCTCAAAGTGCTGGTGCTAAGCGGCAACCAACTGGAACCAGGCTCAGTGCCGCTCACACTCGGCAGCCTCCCCCGTCTCGAGCGCCTGACCCTCGACCACAACGAGATATGTGAATATGACGTCACGAGGGTGCCGGTGCACCTTCCTGAGGAGCTCAGCCACCTTGGACCCTGCGATTCGGATATTCTCCTCCCGCTGCTGGAGCGTTGGGGATTCGTGAAGAGGAGAAAACTCGGAGAAATGAAACATGAATGAGCCTCGTGAGAGGGAGTCTTGCCCGTTTGGCTTCGGTGGATAAGCAGTATCTGCGCCTTTAAATTGTGTCTCCCGTGGACGCTCTATTCAATATTTTTGGTTTGTGTGGCGATTGTGACTTTGCAATGAGAGATATATCACTGTGGACACAATGTGCCCTCGATCGACTGAGTGATCGATGTAGTGCATGAGTGCATTCTGGACACTTGACCAAGTGTTCCTCTCAATCTGTCCACAGACTTGGAAAGAAATGCAGCGATGCAGCCATGTAGTTGCCTGGTTCGATTCGGCAATCACGCGGATATCTATGGGGACGTCAGACGAAGGTCAGTAGTCCAAACAACAATCAGCACAGTTGCAACACGTACGCACCACTAGTCCAGTGGAGTGCAGTGCAGTGCAGTCAAATCTGGTCAAACAGACGGACAGACAAAGAGCAGAGCAGAGCAGAGAGGAGTACACACATTCATCCATGCATCAGCTACAGGACAGACCAACTGGACGGACCAAATACCAGCAACCGAGCAAAGAAGCGAACGGGGGAGGGGCTACAGTGCTACGAATAAAGGACGGCGCTACAGATAGAGAGATGAATACAGTAAGTACTCTACACAATCGACAGAAAGAGAGACGTCTACTTCATCACCAACTAGTCCCATCCCATCACTGTCGTGTTTTGCCGTAGTTCTGGGGCTTGGGTGTGATTGGCTGGCGCTCGCTGGCCGTTCCAGCCTGGTTGGCGTCCTGCTTGCTCACCCATGAGAAGTATCGGCGGTAGACATCGTTCCATTTTTCGTCTCCCTTGCTTGCCGGCATGGCCTTGATGTCGGCCTCCTGGAGGGAGTCATCGGTGGCACGCTGGGCGCCCCGCTTGACGTCTCCCGCCACGGCCGACTCGCCAACCTTGGATTGAAGACCGGTCGGCGTGAACTTGGGCTTCCTTTCTTCGTGAAGGCCAAAATGTAGCTGGCGCCAGCAGGGATACTGCGGAAAGACGCAAGCGGAGAGAGGCAGACATGGACGAATCCATCGGCATGTGTCTCTCGGGTGGCTTACGTGAGGTTGCTGATGGCGTGTGTGATGGTGGTGACGCCCTCTCCCACGGCCCGGCCGGTGGCGTGCGAGGGAATGTCGGCGATGATGTTCATGAGGAGCGGCTGGAGGGGCCGCTTCTGTGCGTCGCCCCACCTCAGGAGGTAGGACATGACGCCCGCCTCGTCCTGCGCCCGCGTGACGTAGATGGTGCCGCCGAGTGTGTTGGGGAGAGTGTTCTTGTCCTCGGGCATCATGACCGTCTGAGGCGCGAAGGGCGGGGGCGGGCAGTCACCCGTGGCGCAGTGGCTGGGGGGGATTGAGGCGACGGCGAGGACGGGCATGCCTTGTGTGGCCATCTGGCCCTTGAGGGTGTCGGTGTTGTTGCGGAAGGCCTCCTCCTTCAGGCGCATGTTGGCCAGCTGGATGTCGTAGCTCTCCTGGTCGGGAGGAGTCTCGCCTTCAGGGCTGATAATCACCTTGACGTCACTCGCCTCACTGCCAGACAGACGGCGGGCCAGCCCGTGGACGAGTGAGGTGAGGGACCGGCCGCCAGCGTGGTAGACTGTGGCGTGGAGTCTGCGTGAGACGAGGGGCTGCACGTCGGCGACCTTGATGCGCTCGGGGGGGATTTCGAGCAGGGTGGCGATGTTGTTGGTCATCCTGTTGCGGTTCGTGTCGTCGAAGTCCGCGATGGGCACGTCCAGCTTCATGTTGAGCTGCACTATGTTGGTCGTGCGAACGTCGATGTAGTTCCTCCCTGCACACACACACATCACACGCCAAGCATGACAACCCATCGCTGTCTCTCCTTATCTCATTCATTGTCGCATACCGAACTCGGCGTTGCTGCCTCCCTGCATAACGATGTGGAAGCGTCTCAGCTGCGGGTTGAGCGCGTTGGCGCCATGGGGGTCGGTCATCTCAGGCTTAGTCGTGTAGGCGAGGTTCTTGTCGCGGGGCTGGCCGTTGACGAAGACGTGTCGCTTGATGGGGTCGCGGTAGAAGATGTTGAGCAGGATCTTCTCCGAGGGGTCGGGCGACATGTAGTGCAGACGCAGCGAGTTGGGCGCTGTGCCCAGGAACGTGATGTTGTACTCGCGGTTGGGCACCAGCGGCGCCTGGATCAGACCGAACGGCATCCTGACAAGCAAGGGAGCACACACAAACACCCATACGAACTGCTGCCCGCCCTCTCTCCCTCTTCCTCTGTCCAGCTTCGCTCGAATCGTACCGCTTGGCGCACATGTCGGCGAGCATTCCCTGTGCGGCAAATTCCTTGACCTCGGTGGTGCCGGGCAGTGTGCGTGAGACCACCATGGGGACGAAAGTGCGGCTGCCGCTGTCGGCGTCCATCGAGTAGACGCTGAACCACCTGAACTTGAGGTCAGGGCAGAACTTGAGTCCCATGTCCGTGAGGTCGTCACACACGGGGGTGTTGTCCACCACTGCCACACCCTCCTTGGGCGTGAAGAGGCCGGGGGTGCCCTGGCCCAGCAGAGTGCCGTCGAGATCGTGGCCGTACGCCAGCTGCACGGCGTCGCACACGGCGGGGGTCTTGTGCCCGGCCTGGCAGCCCTGCGCACCCGCACGAGTGTCCAGACGGAACTTGGCCCGCTCATCTGCAGTGACCCAATTGACAGGCACCAACAAATGGAGACTCGAGATATAGATGGGAGGCTTTGCACTAGCTGACCTGTATCAATCCACTTGGTCTTGCTGAAGGCCATGTCGGGAGTGTAATCGGGCTGTGTGGGGTTGTGAGCGATGGCGTATGCCTTCTGCCCACCGCACTCGCTCTCCTTGAAGTGGGCGAACACGGTGTTGTCGAAGTCGACGTGGGCGTACATGCCGCCGCGCACACCGCAGCGGCGCTCCCAGGGTGGCGAGCACATGCGCTCGGGCACAGTGGGGGGGCGGCAGTCCATCCCGCCCTCGCCAGCATTGAGACCCACATCCATGATGCACGTCTTGGCGCGGTTCGTCTGCGTGAGAGTCGGTCAGATAGAGGGATGAGACATGATCGCTGTGTGCGTGTGTGTGGTTGGTTACCTTTTGGATGGTCTGGAAGCCGACGCGTCTGACTCTCTCGCCCGTGAGAGGGGTGAACTCGGGCCCGGCGAAGACAGAGTTGCAGCCGTTGGGGATCACATCGCCCTTCGTGAAGGCCTGTACACACAGAACCCGACACACACACAGCGATAGAGTCCATTCAGCGACCATCCTAGTCGATCTGCGTGTGTGGGGTACCCACCAGGCAAGTGTCGCACGTAGAGTCGGCGGAGGCTGCGGTGGTTCCCATGAGAATGGCGTTCTTGACGGTGGTGTACTGGATGGAGGTGTAGTGGACGTAGTTGAGCGAGATGCCGATATGTGAGTCGGCCACGACCACATTGTTGACTTCGATGTCGGCACCGGTGTCGACGATGAGCAGCCCCACGTGTGCGGCCTTCCAGATGGTCCAGCGCTGCATGACCTTGCACTGGTTGCCCGTCGGGCCGCTGCCGCCCGTGCCGTGCTCAGGCCACATCCACGCGCCGATGATCGCGCCAACGACCTCGTTGTCAAACACAGTGGGCACTGAGGAGCAGCAAAGCAGAGACACACACATGGCCGTGTGTGGGAGATGGCTGGCTGGTCAGAGCTCTTCTTTGTGTCCTGCAGTACCGGCTCCGCAGTCGTCGGCGACCACAAGGAATCCAGTGTCCTGTGAGCCGGAGGCGATGTTGCCAGACACCTCAGCTTGCCTGCATAGCAGCACAGGACACCGTGCCAGCGTGAATGGATCGATCCCCCTCCCTCCTTCCCTGGCTGACTTGGATTGGAGGTAGAATGATGCGTATGTGATGAGCCAGTCGAGAGTCTCCTCGGGGTCTCGCCAGGTGCCCACAACCATGTTGTTCTAAACCAACACAGACACACACACAGATCGGCCACATACTCAAACGTCCCCTGTGCGTGTGTGTCTCTCCATGCCTACCGTGATGTAGTTGCCCTGCGCGTCGTTCCAGGCCTCGACGGTCTGTTTGTATCCTCTGTAGTAGACGTTGTTGTCGAGTCGGACGTTCTTGATGGCCCGCAGGATGGTGCCGTAGTTGAGGAGAGTGAATGAGCAGCCCTGCACGACGTTCATCTCAACCTCCTGCTGCGCGTCCGCCTCGCTGTCGCCCTCCTTCAGGTGGTACTCGAAGTTCAGCGCCGCCCACGGCAGAGACTGCTTGCCTGTAAGAAAGCGGCAAGGAAGGGATCACAAATACGCTCTCGCCATTTTGGTTTCTGTGCTTTTGTTGCTCGTACCCATGTTCTCGAAGTGGGCGTACTTGGCTTGGATGTGGCCGTACTTGTACCACCTGATGCATGACAGACAACCGACAAACCACCCACAAAGTGATACGTATGGCCCACCCAGTAGCCAAAGTGCTACCCTGGCTGCCTACATGGTGCCCTGGTCGGCGTCCTTGCCACTGATGGCCACGACGGACACGTGTGCGCCAAAGACGTCCTGAGGCGAGGTCTGCACGCCCTTGACCACCACATTGCGAGTCAGCAGGCCCACGGGCGCCCTCAGCTCCACAGTGCGCGTGTTGCCATTGCCGTCAGTGAGTGTCTCCACGCCGGCGAAGTGGCGATACTTGAGGCCCTCTGTCAGGGTCACCTTGGTCACATTGCCCTCCTGGCTCACACCTTGGTCACCCACACATGCAGAGAGAGACATGTGTATATCCGATCGCCCTGTGTGTCTGTGTGTGTGTCTCGATCACTCACCTGAGATGGTGACGTGTTCGACCTGGTCCCACTTGTACTCGGTGGAGCCGATTGCAAGCTTGTCCTGGGCCTTCCACCGCTGGGTGAGGCCCTGCACGTGTATCTCGGTGTCTCCGATGTTGGCCGTGCGGTCAAGCTTCCTCCAGGACGTCACGGGCGAGCCAAACAGGTTCAGCTGACCTGCTATGGCCATGCCCTTGTTGCCAAGCCTGTGGGCAGACACACACGACACGGATAAGTCGTCTTCTCCTCACGTTGGATATCTATCGGTGGCTGGCTGACTGACCAGACGTCCTCGGCGTATGGCGTGATGGATTTGTCGTTGTCGGTGCCGTGCAGCTCGATGATGGCGGTGTGGTCGGAGTCGTTGCGGTAGTCGACGTCCAGACGGCCAGACGCTCGCATGTTCTTGGCCTTAAGCGTCACATCCTTCTTCAGGAAAGCCTCGTTGATCTCTAGGAAACCTTCACACACGGAGACATGTGTGTGTGTGTGTGTGTGTCTCCGCCCCCCTCCCTCCCTGCCTACGACCCTCTTTCCTCACCCTTGACATCGATCTCAGCGAATGGCGTGTCTGGGAGGACGGCCTTGTCGTCGATGAAGATCCATCGTGTGGAGGGGATGACCAGCGGGTCGCCGCTCTGTGGGCCTCCCTTGGGGTGGCTTGGTTTGCATGTACCCCTCGCTCTCGGGGCCGCCGACCCATGAGTCGGGGTCGGACCAGGGGTAGCGGGTGTCGCCCCAGTCGCCGTCGGTCACACGGGGGCACCCCGTCTCCAGGCACTGACGGGCCTTGACCGCAAAGCTGAAGGGATCCTTCTGGTCCTTGATCGCACCTTAAGACACACACGGGACGGAGGGAGGGAGGGAGAATTGTGAGTTCTGCTAGCTGCTGGGGCCGCAAGAAGGGATCTTTTTGCTGACCCTCCTGGTATGTCTTGGCGGTGTTGATCATGATGGCGAAGGTGCCGTTGTGGTTGCGGCCGCCAGGCAGCATGTGGGTACCGAACGGCATGTCTGCACACACGAGCACGCACAGACACGTGTATGCGACCTTCTCTCCCGTGCGTGTGTGTCGGTCAGCCCACGCACCCTTGGTGAGCTCGGTGATGGGCGCATTGAATCGTGTCTCGGTGATGTCTCCGTTCCTGAGATCCTTTTCCAGTCCGATGATACGAGTGATGGCGTCGTGGTCCTCGGCCTTGCTGGCGAGGGGCTGGATGCGGTCGTAGCGGGACTCCTGCACATTGTCGAGAGTGGCCTCCGACCACTCGGTGTAGATGTCGTCGTCGTAGAACTTGGCGGGGACCGTCACGAGGAAGTGGTCGCGCCAGTTGTCCCAGAAGGTTTGCAAACCTGTGATAAATGACACAGGCAGGGAGACAGACGCACCTTTTGATTTTGTGTGTGCGCGTGTGGTGTGCACTGACCCATGAATTCGTCTCTTTTGGTGTTGTTCTTGTAGAGTTCGACGTATGGCGGGATGGAGTACTTGAGCCTGTACTGGCGGAAGTTGCCGTTCATCCTACACACACACACACACACAGACGGGGAGACAGATGAATGATGATGGCAGATCAGATGAACACACAATGAACACACACACACACACACACTCGTCCATGGAATGGACGCAAATCGCCCACTTACTTGGAAGCCCAGGTCATGTTGTAGTATCCCTCGGACTGCATCGGCACGGCCCAACCGCTGAAGTCTGAAATCAGGGGAATAGCAACGCATGGAATCCAGCCAGACGCCAACACCCTCCCTTGTTTGGTTTGTGTGTGTTGCTCACCTTTGGGCATGTAGGGGATGCGGTCAGTCTTGTCGTCCGTCGGGGCCGCCAGCCAGTTGTCAGCGCCGAACAACTTCATGTCACGCCACATGAGCTCGCGTGGCTCCATGCTGTAGAACTTCACCTTCCTGCACAGGTGTGTCAGTCAGTGCACAGAAGCCAAGCCAGACGTGACATGAGTCTGGGCGGCCCTGTGTGTGGCTATCCTATCTGTGTGTCTCGCTCAGTGAGGTACCTGATGGCATTAGTGCAGGTGAGACCGTCTGAGTACCTGACGCCCTGAATCTGCTGGCAGGCGCCACGGTCGTTGAAGGCATAGTAGGGGGTGGCGAAACTGTCTGGTCCCTTGTCGGTGAGAGAGCCGTCGAGATCCCAGAGGATGTCCTTGAGTGTCCACTCGACGCGTCTGCTGGAGTTGTGGAACTTCATGTTCTTGAAACGGTACGTGAAGGCACCCTGCGCCATGTTCGTGTCAGACAGGCAAGACATGCACGGCTCTGGCAAACACAAAGACACACAACAAGTGAGAGGTGCACGTGTGTGTGAGTGAGGTTTAGGCGGCTTACTCAGTGCCCAGTTGTCTCCGTAGTTGACGAATGTGCCGTCCTCCATGTTCCAGAACTCCTTCTGCGGCATGAGGAACCCCCTGCCGCCGGTGCCGCTCTGCTTGCCCACCGCCAGCACGTGGTAGAAGTGGGGCGGCGAGTGGACGCCCACATCCTCGTTCATCTTCTTCCACTCGAGCGCTCCGCCGTTCTCCACCAGACGATAGTCGTGATGGTGCGCATCACCAACCTGACGCAGAAACACACACACTCACTCACTTTGCTCGATATATCGTGTCTCCGTGTCTCTCTCGTTGCTTGCTGACAGTTCCGTGGAAGACGCCGAGTCCGTTGTGGTAGGCCACGAGGCCCTCGAGGTACTGGGGCTTGGTCTTGGGGCCCCCACACGGCGACTCCTTGGGGTTCCACCCGGGGTAGATGCGCAGACCGATGCTGCTGCTGTGGGCAGAGTTGTTCTTGAACTCGCCAATGTGCTCGTTGAACGGGCAGAGATCCATGGTGCGGGAGGGGCCGGTGGGGCGGCCTGTCAGCTCAAACCAGAAACCGAAAGCCACCGAGCCGGCTGCGACGTTGTGGCGCCAGTAGTTGGTGGGTATCTGCTGCCAGAAGTTGGCGGGCTTCATGTCGGATGAAAGCATGACGGGGTTCTTGCGCGTGAGCGCCACGAGGTTGCCCTCGATCCTGTTCCACTTCTCGGCACCGTCCTCGACGAAGATGGTGTGGCCCGCGACGTCGTAGGCCACGTTGTCGGTAATCTTGGCGTACCACACGCCGTGAATCGTCACGGCGCGCTGGAAGGAGTGGTGGATCGAGTTGGCCTTGACGTAGCCGTCGTGCAGGATGGACGACAGGTGGAAGTGCGTGCAGTAGCGGCCCAGGTTGCCCTGCTGACCGCAGTGGAACACCTCGGCGTTCTCGAAACGCTGGAGGGCACCCACGGCAGCCATCGTGTGGACTCCGTATTTCTGACACACACACAGAGACCACAGAGACACATTACCATGCTTGCGCCTCTCTCTCGAGCGTTCTCTTCTCATTACTACCTGTTTCTTGGAGTTGTAGTCGCCATGGATCTTAATGTTTCTGGAAAGCAGGGCGACCTCGCACGTCATGACGGTGTCGGGGAAGCCATACGAGCCTCCGGCGAACGTGTCGACCTTGTGGTCGTGCTTGAGTGGTGTCTTGAGCGTGACGGTGGTGCCGCTGGATGACAGCACGGTGGACTCCTCGATCTGGCCCAGGCCGGCCGAGGACGTAACGAGAATGCGCTCGTCCTCAACCCAGTCCACAGGCTCGCGCAGCTTCAGAGTGGTCGCACCTGAATGATCATGAGACAGACAGAAGGCACACAAGGATGAAAACATTGAACGAAGAGAGAGGCAAAGTCGTTGTCTCCCACCCTTGAGAGCAGTTTCTGCGAGGAAGGTCCAGACGCGCTGACGGACCTTGCCGTGGATGTCCATCTGTCCGAGCCTGCCGATGGATCGGTTGGGCGAGGTGGCCAGCATTTTGTTGCCGATGCGGGGCATCTCGATCGTCGTCCACTTGTCACCGTGCAGGATGATCTCGGCGTTGTTGACGAAGGGCTCGGCCTCAGTGCCCAGCTCCCTGCACACATCAAGACACCCAATATTCGCTGCATCGCGTGTGTGGTGGGTGGTTGTTGTGGCTTTGTGACTCCTGCGTTCATTCAATCGCTTACCAGATGCCGCCGCTGACCCAGATGTAGGTGGCCTCGAGCTTCAGGTCCTGCCTGTCCCACACAAACATGCCGTGGATCAGAAGCATCTCCAGCTTAGGCGGCGACATGTCCTGAGAGAGCACCATCACACGAACAGAGACGCATGATAGAGACACAGACCGGCCGGTGTTTCTGTGGCTGTGTGATTTACAAGAAGGACGGCCTGTCCGTCAGGAATGACGACAAAGTCGTTCTCGGCGGGCTCCTCGAAGTCCTTCCATGTGCGCACGTCAGACCACTTATCGAGGTAGCGGAAGAAGACTGTCTCGGGCGACTTGACCATCGCCTGACCGCGGCCCTTGATCAACACGTCCGTCGAGAATGCTGCCAGGCCAACACACATGCATCCGGTAGAGGGCGTGTGGTGTCTGGTGTGTGGTGTGGTGTGGTGTGTGGTGTCTGGATGAGATCACCGACTTTGCATCTGTTGGGGGTCTCTGGCTTTGGTGGTGCACGTGAGGGTGTCCTTGCCGCCCGACGTCGTCGCGGGGCCGGTCACGGTGCACTCCACACCGTTGAACTTGACAACGGCATCCTGCTCAGCCTGCAGATATCACCACAACCACACACACACCATTCGCCCAACATATGTGTCTGCCTCCCTGTCTGTGCGCCCAGCCATCCATACGCTGCTGCCAGTAGGTGTGAGTCGTGTGCCGGTGATGGTGACGGTGTCGCCGCCAAGGGACGAGCCGAACTTGGGCTGGATGCTCTCAATCAGGGGGGTGCCCTCCGTCGAGTACTTGACGGTGAAGCAGCCGGCGAGGGTCGATGCAGCCTGGACGTAGTTGCCAGTGGGGGACACCTTGACGGTCGCGGGGCACGAGTCGCCGGCGGCGGCCACCACGTGACCCTCCAGCTTGATGTCGTGGATGCTGCACCGGTAGGTCGCCGATTGGTACCTGAGACATTACACACACAGACAGAGTGCGCATGTCCCTTTCTTCTCGTGTCCTTGTCTGTACCTACCAGAAGTATCTGGCGACGACGGGTGCCTCGTCGACGAAGTCTCTGACGCGATACTCGTTCCAGCCCTCCTGCGGCCTGGCGTCGGGCAGCTGGAGGAATGTGGTCCATGTGGTGCCGTCGTCCGAGTATTGGAAGGCCCCATTCTTGAAGAAGTCACGCTCCCAACGGGAGTGGGGCGGCCAGAAGGCAAGGTTCGTCAGGTAACCCTTGGAATCGCCACCCTGACACACAGAGACAGACAGACAGAGAAACGTGTTGTTTTGCTTTGTGTGGTGGGGGGCGAGTGGGATGTACGGTACCGACCATGTCGATTCCGACGCGGCAGGTGGCGGTCTTGTCGTCCATTTCGATGTGTCCGTACGTCTCCGGGTCGTTGTCGAAGATGCGGCCCTCGTGGTACCCCTGGTTGGCCTTACTGCTGAACGTCGACGAGTGGGGGAACACAACCTTCGGCAGCTGCACACCATCATCCTGCACGCACACAAGCAGACACAGAGACACGGACCATCGAGCCGATATACCACCGCATGCACCCCGGCTCCGTGTCTTGCCTGCAGGAGTGTCATGGTGGTGGTGGTGAGGACGGCAGGGGCGCGGCAGCGTGACTCGGTGTAGGTGGGGGTGCCCTCGGGCTCACAGAGGAGGCCACACACGGTGATCTTGTTCTGGGCAGGCGTCTTGCTGAATCCCTTGCCGGTGACGGTCACGAGCTGCCCGCCGGCCACTGATGCATCTGCTGCCGTGAAGAGGGCTGTGACGGAGAGCTCGGACGTGATGGTCCTGCTGCCCCAGGCCAGACCTTTGCCTCCTACGTACACCTCCGCAATGTGGTCGCCTGCACCCACGAGACAGACAGACAGGCAGACAGACAGACAGGCAGAAGGACCGTCTCCGCCATTTCCTCTATCTGCCGAACTCTCTCTCTCCCTCTCTCTGATTGCCTCACCAGCAGGCGTCTCGCCAAGGTTGCACTTGAGCTCGCCATCGGGCTCGCCAGTGGTGGTGAGAGTGCACACCTCCCCGCCCACGATGACCTTCTGGTCGTCCTCACTCACGCCATCCTCGGCCACCGAGCAGGCGTTGTCAGCCGTGACGGGGCTCTGTGTGGTGGACTTGAGTCCGCTGCCCTTGATGACCAGCTCGGTGCCGGACGTGCCGGTGGTTGGGGCGACGGACGAGAGCTCGGGTGTGAGGGCGTTGGCGTAGGTGACCTTGCAGTGGCAGGGGGTGCCGCACTCGGACGACTCGGCTATCAGATCAGCCGGCCAGGTCTCCGCTGCACCCATTGTGTTGCCACAACACGCACACGTGAATGGGCAGGGTGCAGGGTGTGTTGTGTGTCAGTAGTCATGGTGACTTACGTGCGAGTCTTCGTCTGCGCCTTGATGCGACGTCCTCCTGGTGCCAGTTGTGGATGGTGATGGCGGTGGACGCATTGGTGGCGGAGGCCTCGCAACGGCGGACACCGTCGGCAGAGGTGGCCTCATCCACCACCGACCGCTCAGCACGGAGCACATCCACAGCATGCTGAGTCCAGGCAGCAACCTCCTGCACACACACACACACACAGACATTCATCACCACAGGCAGCTTGACACGTACGCGCCCATGGTCTTTTGCTGACCTCGTGTCCGAGGGCGTTGTGTGTGTTGAGCTTCCTGCCGCCGCCGAGGGCGATGTCGACGCCAGAGTGGCGCTGGTGGTCCAGATCTGCCTTGTCCAACAGGAAGCGCGACGCAACACCGCCAGTACGCTCCTTGAGGCGACGGCGAATCTTGTCCGACGGGTGGATGGGCACCGAATCTGCGCACACGCACGCACACAGGGAAATGACACACATCAACACACCGTCTGTGTCTGCTTATTACGGCTGGAGGACAGTCTCCTGCGAGCGCCGGGGGTGCCGGTGATGAGGGAGGTGTCCTGGCCCACCACATGGACCTTAATGTCGGCCTGGTGCTCGCCGCTGGGTTTGCTGCCGTATGTAGGCGTCTTGCACTGCAGGGTCGTGTGTGTGGGGGTGCCGACCACCTCGCAGATCCGGCCGTCGTCGCCGACTTCGACGATGTTGTCCTGTGGGTTTGTGCTGAAGCCCTCGCCGGTGAGTGTGACGATGCGGCCGCCCTCCATGCTGCTGCGGCGGGGCTTGATGTCCGTCAGAAGCAGCTCGTTCAGGAAGCCGTCAGAGGCCACGTCGCCCTTGTCCTTGGCGTAGCCGTCACCTGGATGATGGATGCACACAGGATACGGTAAAGTTGCCATCTGTGTTGTTGTGTCTCGTGCTCTGTGTGTGTGTGTATGTGCGCGCGCGCGCGTGTGTGTGTGTGTGTGTGTGTGTGTGTGTGCAGCGTGCCTTCGATCCAGAGGGTGACGGGGAGCTGGCTGGCGGGGTACTGTGGGATGGTGCAGGTGACGGTGGCCTGGTCGCCGCTGTGGCTGACGTCGGCGCACGAGGCCTCCACACTCTCACCGAGCAGGAGCTTCGCACCGGACTTCTTCTTGGAGCCTGCCCACACGCAGAGAGGAATGGAGACATGGATCTACCCACATGCATGTGTGTGTATGTGTTGTGGGTACCCGATGCGAGTTTTGCGGTGAGTGTGATGGTGTCTCCGGCTTTGCCCTTCTTGGGGCTGATGGACGTCAGCTCGTTGGCCTGGGAAGCCGCGTACTTGAACTCACAGCCATTGGCGTCTTTGCACTTGGGCTGCAATCACACCCACCCACCCACACATCCATCCATCCATCCTGCCGTCTCAATGCGTGTTCGTGTGAGTGTGTGTGCATGAGGGAGGGAGGGTGACCTTGATGCCGTTGACATTGACGTTGATAGCTCCCTGGACGAAGAGTCCCCTCTCGCAGATCTCCTGTGCGGCCTCCTCGCCGTTGGTGTAGACGCTGCGGGTGGGGTAGGCGTAGTCGCACAAGGACGGGGTGGTGCACTCGATCAGGGTCGATGTCGCCGTCGTCACCTCGCACTCGAGACGGATCTCAGCTTTCAGATCAGCCATCAACACACACACACAGTCAGTTTGTGGAGTGCACGCCAAACCAACACATCCCGCACACACACGGACGGGTTTGCAGACGGACCTTGTTTCTTCTCCTCAGGGACGTCAGCGTGGATGTAGTTGAAGACGAGCATGACCTGGTAGTCGGCCAGGAGGGGGTCCTCGGCGAAGCCCTTGCCCGCTATCACAATCTTGCTCCCGCCGTAGAGAGATCCAGACGGCAGCTCCCCAGAGTTGACAGAGGTGATCTCGTAGCTGGTGTCCAGCTTGGTCACTGGTGTGTCGTCCACCTTGGCGTAGCCCCACTCGTCGACCACCATTAGGGGGCTCACCATCTCGTCGCCAGCGTTGTCGCCGTAGGTGGGCTTGGCGCGCTTGAGGCGGCAGAGTACCGTAGTGGCGTTGACCTGCAGCACGCGGCAATCGCGGTTGCCGAAGCTGATGCTCATCAAGGTGTCGGCCGTCTTGTCAGTGAGGATGTCGTAAGAACCGCGGAATTTCGAACCTACACACACACAGACGCCCATCGATGTGTGTTCGTGGCTGGCTGGCTGGCTGGCCGTCTGAACGCACCAGAGATAATGACGGTCTTTGAGATGGAGGAGGGGATGACTCGAGGCTCGATAGATGTGATGACGCTGGTGAGTGCGGGGTCGAAGGTGAAGCTGCCGGCGTCGGTGGTCGAGTCGGCGTCGAGCGAGGCCGCGTTGACCGTCACGGGCTGCGAGCCCTGACCGGCTGGGGTGAGGCACACGATCCGCGAGTGCTCCCTGACCTCCTGGATCACGCATGGCTGGCCACCTGGCCACACACACACACACGTGCCGTTTCTCTCCACTCACTCCTTGCTTGTTCCCTAGCTGTGCGCCCGCCCGTACCAACAAGCACTGAGTTGTTGTCCTTCTCCGCCTGGAAGCCGCTGCCCTCGATGACGAGCGAGGTGCCGCCTGCCTCCGGGCCAGCAGTGGGCGAGACGCTGTCAATGGTCTGCACATACTTGACTGCGGTGCCCTCGGCCGGCACGTCGGCGATGCCCCTGCCCTTGATGAGCACATGGAGGGGGAACGACCCGGCGGCACCCACACCCATGGTGCAGGTGATGGAGTTGCCGGTGGGGGCGGCCGAGAGGTCGCAGGGGGCGGTGCCGATTGTCACAGTGACGTCCTCGAGCGCGGGGGTTCCCATGTTGGTCACTGCATACACACGCAGACACACAGGGGCCGGGCCGCTGATGCCTATGCTTCGTGTGTTAGTTCGTTCGGTGTCTTACGTGTGAGTGTGAGGGGGTCTCCCTTCTTGAGTGTGGTCGAGCTGATAGTGGTCACGCTGGGTGTGAGGGCGGCGTCGTAGGTGAAGCCGAAGCCGTGCATCGACGCCTCGTTCAAGTGGGCGGCCAGCATGCCGTTCACACGCACCTCAACCTGACACGAAGACCCAGACACAGACACACACCCCCTGTCTGTCTCGTTCCCGATTCCTCTAGACTGCCAGGGCGGGTGCGTACCACGGGGTGTGTGTCTGGTACGGCCACCCTGAAGTAGTCAGCGGGGACCGGGTCGAGGAACACGTCGTTGTCGTCGCCGTCCTCGCGCACACGGTAGCTCCACTCGCTGCCCACGGTGCAGTTCACAAGGGGGTCGTTGATCGACTGCATACACACAGACAGAAGAGACACAAGTTGAATAAAGGCAGAGACATACATGGGTTTGTGCGTACGTTGCCGATCTGTATGGCGGGGAGTGAGTTGCCCTTGCTGCTGCCCGGCTGGCCGAAGCGGATGATCATGGCGCCGTCCTTGCCGTCCCAGCTCTGTAGACAGAAGCACACAAAGACAGACAGGGGCATTGCCGTGTTTTTGGCGGGCGTCTCCTCTGGCGTACGTCGGCGATTTTGACTCCCCAGTCTCTCAGCTTGTTGGCGATCTTCCACGCGCGGATGCCGCCGGCACTCATCTCAGTGCTCTGGCCGTTGAAGTCCAGGCGGAACGAACCTAAAAGATACAAACAGACACAGACACAGACACACACATCCCAGGTATGAAGATCCCTCCTCTCTCAGCGTGTTCCTGCCTCCGATGCCCCAGGGCTTGGTGGCGGGATCCTGGTTGAACTTGAGCTCCACCACCTCAAACACCGACTTGTAGTTGCGCAGGCTCCTCTTGGCGTCGGTGTTCATGTCAGGCACGTTCTCGATGCGCGCGGCAAGACGGAAGTATGCACCGCCGCCATGCTGCAGCCAGCCAAACACACACACGCAGACACACATGAGGACACACGGAGGGAGGGAGGGAGAGGGGGAGGGAGGTACCTGTGTGTGTTCGATTCTCATGAGGTAGGGCGTGTTGGCGGTGAGTGTCTTCTTGGAAGAGATCTGGCCCGTCTCGTGGTACCAGTAATTGTCGCTGTCGCGGCAGTGGTCCTCGATCTCCGTCAGCTTGTCCATCGAAGACAGGTCGTTGCTCATCGACAAGCTGACAGACGACCACAACACAACACGCCGTACACACACATGTGCACCCCAGATCTCTCTAGCTCGACAATGAGCTTACTGGGTCTTGGAGGAGTCGTCAGAGGTGGAGTAGAAGCTGTACTTGCCAGTGACGGGAGGGATGAAGTACACGACAGACTCCTCGCCATAGTTGTAGCCGTCCGTTTTCAGGTGGGCCCTCGTCTGAACTGTACGCTGCACACAGACACACAGAGGCACCACCAGACCTGTCTGTCCCTGCCTGCCGCCCCGCCTGCTGCCCTTCCGCTGCTCCTCCCTCGCCCACCTGTGAGATTGTGTTGGCAGAGTTGTCCTTCTCAAACACGTGGACAGGGATACCACGCGGGCCCAGCTTCCAACTGCCGGACAGGGTGATCGGGGCGGGTGCAGGAGCCGCTGTGGGTGCGGCCGTGGTGGTCGGTGCGACGGTCGGTGCGACTGTCGGTGCCTCTGTGGTGGTGACAGTGGCCTCGGGGGCGGTGGTGGTGGTCACGGGGATGGTTGTGGGGGCGATTGTGGTGGTCACAGTGTCGTTGGTCTGGAGTCTGCGGGACGTTGCGGGTGAGGGCCCGGCGGTGCAGGTGATCTTGTCGAAGGTCACGTCGGTGACCTCACAGGTGACGCCGTCGAGCGTGACGGAGACGGACGTGTTGGCATCGAAGAAAGACGGGAAAGATGTGCCCTGCAAACAAACAACAGACAGACACACCAGACGGGCGCGTGCAGTGCAGGAGAGGATCTCGCTCCGGCGTGTGTATGTGTGCGTACGTGAATTTCGACGACATCTCCTCCATTTTTGCCGGATGTGGGGGGGAGGACGTCTGTGACCTCCGGGTAGATGGTGACGTGCCACCCCTCGCCAGTGTTGACGTCATACTGGTAGGCCTCGGGCTCGATGTAGGCGCGGCCGTAGCCGCTCCAGGTGTCGTCGGTGTCCTGGTTCTTGTGCTCGATGGTGTGGCGGCCCGCTGCAACCTCCTCGTACACCTTGCACTCCAGGCCATACCTGCAGAGAGAGCCATACAGTATGAGGGATGGATAAGTGGGTGGGGGGGCTTGGGGGGCTGTGTGTGCAATCCGTGCCTGGGGTCCTTGTTTCTGTCGTCCTCCTCCTTGAGCATCTCACATCCCTCAGCGCCCACCTTGATGGAGTGGTGGTCCACACACGAGGGGTCGTTGCACCCTGACGTGACACACACAAAGGAAGAAACGGTATGGAGACAGATAGATGTCTGCGTCTGTGTGCAGGACGGGATGGGTGTCTGCACTGACTGACCCCTGAAGTCTCCTGTGATCCTGAAGGTGCTGCCGGCGGTGGTGGCGTACTTCATCCACTCAACCACGGGCGTGTTGTCCCACCGGTAGTCGTACTTGTCCGTCGCAACAATCTATATACACACCCCACCAAACACCACACACACACAAAGGCCGACTTGCCTTGCTCTTCTCCCCCCCTCACAACCACCCCGCTGGCATCCATCGTACCTGTGAGGACCAGATGGGTGTGATGATGTACACCTGGATTTCCAAGTTGTTGACAGGGGCGAGGGCGCCGCTTTCGTCCACTCGAGGCCTGGTCTCGCACTTGATCTGACGGGAGGTGTGGTCGTACTCAATGATGTCGCAAGGGGTGGTACCTGCACACAACACATCCACGAGGGAGGGAGTGAGACACACGCCAGAAGAGAAGAGCAAGTGAGTGCCCACTACACTTGGTGTGTGTCGCTCGCTGTCTTACCGAGGTAGACAACGGACGAAGAGGCCTCGAGCTCGTCACGGTCCTGAGCGTCAAGACCAGTTCCCTCCACCCAGACTGACCGACACACAGGGAAAAGACAAGAAAGACATCGTCTTCTGCCCCACCCCCCCATTCCGTTTCTCCGTTTCCCCCGTGTGCTGGCTGACCGTATGTGCCGCCCATGAGAGAGCCCCGGCGGGGGTAGACATCAGTCACCTGCACCAAGACACCAAGACACCAAGGCAACACACACGCGGAGAATCCAGCCAGAAAAGAGCGACCCCCAGGCCTCCTGGCCCTCCACTGCACGAGGCACCCACCCCCTCGCCGCCCCTCCCCTCCCCCTCCCTCTGTTTCTGTGCAGTGCTTACGTTAGTCTTGCCCGGCTGTGCGAGGCCCCCGTTGAGGAGCCCCACAAGCAGCAGGGTCAGCAACAGCATGGTGCGCCCCATGCTGTGACACTCACAAGTCAAGCAGGAGGATGGCGTCCAGGGGAAAGGAAGGAGCGTTGAGAGAGGGAGGGGGTGGGGGGGTGGGGTGGGGGAGCTGCTTGTCGGCCTTTTCTGTACAGAACGTGGCGTTTATGCCACGTAGAGACCAAGCAGCTATACAAAGACAAGGAAGGAACGTTGGCCCAGTCCGAAGACAGGGAGGGAAGGGAGAAAACGGGTCAAACCGTTCAACGGCAACGATCTAAGAATTCATGCGCCAAGCTCGCAGAGAAGCCACTTCTCGCCGATGAGCGCCAAACCATGACAGAGAGCCAAGGGGTCGGCGGTGCGCGGCTGCGCGGCACTCATCATGCAGCCGCCGAGAAGGCTTACATGACCGGCCTCAGGCACCTGTGCGGGGAAGGCGGTGTGCCGGTATGCGTCAAGGCTGCTGTGAGGCATCTCAAAGAGTCGGCGCAGATGGGCTACGCAGAGGCCTCATTCGGTAAGGAAATTCAACCACGAGAAGCCGTAAGGTCAACGAATGATCCATTCACCCCCTGCTGCGCGTGTGTGTGTATGTGTCCATCCATCCATCCATCTATCCATCCGTCAGTGCTGGCAAAGTTGTCCAAGGAGGGTCAGTGTGTTGATGTGGAGGGCTACAGCACCTACCTGACTAGGGCGGCATCATCAGGCCACGGCAGGGCACTGGTGGAGCTGGCGCGCGTCAAGCAGCAGGGCATCCTTGGCCCGAAGGACCCGGTCACCGCTAGGCAGATGCTCATCCGTGCTGCCGACCAGGATGAGGTGGGCGATGGACTGGATTGGATTGCCGACTCAATGATGAGTACACAGACTGTGTGTGGTCTGCCTACGCGCGCGCGTGTGTGTCCATAGGCCTCGGCGTGTCCTCTGTTGGCCAAGCTCGATGACGCGCCGCAGTCGCTCGCGGCACGCTCGAAGGAAAACAGCGCCAGACAGGTGAGGAAACCACCACAGCTACTCGACCCGATTGACCAAGCGCCCAGACATTCCCCCTGTATGTGTTTCTGTTCAGCTTGAGCGAGTGCGCTGGCTGCGTCGCGGTGCTGACTTGGGAGACCCGGAGTGTCTGTATGCTCTGGGCTGTGGCTATCTGGAGGGCACTTTGGGCGGCTCCACAGTGCGTGACCCCGCTGGAGGGCTGGAGGTGCTGCGCAAGGCGGCGAAGGTCAAGCACGCGGAGGCATTCAGACGTCTGGGGGAGCTGTACAGGTGACGGAGGAGAAGTGCACGAAGGAAGGGAAGTGCTGGCTGGCACGGCTGCCCTCATGCCGCTGGTGTCTGTCTTGTCTTATTGTTGGTCAACCAACGATCAGAGATCCCCCGAGTGAGCTGGTCGGCACCATACGCCGCGACTGTGTGCATGCTGCCAAGCTGCTGGCACAGGGGTGCGACCTCATGCGGGAGGAGAGGAACAAGTGAGCAAAACCAACACAACCAACTGCACGGGACCACGCAATTTCCCCTGTGTGTGTGTGTGTGTGTGTGTCAGGTTGTTGCACGACAAGGATGTCAAGCAGTGGAAGCTCATCGAGACCCACCAGCAGCACCTCGCCCTCGTGCAGCAGCAGCGCTCACTCCACGCCATCATAGCCGCATGGCGCGACACAACCAGACGCAGCAAGGACGCCCTCCGCAGGCTGGTCACCAGGCTGCACACCAGCAGGAGGTGGCGGGCTCTCGTGGGCTGGCGGGCAGCCATGCACCCACACAGAGACGGACAGATGCTCGCCCAGACGGCCACCCCCATCAGTGCCTTGGCATCGGTCCTGGCCGACCGCCTGTTGAAGGCCAGGAGGCGTGTTTGTGCGCCTGTGTGGGAGTCGCTGCGGGGACGGGTCGCTGCTGGTAGGACGATGAAGGCTGCGGGGATATTATCCAGGTGCGAAGGCTGCAAACACCCGTCTATTGCGTCATTTCTTGTGGTTTTGGCTCTTGTCTTCTGCAGGAGAGTCGGCTGGGTGTTTCGGAGGAGCTTGACGACTGCATGGACGCGCTGGAATCGATTTGTGCAGCGAGCCAAGTGGGTCGAATGCGATCTCGAATCTCTCGATTTCATCTCGGTCATTTCACTTACTGTTCGTGTGGCCACGTGTGCAGTGCATCGGCCGTGGCCACGTCGAGTCAAAGAGATGTCCTCGAAGCCCTGCAGGCGCAGCACAAGGTCGGACATTCACAGGCACTTTGTGCGGCATATGGATGTAGGCAATACCTTAGTTACATGTGTGTGTGTATGTGTGTGTGAGTGCAGGCGGACCACCATCGGTGGCTGTCGACGCTCGCGAGCCTCAAGAGGCGCCTCGACTACGAGGAGCAGCTCAACAAACACCTAGACTCCCTCTACAAGGATGCAACTGCACAGGTCAGCTGCACCGGTGACAGGGCGATCCGCAGCAGACACAGAAGAAGCCAACAAACCATTTTCTCGTTTATCTCTGATCTGTCTGTCTGTCTGTCAGCTGATGCAAGTGCTTCGCCAGCCAAACGCCAAGCCGCCCCGCCCTCAGACCGTCCCAAAGCCCACAGCTGCCGAGAGCTCGCCACCACTCGCACCGCTCTCCATTTCCCCCGACCACCCGGTGCAGCCCGCCCATCATCGCACCCCACCAGCTCTCCCACCATTGCCGCCAGAGGCGCAGTCGGGTGTGCCACCTTCTCTGCGGATGTATCGCGGCGACGGCAGTGGCGGCAACCGGCCGGCCGTCACGGTGTCCTTTCCGGCATCCTCGGCTCCATCCGAAGAGGGCGGGGGTGCTGGTGCTGGTGCTTCTGATGGGTTGAGCGGTTCTCCATTGGCTGGTGGTGACGATGAGGTGCGGCAGGTGGACGCGTTGCTCGATCGTGCGCTCCAGGCGTCTCTGGTTCGGCGGCTGCCCCATGCTGTGCTGTCGGAGATCGCCCCTGGGGATGAGCTGTCGCCTCATGCGCCAGCTGACGCATCAGAGGCGGTGAGGGAGAAGGAGGCTGCCGCCCGGCCTGCTATGAAGACACTATCAGAGGTGAGGCGGAGGCAGGCGTGTCAACACCCTCAATCCTTCTTTGATTTGTGTGGTTCTGTTTGTGTTGTGTGGGGTTCTGGGGGTACAGAACGGTCACCTTGTCGGTCTTCGGTCAGCGTCGTCATCCATCATGGCCCAAGCCGATGAGTACTCGCCCTCTGACACAGACACGTCGCACCGCCCCCCACCGGCTCACTCCAGCACCCACCCGCCCTTCGCCAGCCTCTTGTCGCGGTCGCCGTCTGGCCGCCCTGTCAACGTGCCCCCTCTGAACCTCCCCATTCGGCTGCCCACACCACCACAGCAGCAGCCCACCGACTCTCGATCAGCCACCAAGGGCGGCGGCCGGATGCATGGTGACCACGGGAGACGAGATGGGTCAGTCGTTGGTGCCTCCTCCCACCACAGCAGCGAGGCCAACGATCGTGTGGCTGCCTTTCTGCTGAGGAACTACTACTCGAAGAAGAGGAGCGGCGTTGGTGGTGGTGGTGGGGGTCAGCCCGGCAGGAGTTTGGGCCGGTCAGCGAGCGCGTTCTCGCTGGATGGGAGGCGGGGAGGTGGGGGTAACGGAAAGGTCAGGTGGTGAGGCAGACAGCCGATGATGGATCGGATCTGATCGGATGGGGTGAGGTGGAGTAAGAGTGGCACACGCCTACCAAAGGGCTCGTCATGTGTGTTGTGTATAGCCATTCCTCAATCCGTGTGAGTGAGTGCATTGATTATACATATGACGGACGACATACACAAACGGTTAACTGTATGTCTGTATCGGTCTGCATTGCACTATACATCGTTTTCTGTCTACTCGTCGGCCGTCGTGCTGGCGTGGTTGACGGCGGCCGGGCTGAGGGCATACGCTCGCAGGTCGTGGGGCTTCACCGCCAGATGCTTCAACAGACACCACACGTCAACGCAGCCCCCTGTGTGCTCACAGACAGACAACAGACACACACACAGACAGACACAGACAACGCCGTCAAGTCCTCCGTCATGTGTTGGTCCGTCCGTCTGCCCATACTTGATCTGTGTGTGGTGTGGCCGTTGGGCACTGATCCGTCCGCCGCCCACTCCATCAGCCGCTGGTTGAACTCCTCTTTGCTCAACCAGTTCTTGCCGCCAGCGAAACTGACCAAACACACACACACACACACACACACACAGAATGCCGCGTCGCGGCCGCTGTTGGCGGCCCCCTTTCTCTCAGTGATACGCATCAAAGACGGAGTCGAGCGCCTCAGCGGAGATGTATGGGCCGCTCAGATAGACATTCACACCCTGTGTGGTGGAGACAGACAAAGGACAGACAGACAGACATTGGTCTGTTGGCTCATGTTCGTGTCTGTTGCCCCAGCTTGGTCCCTCACCTGTCTGCCTTCGGTGGATGTGTCGTATCCCGTCCGCTCGGCCACCTCCTCATACACACGGTGCAAACGACCCGACCGATCAAGAGGCTGCACTCATCCATCCAGGACACACACACCACACCACACCACACCACACCGACAGACAGACAGACAAGACACACCCATCGACCACATGGCTGGCTCTTCCGTCCTGTTGCTTGCCCTGCCCGGCTGCATACCCATTTGAATGGCAGATAGGGCACTCGGGCGTGGAACTGGTCCCGTGTCAGCCGGCTCTTGGCACTCAAAGCCGATAGAGCTGACCGCGACCCGCCGCCCCCTCCCCCTCCCCCGCCACCTCCACCGCCCCTGCCACCACCCCGGCTACTGGCCTCCGATGAGCCCTCTAGGTCCTCCCCGAACAGCAGATCCCTGCAGGCAGAAAGCACCACATCCAGGCAGGTGACGGCGTGGATGTCGTGGCGGTGGGTACCAGTTTGCCGTCTTGTAGAGGGGTCGGCTGGCGCTGCCGCCCTCAGACAGGGCGTAGCCGATCTCGCTGCGGGCCACCTTCGAGATGCCTGCACTCCACACACACACACACACACACATAATGCAGGCGTGAATGCGCTCTCATTGCTAACTGGTCCTTCTACCTGTCGCGTAAGGTTCGGGCCATGGCACCTTGCCGTACTCGTCCCTGTGGCCCAGGGAGTAGTCATGCTCACTCAGACGACCGTAGAGCTGCACCGCTCGAGCCAGACAGACAATCAAACCAACAAAGCAGATTGCACGACCGAAGTGGAGCTCTCAAGTGGGTCACCTTGACGAGCTCCAGCAGCTGCAGAGAAGCAATCCACACAAGCACAGATGAGAGGGCGTTGCATATTGTCATCGGCTCATGAGTCACTGCGGTTGCACCTGCGCACCTGATAGGCCAGCGACTGATGCAGGGTCAGGAGCAGCCCGATGGCCAGCCTGACGGTAGATGCCTTCCTCCGCCGTCGCAAGCACACATCACGCCGGAGAGATCCGGCCATCTTCGCTGCCTTTGCGGGGAGAGAGCGGTTTCACGGCGATCTCCTTGACACACATCCTCCCGCCATCCCTCTCGCATCAGTGGTGAGATTCCTGACACTATCCTGGGCTTCCTGACCCACTTGGGAACCACAGAATTGAAAGATCTGTCAGTGTCCATCTGGTTCGTTTTGCCTCAGGCGGTATGCCATGACGATGGCAGCCAGCTCAGCGGCGTACACTCGACAACAGGTGAGTCCGTGTTGCCGGGTGGGGAGGAAGGTGTGTATCGCGACTGCGCTTGTCTTTTTCAGGGTCACAGCCTTCGCTGTGCTCTGATTGTGGATGGGGCGAATGCTCTGAAAGGCTTCGAGAAGCATGAGCGCAGGCTTATGCGGCACCACGACTTCGAGGCGCATATTCGAGAGATGCTTGTCGCCTTCGAGGCAAATACAGGAAGATCTATGCAGCTGGTCACGGACCACACCATCTTCGTCAATGTCGACCCGCAGGAGTACAAGCGGTTCATTTCTCGACACCTCGAGAATCGCTACAGCGGAGAGGAGCTGGACTACAGAAGGCGGCAGTTGGGAAATGACTCCAGGAGGATGGCAGAGCTTCACAATCGGCTGGGAAGAAGACGGAGCCCGTGCCGCTTCAAGATCAAGACGATAGGGCTGAAATCGAGGGAGGTGAGGTGCCACAACTGCCGATGCATGCAGGAAGACCATGTGCAGAGGGGAGGAGACGTCATGATCGCCATGTGCCTCTTGGAGGCTGCATTGCGTGATGACATCGATCCCGTGATCCTGTTCAGTGGTGACGGGGACTTCATGCCGGCATTGCAGTCCATCAGGCAGGCTGTTCCGACCAAGAAGATCTTTGTCGCGGCGTATGAGGCCACAGCGAGGTCGGCAGGCTGAATGTCTCGACGCTCACTCTTTTCTTCTTCTGTTGTTTTGCAGTCGCAGGTTCTCAGTCTCCGACAGCTGGGAGCTCAGGGATGGCCGATGGCAACCAGAAATCTCCAGGCACATCGATCACGTGCACTTGATACGGACGAGTGATGCAGCAGCACCGCCCCCACCTCGAGAAACTCTCCCAACTCTCCCGGTCGACGACAGGGCCTATGCACAAGCACTCTTAGCTATCTTACTCGAAAGGACATGAAGCGCGCTGCATTGATGGGTGAAAAATGGGCTGTACGATGGATTGAGGCAGACGATTCGGATGACGATGATGATGATCTTCTCGTCATTGATGTCGACTGGGACATGCCATCCTGCCCTGAGTTCTTCCTTGGCCTGGGTGGCCCGTGAACTGACAGTAAGACGGCGCCTTTTTTTTTTTTTAAACCCTCTTCATCTTTGTGTTTCGTAGCTATACGTGAGCGAATCGTGTGGATGCGCTGGGGTATGTATGTGTGTTCTCAGTGTGGGTGTATAGGTTGTGGGTCTGTGGCGTGCGTGTGTGACGTGCGCGCCTGCCTGCCTGCCTGCCTGTCTGCTCTGGTGTGTGGATAATGCGTCGTTCGCGTGTCTGCCTGAGTGTGCCGACTGACTGACTAGATGTGCACCTACATATATTTCTTGACTCGTTCGTTCATTCAATGGCATCCTCGGCTCCACATCAGCCGTACGCCCCCCCAGCCCTTTCCATCCTATCCAACACAAACCCATACGAAATCTGTACCATGACACCTAAAGGGTTCGGGAGAACCGAGAAGGCGCGGAGGTTGCTGCTGCGAAGGTGTGTGGATGAGGTTTGTTGAGCGATCTGCACTGATGGGCCGTGATGGCTATGTTTAATTCCCGCGAGTCTGTTTGACTTTTGCGCTGTCTGTCCATCACCCACCTCCCCCACAGCCTAGACAGCTGCTACAAAACCATCAAAAGGCATGCAGTGTCCAGTACGTGTGTGTGTGTGTGTGTGTATGTGTGTGTTTGTTTGTGTGGATGAGACAGGAAGCCAGCCAGTCTTCTTGAAGCAAAGACCTTGACTCTCTCTCTCGTTTCCCAACCCACCCCCACCCTCTCTCACTTCCACCCCCAATTGCCCCTCCCCTCTCTCTGCTCCAAAAACAGCACCGACATGGGGTCGGTGCACACACAAGCCCTAGCTAGATTACACACATACATACATACACACACAGGAAGCCACGCATGGACGTGAAAGCGATATGGAGAGCGATATCTATGGACGCATCAATCGGTCTCTAGAAAGTGATCGGACTGGAGGGAGGGGAGGGAGTGGGTTGTTTGCTATGCTGCAAAAAGTGAGCTTAGCTAGTGAGACGTGGGCGTTGCCGCACGATAGATACACATACATAGACAACAGCCAGGCCAGACACTATGGTGGGTAGTAAGGCTATGGAGGTCGGTCGGCGATAAAGCGATATGAGAAAGCGATATGATGATGGAAAGATAGACAGGATGGATGGATGGATGGATAAATAGCATCACGCAGTGGCTGAGTGACTGAGTTTGTGACTGAGTGAGTGACCCCCCCCCTCCCTCGTTCGTTCGTTGTGTCCGTGTCGTGTTTGTTGCTTGCAGAATGCATAAACACGATTCATCCCCCCCACATCCCACCCGCAGACACGCAGTACGATGGACGGATACCTATGCACCACCACAATCAAGAGACAGACGAGAAGATGCTAGGTAGGACAGCTGATGGATGAATGGATGGAAAGGGAGATGGATGCTCTCACACGTGCCGTGTCTGCAGTCCTCCCCCTGACCTTCCCAAAGAGCGACTCAATCCCCCGCAGGAGATCGACGCGCCCCTCAGGCAGGTGAGGAGGAAAACTTCGACCCATGGCACGCACACCCACAGACAGAGATGTGTTCTTTCCCGTTGCCTCTCTCCTAACGCGACAGCTATGGCGGCTCTAGTGGCTAGGCTACGGACGAGTGATAAAAAACGACCAACCAAGATGGGCCCCCGCAAAAGATACCACACACGCGCAGAGAGAGAGAGGGAGAGGGAGAGAGGGAGAGAGGGAGAGAGGGAGAGAGGGAGAGAGGGAGACAGCTCGAGAGACGCAGGGAGGTGATTTAGACTGATGACTGGTGTACAGATTGGACAGACAGAGAGATGAATGGACGGATGGATGTGGATGCCCCCCCCCCCTCCCCTCCCCCCGACCAAGAGAGCTAGCTAGTATCGTGGAAGCGCTAAACCCCTACAGTCCCCCCCTCCCCCCACCCCCACCCACCCACACAATTCACACGCAGACACGCACACGTACACGCAGACACGAAAATCTTGGTACATCAAACAACACAACACACTCAAACACACATACATACACACAGACGAAGTCGCGGGTGCCAAAACCGCCTTGCTTCGTTGGGTCTCTCTACCTGTCTGTCTACCTGTCTACCCTTGGGCGTCGACCAAACCACTTCCATGACGCAGGCAGCGAAAATCAGAGCTTGCTTTCGCCCGCCCCGCCCCGCTCTGGCAACAACCAACCAACCAACCGCTCAACAAACCACTCAACAAACCCACACCGGACGGACTCCATCCGTCCATCCCCAAGTGTCATCCACACGTTGGCTGCGTTGCTTGATCGATCGCCAGGTAGCGGGCAGAAAACAAAACAAAACACAAATCGAATCAAACCGTATCTTCGTTCGTTTGTGTGCATTGGAAAAAACAGAGAGGAGGGTTTCTCTCTCGTCAGTCATGTGTCATCAACCAGTCGGTTCAAAAGGGGACCAGTGAGCGGAGTGAGGGAGGGAGGGAGGGAGTGAGGGAGGGAGGGATGGAGGGAGGGAGCAGTAGTGGGAGAGAGAGAGTGTATGTCTATGTGTGTTTATCTACATGTTGGAAAAGAACGAGGGAGGGCAGGGAGGCGGGGGGAGGGAGGAGTGGGAGGAGTGAGGTCAGTTAGACTCGCTTTGTCGGCCGGCGTGGCCTCTGGTACCACTCCTGAACCCTCGGGTGGCTCTGCACCGTCGCGTGGATCTGAACACACACACACACACACACACACATGATTTTTTGTCAGTCTGCTGACTCCCTCCCTCCCTCCGTCCCTCCCTCCCCACCTGCATGATGTGTGTGTGTTTGTCGGCCAGGGTCTTGGGCACGCCGCTGACCACACCGGCCCGCAGCCAGCTGATCAGATTGAACAGCACGAGATCCGCCTGCATGAGATGAGCCACACACACATGGGTCGTTCGTTGGTGGGGATGCTGCTGCGCTCGCTGCGGTGAGTGCCGTTCAAGCTCCTTTATTTACCATGGACAGTGAGGAGCCCACTGCGTATCCCGGTGTGGAGTTGCTGGCGGCGAGGGCGTCCAGACAGGCGAGCGTCCTGGGCAGGTGGACACTTGCCAGCTCAGTGCGCATCTGGTGAGCCAAAGGCACGCACACACACAGCACAGAGCAGGGATGACACGTCAGCCATCCGTCCATCTGGACGCGCCTACCTTCATCTTGGTTGCGACGTCCTCCTCCCTGACCGTCTCGGCGATGGCCGAGTAGGCCTCGTCCACACCCAAAACAAACTCAGCCGCCTTGGCCTCCTCCCACGCCTCAGCAGGCATCAAACCTGCACACAGGGCACAGCCCACACGTCAACAGAGGCTGGTGAGCCTGTTTCTCGCGCAGGCAAGGCTTGGCGCGTACCCGTCCTCCTGCCGACGAAGGTCATGATTGCGAAGGACTGGGAGAGCACGTGGCCCTCCATCTCCAGCACGGGCAACTGCTCATACGGGAGGCTCCCACTCCGACATCGCGACAGGAAGGCCCTCTCGGTCAGACGAACGTCCTCAAAGTCAACACCCGCTGCACACACAGACAAGCCAGCGCCATCAGAGTGCCATTCTGCCTTGCCACGCCCCCCCAAGCTGTCTGCCTCTGCCGTGCCCTCACCAATGGCGAAGGCCAGTCGAATCGGTTCTGCGCGTCCCTTGACGCCGAAGTAGAGCAGCCTGGGTTTCTGGAGAGGTGCGCACTCGTCGTCGTTGAATACCGAGCGAGGCGGGAGGTAGAGGGGGTCAGGCCCGTGCGACCTGGAGGACCCTGGCGATGCGAGGTCGGGGAGGGAGGGTGGCGACAGCGAAGAAGGCGCGGTGGACAACGACGGCGTGTCTACTGGCATCCTGCTCGGCCGTTCTGTTTGGTTCGCTGCGATTCGGCCTTCTCTCGCACTTGCCGCTCGGGACCTAAAAACGTAGCTCGCAAAATATTGGGTCCATAATGGCGGGGTAGCGAATGTATGGCTTCTTCGTCTGTTCGGTCCGATCAGCGGCCACAGCTACGCGCAGCGCAGGTGAGCTGGACGCAGGAGCGGATGATGGATTGATGGATGGATGGACGGCCGGTATGAGTGTTCCTGGCCAATAATCTTGTACTTCGGGCACGAATGTCGCCTTTTTCTTGTCGGCGCCCCCCTTGGCGAAGGCACTTTTTCTGTTCGCAGGGGTGGCCCTGAGCCTTTCCCTCCTCGCAGCTGCTGCCGCTGACATCAACCAAACGAAGGCATCTCCCCCCCTGCAACGACATGAGGGTGTACCAGACCTTCTTGGTCATCAGCAGGGGCTACGACGCGGGCCCGGATCATCAGGCCGGATGTGCCACAGACCCTGGACGAGCCCGAGAACACACAACAGTACCCTAATTCAGCGGCCCATTTCTTCCATGAGGCTTATGGGCTGGAGGCCAGCACCGACGGTGTGTATCCTCAGTTTTGGGCGGTTTCTCCCCGTGCTGTGCCGGTGAACATTGCCCTGGCGGGGGACCCCCAGAAGGGTGTCATCCAGCCTACCTGCGTCGCTGCCTTTAGAATAGACCCAAACGTCGTCTACCAGGTTGGTGCACACCCCTCTGCGCTGCGCGTACTTCTCTGCCCTGTGTGTGTGTGTGTGTGTGTAGAGGTGTACGGGTTTGACGCGCTGTTCTACGAGCCGTGGCAGAACCGCCTCCCCATCACCAATGCCCGTGTGGATGACCTCTACATTCTCATCACGATCCTCAAGGACGGGGGCCTGCAGAATAGGGGCAGCACCAGTAATCAGTTCCTCATCCTTCCTCAGGGCTCCTTTGTCTGGTCCGGTGTGTATCCCTTGTTCGCCAAGCAATCGGACGGCCAGGAGAACCTTATCGGAAGGTCAGGCCAACCAATCGACACGGAGACAGACAGACAGACAGACAGGCGGTTGCAAATAATCCATGGTCTGTCTTGCGTCAGGATCCCCTACAGGACCATCCAGTTCGCAATCTTCAGCCCTTTGTCTGGCTATTTCGTGATGGAGCTCTTCGTAAGCACCAGCACGATCCATTCACGCCTTCTGCCCACCATGTGTGTCTCCTTCTATACGTGCAGAATGTCGAGCCGGCGTTGTTGGGTGGCACCGGCCTGGCACTCGGGGCCATCGCGTCGGGGGGACTGGAACGCCGAGAAGACGCTCTCCCGGCGGGGCGGCAGCGCAACTCGGTGACTCATATCAATCGCAAGCAGCTTGAGTATGGTGCAGAGTGAATGAGTGGTGGTGTCGTGTGGTTCCTCAGGTGACGATGTGGTTCCCGGGCAGCCAGTCGCAGGTGCACCCCTTCGACGCCCAGTGCAAGCAAATCATGGCCAAGGAGCCCCCCGGGTCCGTCTCGCACTAGCCAACGGGCTGGCTTCTCCGTTTGTGGGTTTTCCCTCCCGTCCATCCTCGTGAGGTCGAAAAAGAGCAATTAAGACTTGGGATGGCCGTGCCAAGGGATTGGCTGGACGGCTGGTTGTCTCTTCGGTATACCTCCTCTTTGTCTGTCCTTCGCTGCGTCTCGATTTTTCGGTCTGGCTGTTGTTCTGTCTGGTTTGCGTGTGTGTGTCCAGTGTGTGTGCCTGTCACAGCAGTACCGAGCCTCGAGCAGACCAACAGCCTCGGGTCTGCGTCTTTTGTAGTGTGTGTCCTAGTGCACGTCCTTGGCGGGAGCATATGAGTGATGCATTTGCACAAGGAGGCAGGCCAGAGTGCTGTGTGCTGTGTGCCATGCACGAAACGAAGAGAGAGATTTCGTCGTCTCTCGAACAAAGTGCGTGTGTGTCCGTTTTTGCGGTCAATTTTGAAGACACCAAGGATGTACATTGGTCGAAATAGGCGCGCATGGAAAAGGGAGAAAGGCTGGGAGGTGAGGGCCACTACTGTTTGCGTTGCTTGTTGGAGGGGCTCAATGGAATTACAATCAGTCCATTAATCCATTCATCCATCAGCCCACGGACATGCAGCCATCCATCTGTCCATGCGTCCCCGTGTGCAAAGAGGTGCCATGTAAGAGGAGACATTAGCGGGCCACCGTGCATTTTCCAGACCTACCTGACCAACACAACAACACCCACCCAGCCACTCGATGTGAAAGCGTCAAAACTCACCCACACACACCGTAGCACAGCCAGAAGATTCTTGCCGGACAACCACGCACTCACTTTCCAGACAATCTGGAGACGTCTGAGACGGGGGGCACCCAAAAAACCCAGCCCCCAACCTTGCGCATGTATGGAAAGCATCGTGTGATGCATCTGATATCGCCTGTTTCCTAAACAGCTGCCTTTTTTGCTCTCTGACCATCTCTCTGCAAGGCCCAGCCATCATCTAGCCTCCCCGCTCTCAAATTCCGCTCTCGGGACAGACCGTCATGTCTTCGAATTCCATCTTTTCTGGCCGTTTCGACGTTCAAGCCCAACCCTTCGGTGAGGGGGCTTATTCTACGGTACACAGAGCCAAGGACAGGGCCTATCCCGACCCCAACCGCCTCTTTGCGATGAAAATTTTCAAGCCAGTGCGGCGGCCCGGGGCGACGGGTGGCACCATCCACCTCAGCAGCCTCAACGAGGTACTTCTTTATGACGTCCTGCAATCAAATGCAGAAGCCCGAGCCCTCGCAGCCGGCAGATCTAAGGAGCTCTATCGCAGCGGCTGGCATCCGAACATTGTCAAGAGGTACGGCAGCTTCCTCGACCACAGCAGCACGCGGCAGGGCGACCAGTGGCTACAGCTGGAGCTGCTGGATGGGTACCAGTCGGCGGACAAGTGGATGACCAGCTCAGTGCTGTCTGACGCCGACATCAAAGCCGTCCTCTACCAGTCCGTCCGCATGCTGGCTTTCCTGCATGAGCTCGGGATTGCGCACGGCGACATCTCTCGCGCAAACCTGCTGGTGAGGAGAGGAGAGGGTGGCCTGCCCATCATGAAGGCCATCGACTTCGGCCTAAGCGTCCACCCCAAGACACCGTACGGGGGGCACGGGGAGGGCTCGGGGACGTTCCAGGGAGCCAAAGGGACGCCAGGCTACGTGACGCCAGAGATGGCGTGGCCTTACGCGGCACACGATGACCCAATAGGTAACAAAGACCGAGACACGGAGGGAGGTGGGCCATCAAGAATGAGGGGCGTCTTTTGCTTTTGCGTGTGTGTGTTATTTGTCGTTCGTCCAGGTTGCGGTCTTTTCCCGGCATACAGTGTGCGGCAGGGCGACATCTTCCAGGCCGGCGTACTGGGGCTGGAGATGGCCACGGGCAAGAACTCGTGGAAGGACATCTTCCCCCTTGCCACGCCCAGCAACACAGAACTCGCCAACGTGTACTTTAGCACACTCATACACACACAGACACGCGGCTGGATGGATGGATGGCCGTATGTCCTCTCTCTCTGTGTATGTGTTTGCGTAGGTCTCGGACGCTTTTCGACTTCACTGGGCGGCCGACCGGCAACGAAGCCGCGGCGATGGGGCTCCCGCCTGGCCTCTTCCGCGACATCGACGTCAGCAGCGGGGAGCGGAGCAAAGCCAAGATACGGCAGCTGGGTGTCCAGCACGAGGGCCTCATCTCTGTGCTGTCGAAGTAAGTCAGAGAAGGGGGCGTCTTGCATCTTGCGTGTGTGTGCACCTGTGTGTGTCCCATTCATTCATTGTCTGCAGGATGTTGTGCCTGCCGACGTGCCGGTGGACTGCTGCCCAGCTCGCGTGTCACCCATACTTCGATGACCCGGCCCTCACACCCCTCTTCGCCGAGTACATCGCCCTCGGCTTCTTCCCCCCCACACACACCACCGCCCCCCACGCCATGTCCATCAGCGCCTCTCGCCCTGAGGAGCTCTCTACGAGCGCAGGGTCGTCTGCAGCCGCTGTGTCTCCTCAGGAGACCACCACCTCTGGTGTGGGTCCTCATCGCTTCCGCAGGTCCCGCCGTAAGTCTCCGCGCACGTCCTCTCGGCGCAAGTCGTCCGCCCGGGGCGGGAGCCGAAGGCATCGCCTTCATGAAGGCCTTCTTGACGCGTTTGGCAGCACGGCACAGGTGTTGAGGAGGGCCGCCAAACGCGTCAAGAAGGCCATCATGAAGGTGCACAAAGCGCTGAGAAGGAAGGCATCTTCTGTGGGCCTCGGCCGGAGGGGCCGTCGCACGGGCAGCGCATGGGTGAGGGGAGGGGAAAGGAAGAAGATGCGATCTAGCCTCCATGTTTAGCCTTCATGAGAGGGGGGGAGGGTCCGTTGCTGCCTGTGTTGCGTGTTGTCGGTGTCCTCCTGCTGCCTGCCTTCCCAGTGGCTGACTATTTTTATTGTCTGTGCACGTGGGACCGTTTGGGCGTCGCTGAATGTGATGGGTGGGCTCATCAATGGCCCAACAGGCCCTTCTTTTACGCAGCTTGGCTTCGATGAAATGAAAGGAACCAGAGAGGCATTCACTCGAAACCTGCCACGCATCCCGCAGACAGTTCACCATCCCCCTGTGAACTGTCTGTCGCAGCCTAAATGAATGCAGTCAGTCTGAGCAGAAGCATCAATGCACCAACACGAACACCTACACAAGTGTCAGTCATGACAGCCCTCTTTCCCTCTCGAGCGAAGCAATGACACAGGCAGACAGATGCGGCCACTAGGTAGGTAATGAGGCCGTACAGAAAAAACAGCCAACACAAACAGTGGGTCATGCTCAGGGACAGGGCCACCGGCAGGAGTGACACCTATGGGGCGCCGCTCTCTGTCTCTTGGGCTGTAGCTGGGGCGGGCATGGCAGCCTGCAGCCCATAGAACTCATTCTGCGGCGGCTGAGAGCAGAGCTCACGATGCTCGTCCACAAACCTACACGCAGACACACATGGGATGTCACATACATGGATGGATGGATGGCACCTCATGCCGATAATATAGCTCACTTTTGTTTGTCCTTGGCGAATCGTGCGGCCCGGCTGTGGAGTGCGTCTGAGAGGAAGGTGAAGCGGCGCCGCTGCAAGGTCCGGAGCGATATGTCCACACCGGCAGGACAGCTCCTCCTCTGTTTGGACGCCTCATGGGCGCCTCCCTTGGCAGCGGTCCGTGTGGTGCCGTCGGTGCGCCACTCGTAGCCGTGAGCGAGCGAGAAGCGCCACAGCCCCCTCACCGTCTCAAACCACTCATCTGAACCACACACACGACAGATCAACACTCACACAGAGAGTGAGCATCGGTCTCGGCTGCTGACCGACCAAGGCTGGCGGCCGTGTCAGTGAGGCGTTTGTTGGGCAGCCGCAGCAGAGATGGCGCCTCGTAAATCACACTAGTACGTCTGCACCACACACACACCACAGAGCGCACAGCACACAACCAGTGGTGAGGCAAGCAAGCAGCCAATCATGAGTCAGTCGGTCAGTCGATGTACGTTTGTTGGGTGCGTGACGTTGGCCTTTCTCGTCAGTTTGGCGATGATCCAGAGGTCCGAGAAGGTGATGAGTCCCCGCTGCTGCAGCTCCTCCATGGGAATCGACTGCACCACACGATACTCGACGCCATCCAAATCACTGCACACACACACACACACAAGCAAACACACTCACATGAGTCACAGCGGTTGTCTCGCCGCTGTCTGCTTGTCTGTTTGGCTCACTCAGGCGCCTCTTCGCCTCACCGCAGCCGCTCATTCAGCGCCGATGAGCCGTAATGGTGAACCGTAGAAATCTGCACTCCGACAAGACAGCACACTCACTCATTCACTCATTGCTTGTGTGTGTGAGTGTCTGTGTGTCTGTGTGTCTGTGTGTGTGTGTGCCGCGTGATCACATTGCATGATATTGGTGTTGTCCAGCGGGTTGTCGCGCAGAAAGTCCTCATCGCGATGGGCACGGAAGCGTGGGTCATCTAAGCTCTCCATCACGCCACCTCGAATGCGTGATCCGCCTCTCCCCGCTCCGCTTCATCTGCGAGCTAGTCGAGCAGGAGAGAGTTTTGGCGACCGGAGCGTACTGATCTAAGCGTGTGCAGCTCTTTAGCCCGTCCACGTGGGCAGCTCTGCCACATTGAGATGAGGAAGGGATCTCGTGAACCGCAACTGCTGAGTCAGAGCGACACCGACCTGCTTGCGGCGGATCTACTCTCAGCGGACCCCACCACCTTCACAGCTGCAGCACGGCAGGTGGCCAATGCATGTGTGAAGGAGAGGCTCAACAAAAAGGAAAAGCAGCGTCTCGCTGCCCGCCTTCTCAAAGACAAAGACGGGCTGAGGCGCATACTGCTGCGGCTGGTGAATGATCGATACAGGGAGACCCAGCTGGCTGCGGCCGATCTGCTGCTCTTCATCGTTACGGAGAATCTGATCAATCCCGCTATTGCAGCTCTGCAGTCATGCCAGCTTGTCGATGTGGCTGGTGTTATTGTGGATGTGGTGACCTGGAGGGAACCAACAGCCGCCAGCAGGGGCTATGGGCCTGACGAGAGCCTATACGTCAAACACGTCGTCAAAGCTGATGCTGCAGTGGACGTCGTGACGTACCTGCGGCTGCTGTTTCTTGCCTCGGTGCTTCAGGATCTGCAGGCCGCTGCACCGCGGGAGGGCGCTCGTCTGCGGGACTCAGTGCTCGCCAACCACGAGACCACCATCAAGCAGTGTCTGAAGGTCATCCGCACCGACACACATGGGTCTGTTTCCCCTACGGCGTATTCCGTCGTGAAATCGCTGCTGCAGCCGTTTACCACCCCATCGCCATCTTCCCCCGATGAGGACCTCACCCCCATTCCCCTCCAGCTGTCCCTGCCGCTCTTCACACTCCTCGTCGAGCATTTGGGAGGGGCGACCTACGCATGCAGAGGGATGGCGGTGGGTGCTGGATCTGCCTTCGTATGTGGCACACGCAGCCTCGCAGAGGCAGAGCAAATGTAAGATGCAAACACATTTAGAAATGAGCTCTAAGCCGACAACCCCTTAGTGTTGTCGTCGTCTTCTGTGTACGTGTGTGTGTCGGTCCATCAGCTCTGCGCCAGAAGGACGTGAGGCGGCTGCTCGAACAGCACCTTTATCCACACGTGGAGCCGCTCCTGGGCATTGTCAGCTCTGCAGAAGGAGGGATGTTGGCTATGGCGGCGGCCACACTGGGTGCCATCATGATGGGCGTCCTCAGACTAAGCCAGCAGCGGGACTTTCCCACCCATTTCTCCCTGTCGTCATGCCGATTACTGCTTGACAACCCCTCGCTGATCATCAAAGCCGTTAAAGCGGCCAACGCCCTTCCTGACCAAGATATCGAGCTGCCGCCATGCACCTACTCCACAATGCTCACCTGTTTGAAGATACCGGCAAGATTCGCTATTGGTCAGACAGAATGGCCATTGAAAGAGAGACAGAGAGAGAGGCGCGGTTGGGGACACAAAGTGACATGTGAAGCTAGGGCTGGGTGTGTGTATCTTCACAGATTCGGGAGACATTGGCCCAGGTCATCGAGTGGTAGAAGCTGTCTGCCAGCTATTGACCGAGCCTGTGTGTGGGGCCGGGGCTCATCGACTGTGTCGCCAATCTCCTGCAGTGGATGATCAAGTGAGCGGGGTGAATGCCTTGGAATAATAGTGGCTGCAGCTGCTCCACGTATGTGTCTGTCATGGGCTGTCCTGCAGGTGTGGTCATGAGCTGGTCACTGACCGCAAGGCGACAACCAACCCATTCGTCGACCAGATTGTACAGGTAGCACCGAACAAAGGAGTGTCCTGCCTTGCGACCATACGTCGATCGCAATGTGTCCGTGTCTGTCTGATTGTGTGGTTTACTGCCAGTGTGAGGCCGTCCAGCAGCTGAGAGGCCGCCGTGACCTGTCAGCAGATGTGAGTGACAAAGCCAACGAAACCGCACGACCACACACATGAGCCGATGGACGCACAGATGCCTCTCTGATTCCCTCCTGCCTTTCTGTGTAGGTATCGTCGTTCATCGATTCGCTCCCCAAGACGGCCACCGTGTGCAGCAGCTCAGCCGCGACGGACCGATCGCACTGCCCAACCAAGCGCAAGACAGCTGCGCACACACGTCCGGCGTCTTCAGGGGCACCTCCGCCGCCCTGCTCCCCCTCCCCGCAGCCCTCGTCACCTGTCGGCCTCGATGCGATGGTGGGCGGCCTGCTATCTGACGATATCGAGACATTCACTGCGGCAGCCAGAGGCATCGTTGGCGGCGCAGTGACCGATGCATCTGCCAAACGGCTGGTTGTGCGATTCGAAAAAGAGGGGGAGCTTTTCCTTCGCGTCTTGATGCGCCTAGTCGACGACAGCAATAGGGAGTGCCAGCTGGCGACTGCTGACCTGCTGGTCGTCCTCTGCACTCATGGCTTCCTGGAGCACATGGCCCCGTCGAATCGTGTGTCGGCCGTCCAGCGCATCTTCGAGATCGCGACGTGGAAGGGCCTTGAGGATCTGTCGACGGAGGGAGGAGGGGAGGGGGGCGACCTGGGCGGAAAGGTCCACAGCATCATCGCGCATGCTATCGTCGAGGCATCGTCACCCAACGAGCCGCTGCTTCGCCCCATCGACGTCGTGACGTATGTGAGAGTGCACCTTATTCGATCTGCTCTTGAAGCGGCCACCGCCCTCGAGGCTGCAGGAGGGCCGCAGCTCCGCGCGAGCCTCCTCCAGACCCCCCAAACGACCCTCCGGCAGGCGATGGAGGTCATTCGGGGGTGCAGACACGCATCATTAGCCAACGAGACCGTCGTGATGCTGAAGAAGCTGTTTGTGCCCAGCCCTGTCGGGCCGTCATTTCAACTCGTGCTCGAGTTCTACTCCATATGCGTCGAGAGCCTGAAGCAGCTGACGGATGACCAGACCGAGAGGACGAGCCGCTTCTTAGTGCCGCTGATGTTCGCCGCAGACTATCTACGTGACTCGCCACGATTAGGTCAGAAAAGTGCACGTTGATATGCTCTTTGAACCAGGCTGCTGTCCTTTGTCTTGGCAGGCATTGTGGAGGAGTGGCCGGCCATCAGGGCGGCTCTCAACACGCACATCTACGCCCACATGGACGGGCTGGTGGACCTCATCGCGGCGTCCGATCCTGCCTCTCCCCTGTGCTGCGCGGCGATCCCCACATCAGGGATCTTCATCAGAATCGCTCTCGTCCTCTGCATGCGAAAGAAGACAGGTAGGAGGTGAAGGAGACTGACGGCTAGTGGGGTAAATGTGTATTTGTGTGTGCAGGTGGCTCTTTGCAGCTAGGTGATTTCGACAAGTACATCGAGCAACCGGGGGCGGTGAAAATACTCGCCGCTGCCCCGCCCCCGATGCAGCCGCTTCGTTCCCTCGTCCTGGATGCGACACTTCGAGATCGAGTGGCCAACACATTGGACATGGACTACAGAGCGCACGAGGATCCAAGGAACTCCTTGGCATGTTGCATCACGACTGCTCTGGTCATTCCAGCCATGGCGCTGATAGGTCCGTCAGTCGGTGCACCTCCCAGAACTCTTGAACCATATGTGTATGTCTTTGTGTGTGTGTGCAGATGGTGGGGAGGCCGGCATTCTGATAGAGTCGCAGTTCGTATCGAGTCTGACACTCATCTTTGAGAGGGCCGAAAGGATCGACATGCAGCTGCTGGTCCTCTGCATGACCTGTGTGAAGACGCTCAGTCAGAGAGACAGGAAGGTCAGCAAAGGAGGGTCACCGACCTCCATCTCATTTGGACGAGAGTGCTGTGGTGGTGCGTTTGTTTGTGTGCAGGTGTTGGGGACTGACGGGACTGGCACAGGCGATATGTGACATGCTTCTCAAAGACGCACAGGGACAGCTCCTCCTCGGGTCCGTCTTCGATGACTGTGACCGTGCTACTGCTGTCGAAATTCTCAAAGGCATCGTCAGGTCAGCCATGTGCTGTAGAAAGGAGCCCGACGCATCATTGAGTGTGTCTGCTTGTCGCTGTGTCATGTGTGGCAGCTATGGCAAGTCGCAGGTCGCAAAAGGCACACCGAATCCCATCGTTGGGGAGATAGTGCAGGTACGTTCACAGCAGTGGCGAACATATTCAGCCAGTCGTGTGGGCTGTGCCTACCTGGGTGTCTCTGTGCCGTCAAGTTCGAGTCGGCGAAGGCGATCCGGAAGCGCACGAGCGGCATCGAGGTCTCACAACAGGTGAGCAGCACTCCTACACATCACAAGACTCTCCCATCCACCTCTCTGTGCCACTCAGGTATTTGGATTCTTCAATTCCCTCGCCCAACAGCACCAGAACGCCACCAAAGCCAAGCCCGAGACCACCATCTCGGCGGCCCAGTTGGCGGCCCAGGAGGCCAAGGCGAAGCGGATGCAGGATGCCCTCCTCGCGGAGGAGCGTCACGAGAAGGAGGCCAAAGAGAAAGAGGACCAGAAGGCCAACCAAGGCAAGAGCAAGGGCACAAAGGGCAAGGGCAAGGGCAAAAAGAACAAGGGCGGCAAGGAGCAGCAGGCGGCTGCAGGTGGGGATGAGGCGGGCCCCTCTGATGCGTTGATTGAGCCGTCAGTGCCCTCCACTGCCGCATCCACCAGGTAGAGAAGCCATCCACAGACCATGGCTGACGGGACTGTTCACCTCATGTGTGTGTGTGGAGTCGGGTTTCTGCTGCCGAGGAGGTTGAGGCGAGTCAGTCGGAGCCCTCTTCGTCCATCGCCGACACGTGAGCAACCCACCCACCTTACAGAATGCCCTGACACATTCGCTTCCTCTGTGTGGGTGTCAATCTCTTTCTTTGCAGGTCTGGTGTGCCATTCGTGTCATCCGTGTCAGCCGCTGCGCGCAGCGATCGGCCTGGTGATGGTGGCGATGCAGCGAAGTCGGCGGCTGGTGGAAGTGAAGCTGACGGCAGCGATGATGAGGACGGCGATGCTATGCTGCTCAACTCGGCATTCGGACGACACGCTCGACAACAGCTGAGCGAGGGCAAGAAGAAGGCTCAGGCAAAACACACCACCAAGCCCACCCCGACGCCCACATCTCAGCCGAGCCAGCCATCCCGCCCCTCACTCCCACCAGCACTCAAGACCAATCAGACGGGCCGCCCTGCACCTGCCGCCAGTGATGATCGTTATCGCGGCGGCAACGCCCCCATTCGGATGCCCGCTGCCATTCCCCTTTCGAGCGCCCAATTCCCCAAGGGCCGCTTCAAGATGTCCCCTGGCAATGGGGGGATGGCCCCTCCTCTGCCGAAGCGTCCATCGCCACTGCTGTCTGACGATGACAGCCCGTCTGGCTCTGCATCGCCTCTCCCCCGGCCTGTGGGAGGTCGAGGGGCGGGGAGGGGCCTCATGACGATGTTTGCCCACCACCCGCCCCGTCCTCCCTCTATCCCACTCCCCCGACTCCCGTCTGCCGAAGAGCTGCGCAACGGGCCGTCGCTGCAGCGGCCCACTGGACAAGACGATCAACAGCAGCCGACACGTGGCGAGAGGCCGAGGTGAGATTGTCGCACACAATGAGCGCCTTGGTCCGATCGCAATGAGTGCTTTATCTCCTGCTGTGTGTCTGCAGTCTGTCTACTGCTGGTCCTCAGATGAGTCGCTTCTTCGCCCATGCGCCTGTCGGGCCAGCACCACCAGCTGCTGCTGCCGATGGTGGTGGGCTGTGGGCTGATCCATTCTATGACGAGGCCGACATGTATTTGCCGCCCCCGCCGGCGTATCCACCGCCACCCCCACCACACCCAAGGTAACACGGGCATGATGTCTGTCTGTCAGCAACGCTTCTATGAACTTCTCGTTGCCTGCTTTGCTGTGTAGTGATTTCCATCCGATGGGTCCCCCTCTCCCTGTCAGCTACAACGGCGGCCCACAGGCGTCCGGCGTCCCGTCACATCCGTTCGGTAACCGCCAGCCCTTCCCGTATAGCCCGACCCCAGCTGCTGCCGCTGCCGCTGCTGCTGCTGCAGCTAGTTATGGTGGTGGTGGGCTGTCGGCTGACCAATTCCATGACGACGACAGTGGTGGGGATGACATGTATGTGCCGCCTCCGCCCCCCATATTCGAGTATGAGGAGGAGGAGGAGGAGGAGGAGGGATACCAGCCACCGTCATCGAGCAGTGCAGCCGACCCCTTCGCTGCTGTCCAGATGGCCGGGGCCATGCAGGGCGGCAATGGCGGGCCATCTACAGGGTACACAGAGGCAGGCAGAGAGGAGAGGGGAATGATAGCACGTACCACTCTGTTCCTTGGCCGCTACGTGCTTGTGTATAGGTTTGGTGCGGTGACGGGCGCCGCGGCGGCCTCCGACAGCGAGCAGCTGGTGGACCAGCTCTGCCGCCAACTCGAGCAGACTCAGCAGGAGGCCAAACAAAAAGACCAGGAGGCCAAGCGGAGGGCGCGTGAGGCCAGGCGAAGGGCTCGTGAGGTGCAGGAAGCCCGGCAGAAAGAACAAGAGGCCAAGCGGAACGAAGAGGCTATGATACGGCGGCTGCAAGAGGCTGAATGGACGTAAGCAAGGCATGCACGTCCGAGAGGCGCCAACCACGATCCACGAGCATTCATCTGACTGTATGCTCTCCTGCCATCAGGATTGCCAAAATGACCGCTCAGCAGTCATCTCACTACCATCACCAGCCCTCGTCGAGTAGCAGTTCATCGGCCCCCCCGCCCCCCTCCACATCATTCGCCCAGCCACACCCATCCACACACGCCAGCACAACGCAGCAGCAGCAGCATGGCGGGGAGGATGATCCCGCCTGCGTCATCTGTTTCGGCGAGTACGGCCCGGTGGCCGTCATGTACATCCCCTGCCGCCACATGCACATCTGCACCAAGTGCTATGCCGACCGCCGGAGGACCTGGCAGCAGAACATCCCTCGCGTCATGGCGGAGAATGCGCGGCGCGTCGAGGCCAACAGGGAGCTCATCAAGAACGACAAGGAGCCAATGGCCATCCTGCCGGAGGGCTACCTGTGCGAGCAGTGCCAGACAGAGGTCGCCTTTGCGGGGTCGGTGACAGAGGTCGCCCAGTGGTCCACCAGTCCATTCGTGACCGGCGCATCCTGACTTACACCTACGTCAAGAGTCAAGAGGAGGGCATGGTGTCTGTGAGAGGAGGGCAAGAAGCCATCTCTGTGTGGCGACTGGTTTAAGCAAGGCATATGGGGGTGAGTGCTCTTTATGGTCAAGTCGGTCTCGCGTGCATTAGTGTCCTCTTTCTGTCCGTTTGCCATTCATCCATCACACTGCATAGCCATTGCGTGTCAGTCAGTGCTGCATACATTTGTACTAGATACATGTCCCTCTCTATGTATGTCTCATCTGACATTGTATGTCGCATGTTGCATGTGCACCACACATCTGCTCGCTGCATGTCCGAACGCTATCTTCGTGAGGACCGTATCATTCAACTCCGTCCCTGTGCCCCTCTCTTGTCGCTTGCTTCGCTGACTGGCTGCTGATGAGGGCCAGTCACTGCAATGCACCCGTGTGCATGTCCGTGTGAATACAGACTCGGTTCATGAATTGAGCGATACGGTTGATTGCACTCATCCGAGCAGAGATACCGGCCTACAGTGTAACAGTGTCACACTGGCAGCGAGAACGAGATCAGGGCACACGGGTTCGAGGGGCCCCAAAAAGGAACGCCCCCGTAATCGAAGCTCGCAGTATTCTCCCTTCTCCCCCCAAGAAAAAGAGCGCTATAAGACAATGAGCTGCTGCGGCTGCGTTTGGCTTGTTTTCCGTGACGATGTGTATGTGGACAGCACGACGAGAAGCAACCGTCCCCACCACAAGTGGTGCCCCTTTCTGAGACAAAAGCACCGCGGCATCCTCAAGGCCTGCCTCCTCTCACTCGCAATCATCCTCGCCTGCGGGGTGGTCCTCGTCCTCATGGCATGCGGCGTCATAGCCTGATCGATCGATGGGCCTGCTCGCGGAGTGCCTCTCGCCGTGGCTCGTGTGGCCGCCAGAGCCCGATGCCAGCTGCCGCATCTGCCTGGACAGCAACGAGGACATCGACACAGGGCCGCTCATATCGCCATGTGACTGCCGAGGGACGGGTAACGGGGATGGAGGAGGGAGGGGGGGAGGGAGGGAGACACAGAGGGAACTGCATGCACTGAACGTCCCTTGTGTCTCTCAGGCAAGTGGGTCCACACCACCTGTCTGTGGGAAGCATCAAGGAGGAGTGGTGAGCATTCGATCAAGGAGAGGGCGGCAGGGTACACGTGTGTTGCTGGTGCCGTGTGTGTCTGTGTTTAGGATGGCGGATGGTCAACTGCTACATTTGTAAGGCCCCATACCGGTTCGATGGCATACGCGACGCCCAACTACTGGGGTGTCTGCCCGCAGCGTGCGTCCTGATAGTCGCATTTGGCGTCCTAGATAGCTTCTGCCGGCGACCGGAGCAACCTTCCTTCTCTGTGAGCATGAGACAGACGCTGTCTGCACTGCGCCATGGGCTCGCAGCGTTCCCAGAAGAGGAGAGAGAGGATATCGCCGGGATCCTCTTCTCTCTTGCCGCGGGGACCCTTGGCATGATGGCCTTGCGCTTTGTCATCCACCTGCTGCTGAGCCTCTTCCATCCCCTCTACCACTCGAGTGGCCGCTCGCCGCATCCGACCGCATGTGTGACGGCGGCATACATGCTGCTGTCTGTGCTTGCGCCGATGGCCCCCCGCCTCGCCGCGGCGGTAGTACCCGATGCACTGAGCCGACGATGGCTTCAGATCAGCTCGTGCGAAGGAAATTGTGGTCCTTGCGACATCGCTGTGATGCTCGTACCCATCTGTGCCGCGTGGCTCTTGAGAGAAATCCCAATGGACAGCACTGCTCTCCGCCTCACATGGAATCACCTGCAAAAGTCACTGCGGCGCGCATGGAGAAGAAACAATACAAGGACCGTGTCTCTCTGGGCCGCGCTGCTCGGAAATCTGCTGGACATACTGATTGGGGCGGTGGTTGGGGCGGTGGTGCTGGGGTATTTGTTTGCACGGTCTCTCTTCGCCTTCGTCTTGGTTTGCTTCCCGGTTCTCGTCGGGATGAGGGCAGCCTTGTGCTTTGGGTGCGTGGGGCCGGTGCGGGGGGCTGTCTTGGTGGCGGGGGCGCCATGTCTCTTCTGCTTAATCCTCCTTGCTGAGAGGCGCATTCGCGTCTCGCTGCGCCGTGGCCGCTAGCGGCTGGACGGCATCTAGCCTCTGTTGTGGGCGTTTTGGCCATTCTTCCCTTCAGCCACTTCGGCCGGCCAGTCGGCTGTGCATTGATCCGGGTCTGTGCAGCACGGAATTGAACCGTGTATGATAGTTCTGCTTTAGGTCGCTTCTGGTGGTTTAGGATTTTCTTGAAGAGGGCTTAAGTGGTCGGTGCAGTCGTATTTGTGCGTCGATTGGTATTTTTTGTGTGCAGAAGGGCCGATGGACTTGCCTTGTCTTATCCCATTCTCTCTCGGTGTGCTGTGACATCCGTGTGCTTGTGCGTGCGTGACGCTTACTTAGACAGACAGACAGACAGACAGACGAAGAGAGACATGCTCTGTGCATGATGACCGAATCCTACCATTGGAATCCTACCAGGCAAAACGTGTGTATCTTCAATCAACCCAGCAATCCAATGCACAAAGAAGCTGTCAGTCAGTCGATATGCGTATGTGTGTCTGTATACATGTATGCGACAGCTGCCGCTGATCGATTGGTTCGTTGGCTGTCAGGACTCTGTCGCACCATGCACACCGTCGTGTTGGTCGCCCTGTCACTAGTGTGGCCGGCCACCGCGCGGCTGTGGTAAATGAGACACACACACACGTGTCTCATTCCACCTCTGTATCTCACTGGGTGTGTGTCTCTCTCTGTGTTTGCAGTGCTCACCATGCTGCAAAGCTGCCGACCGCTATGCGCTTCGAGTCAGTGTCTGTGGGGCAGGCCCCGCCAGCAGCACCAGAGGGCTTTGGGAAAGCGATGAAGATCATCAGCGGCTTCCCCAAGATCCTCGGACTCATCTCGCCCATTCCGATGCCAAAGGTGCCTGTGGGTGGGCTGAACGGCCTCCAATTGACAGGACCCAGCGCACACGAGCTCGCAACACTCGCACAAGACGTACACTCGCACACAGAGAGAGAGAGAGAGTCGAACACAGATGATCGATGAGTGACATGTCTCCGCGTCTGTGCGTGTGGTCATATGGTCATTAATCAGGGTGTGTCGTATGCCCGCTCGCAGCGCACAGAGGAGCTCGTCAAGGAGGAGGCCGACTCACGCGCACAGCAACTCGCCGCCCAGCTCCTCAACAAGTACTGGTTCATCGGACAGTGCAGCCGAGGTCGGTCAATGTCTCTGTCACTCACACCGCACCCACTCATGATACACTGACGGTCTGTCTGTCTGTCTGTCTGTCCGTCCTACCTTGCAGATTACTCGCCCACGTGTCCATTGCAGTGGACGGATGACGACGGTGTGTGTTCTCCGCCGGACAGCTATGACGGCTTCTGTCGCGCCACCGACCTCACCGCCGCCACACCAATCGACAAAGAGACGTTCGCATGGAAATGGTGAAAGCAAACACGTACACACATATCGAGACGAGAGCAGCGCATCGTCTGTGTCTGTGTTCGTGCAGTCGAGCAGAGTGGTCGTGCGTGTCGTCCCCCCGCCGCGATTGGGAGGCCACCTGCCCCCAAACATGGACCAACGTGGGAGGGACTCTCTGCATCGCTCCGTCAAATTACAGAGGCATCTGTCCGCCGGCAATGGGTCAGTCACTGACAGTCAGTCAGTCAGTCAGTCAGCCAACTGATCTACAGGCACAACACAGCTTGTGACCTGTCGCAGATTTCTCGATGTTTGACGACGAGACCAAAGCCATCTTCGCTGCCAAATGTCGCCTCGAGGTCAATATTCACACACACAGATGAGTTGTCTGTCTTCATGTGCCGTGCATACCTTTGTGTCTCTGTGTGTGTGTGTCAGTGGCCGACAGAGGCTGAGACGGCGGCATCTGCAGTGACCGCACTGCCCAAACTTGCTCCGACCAAGTCAGTGAGACACGCGGAGGCAAGAAGTGTCTGTCCATCGATGCATGTGGTTGTCTTTGAATGTCTGCATGTCTGCAGGCCTCTTTTGCCTCGTATGAGCGGGCCCGTCGACGCGCAGACCGGCAGAGTGGTCGCACATGCATGATCATGCACTCGACGGACAGCAATTGTATCCCTTCCATCTACCACACGAGCAGACAACAAATTATGGGGACAAATGAATGATGCATGCCGTGAGACAAACGCAATTTAGCCGCAACACACGAACGTCTATCGTTCCCCCTTCTCCTTTCCGTCGCCTTCGTCCGCGAGCTAAGCTTGCAATCGGCTGCTCCCTTCACGTTATTTTCTCCCGGAACGTCCACGTCTAATCCCCATCGGCTTGTCTTGGAGTTCAGCTCACCGCGCCGCGATGATGAGTCAGATCTTTGTCATCCGCACCCTTGCTTCACTTCGTCCTGTCGTCGACGTCGACGGCGCATTCATCCCCTCATCCTCTTGGTTGTCGGGCAAGCTTCGTCAGCACCAAGGCTTTCCCTCACCGAAGCATGGGGTCTCGCGGGTGAGGCCTCCGCAGCTGGCTCCCGGTGTAGTTGGATTTGGGGGGTCGCCTAATGTTTCCCCAATAAGTACCGGGTGGGTGCACTGATCAAACTTCAATAGAGGACCGACAGGGTGCGAAGCCAAGATCGCGAGTTAGGACAAGTGACAGTTTCACGCAGATGCGAGATCGCCCCGGGGAGGCGAAATGAGATCAAATCAATGGGCAATGTGAGGCTCAGAAGAGTCACCGTGATGCCCTCGACAACCTCCGCTTAACGGATTCCTTAGATCCGCCCTCCAGCGAGAAATCGGTCCCTCCCTCCCGAGGAGAGATAATTGACAGATGGCATCCATTCGAGCACAGCCAGCAACCCCTCAAGACACCACCACCCACACCCGGCTCTCCCTGGTGGGCGGCCTGCTGTATGGTCGTCGTGCTGAATGAGAAGGTGGCCTGCAGGATCAATGACTCGCACGCCCGGAGGGGGCGGATGGCGAGATACAGCGGCTTGTCCTCACACACCACAAGTTGGTTCTGATACACAACAGACACACCACCCACCCATCCATTTATCCATCCTTGGTGTCGGTTGATGTTTCTGTGTTGTGTAGGGCTATCGACTCGCCGCCGTGCACGGAAGGGTTGGCTTCTCTCAAAGGTGAGCCTGACAATAACACGGGCACCGTGGCGTGTAGATGGATGGATGGATGGATGGTGTGTCTGTCTGTCAGCACCGTGTCATAGTGTCACCTTCTCGCCCAAATGGATTCTCTGTCTTTGTCTTTGCATGTGAGGAGCCTGTCATCGTGACAAAAAGGCGGCGGGGACGCTTACACACAGATAGACATACAGGCAGTCAGGCTCACAACACATACAAGCCTCACTCATGTGATCGTAGTGTATGTGTGTGTCAGGCTGGCTCACTTTGTGATCGTATTCAGGTAGCCACGAGGATTGTCCTTGTCAGGAGGAGTGTCATGAGACAACCGGGCGCATCATGACATGTGATGTGATGTGTGCCAACATTTGTGATGACTTATGGATCGTGATGGTTTCAATCGATCGGATTGAGTCATTACACTCATTGTCCCTCCCTCATACCCACAATGCGTGTGAGTATGAGGCGCCGAGAATCACTGACAGGAGGTCGCATGACCAGTGTGAATGTGGCAATCTATGCAGACATTGCCAGACAAGGAAAGTGGCAGTCGATTGCAATTGATTGATGGATTGATGCATCGGTGAGTATAAAACGAAACAAACACACACGTACGTTTTTCGGCTACTAGATCAAACCACACACAAACACACCGGCAATCGGCTAGCTAAGAGGATCGGCTAGGCAGAGAGTGGGTGAAGGAAGGCCGTATGTGATTCTTTGTTCACGTCACCAGCGGTGATGTTGAATCGTTCATTCATTCATTCATTCATTCATCGTGATAGACACTGCGACTCGTTCATGTCATATCCATGAAAATGTACAGTTGGTAATTAAAAAATCACACGAGACAACCCAGTCAATCAACTCTATCAATACGACCACCGACCGCTGCAGCATGGGCAATGGCCTCCTCTCCCATATCACCCTCGCCCACCGCAATCCCCTCCATGATGAATTGGTTGATCTGCTGCTGCCCATCGGGGTCCTCATGGTCATCGTGCTCGTGTGGATCGCCATCCTTCTGCTCGTCGTCTTCTTCGGCATCCATCTCGTTTTGGTCGCCCTCCCCCTCGGCGGCAGCGGCAGGCTGGTCAATGTTGTCGGCAAATCGCTTGGTGCTGTATGCGAATGTGGCCTCCACAACGGCCGTGGCGCGAAGCGGTGCGACGCGGAGGAAAAATGAATGCTCCTCATCCACCACCACACGATTCTGCACACACACAAAAATGACACAAGTAAGGGGAGAAATGGTTGAGTGTCGTCATTTCTGTGGATGTCGTGGTGCAGAGGGCTGGTCAGCTGCAGCGGAACGGGTCCTCTCGATCTCTGGTTCTTCGTCTATGGCTCGCTTCATTGTCGGGCGGCGGGAGTGGGTGGAGTGGGTGGAGTGGGTGGAGGGAGAGAGAGGGGATCCGCGAGACGCTCAGGGACACAGGGAGGCGCCTGCAGGCACACAGGAGACCCAAGAGGCAGCAGATGTGTCGATCGACCTTGTGTACATATGTGTATTATATGTATATGTGTGGATGGATGTGTGTGAGTGGGCCTTCCTGTCAATGTGTGAGTACCTGGGTGAGTGAGTGAGTCGTCCGTCATCGGTTGAGTGAAGCAGCGAGTCCTCAAGTCAGTCAAAACGGAGAGAAAACGCCACACATGCCTGAGTCAGACACAGAGTGAGAGTTTGAGTGCGTTTGAGTGTCATCTGCCCATCTAATTGACCCCTCACCGTGTCAAGCGTGACGAGGCGACCTCGCTAAGGTACAAGGCAGGCCGCAGCGGGTCGACAATCGGTGTGGAAAAGGCGGTCAGTTTGCCGAAAGGCAGAATCGGTCTGAGGGAGAGTGACGGTGGTCGTGCCGGGCAGCAGATGGGTAGGCCGATAGGTGGAGGGTATCAAGGGCTACTGTGTGGTGTGGACGGCGTGCCTTGAGAAGGCTTGGCTGAGGCGCCGTGACTCACCCATAGATGTGACATGGGTGTTTCTCCGCGGGGACGACGGATGGCGGGACGCGGTGGTGTGCACGTTGTTCAGGGCAACACGCCTGACGAGTTGGCTGCCATCTTTGCTTAGCTGCGAGCTCTCCCCGGGGCGATCTCGCATCTCCGTGAAACTGTCACTTGTCCTAACTCGCGATCTTGGCTTCGCACCCCATCGGTCCTCTATTGAAGTTTGATCAGTGCACCCACCCGGTACTTATTGGGGAAACATTAGGCGACCCCCCAAATCCAACTACACCGGGAGCCAGCCGAGCTCGCCTCAGATCTGGTCTGGCAATGAAGCAGATGACGAAGGAGGAGTCGTGGAATGCGGTTGGCGACGCTGTGCGTTACTTAAAGGAGCATGAAAGCCCCAAGGGCTTCATCTCGGGCACCCTGGACCTCATTCCGACTGTCAAGACTCCCGCTCGAACACTCGAGCCCGACTGCATGACACACTTGGAAGCGTCCTTCTCGGTAGGCACAATTTTCCTTCACACTTGTGATCTGCCGCATCGTGTGCCGGCTGGCTGTATATGATGTGTTGCAGTCGGCTGCCTTGGAGGAATTCTACAAGGCGCATGCATCACAGTCGCCCGTCGGCAAGGGCAACGAAACGATGACGGACCTGGAGGTCCGGAAGTCGCGGGAGGTGCCAGGGGACCAAGCGATGGTCGGTAGCCTGGCGGGGAATTGGACTAGGGTAATCGAGGAGCGCATCTGCAGAAAAGTGGAGGAAGAGATGTCCCCTGGCACCCGCGTCCAGGCTGACTTCTATAAGCTGCTCGTCTACGGTGAAGGGGACTTCTTCAAGGACCACAAGGACACTCAGCGCTCAGACGACCAGTTCGCGTCGCTGCTGGTCTTCCTGCCGACCAAGTACACGGGAGGCGACTTTCTGCTGCATGAAGTGGATGATTTCGACGGCGAGGCATTCAACAAGGAGACCCAGGAGGCCCTCGGCCGCAAGCAGTGTCGGTGGATTGCTTTCTACTCTGATGCCGTTCATAGCGTGGAGCCCATCCTCTCTGGCTATCGTCTTGTGCTCGCCTACAACCTGCGGCGTCAAGGAGCCGGAGGGAGGTTCAAGAGAGACGCGCCGCTTGCCCGTCCGCTCCAGCGGTTGGTGGATGGAATGCGAGAGCATTTCGGCTCCCCCCAGGTGAATCGCCAATGTGTCCTCTGTGACTTGAGATGGACTGCACTGGGGTTCGATCTCTACCTCAGGGGGACGAGCCGTGGGTGTTTCAACTGCAGCACAAGTACACCCTCTCCAGCATGACGCCGGAGCACCTTAAGGGCATCGACAGCACCGTCTATCAGCTGCTGTCACAGCACTTTGACTGCGACATTCGATTACTGAGCGCTTACGAAAGTGAGGGGGGGAACCCTTCTTTCAGCGTCATTGACAAGACTGCTCTGGAGGACCTTAAGAAGATCGCAAGTTTTTGCGATGGCTCTGAGTACGATGAATATGAAGAGCTTCTTGGCAACTTGACCTACATCGATTCAGGCGAGTTTGAACCAGAGGAGATGTTCTCTTTCCTGACTACCCCACACGAAAATGATGATGAGCACACGCGGCGCTTTCTGAACTACGTGCACCGCGAGTTGAGAGAGCCAGCCTCAACAAGAATATACCAACTCGGGCCTGGCTGCCAAGAGAGTATTCTCGGCATCGAAGAAGCCAGAGGATACAATGCCATTCTAAGGTTGGTACAATATACATGTGTTGGCCAATAAGAATGCGTGTGTGTGTGTGTGTGTGTCTTGGGATGTGTGTCAGGGATCCCGGGAACGAGGGCTGGGTCGGCAATGAGGGTGTGAGCTGGCGCTTTCAATACATCAGTGCGGCGTTGCGCGTCTCTGCCCGCAAAGGAAAGGAATGAGGCAACGGACGCCCGCCCCGCTCCGCCCCGCCCCGCCCCGCCCCGCTCCGCCCCGCGAGATACGCAGGATGAGATGCAGGCAGGACCGGTAGCACAAAGCCATGTCCGGCGCTGGCTGCATTGCGTGGTGCCTAATGGCGTGTGATGCACGGTTCTTTGCACGATCAATTATGGACTGCATTTCCTTTTTGAGCCTTTGGAGCCCGTTCGTGGGATATGCCCGGCTGCCTCCCTGGGCCGGTCTGTCTGTCTGTCTGTTGGCATGCCGTCGCCCTTGCTGCTTGTCTGTGATGTCGTGTGAGGAAGAGAGAGAGGGAGAGACAAACAGACAGACAGACTTACTGACCGACCAGCTGCGTATGGAGCGCTTACGGAGGAATAAGTGCACTGGAGGATGAAAAGTCGACGCACAACACCATCACACCATCTCACACGCGCACACCCATCGGTGTCTCATCAGAAACTGCTTCGATTGCTCATCGTAACACACAGCCGACACACAAACGACCGTGACGGGTCAGCGGGATGTCGCTCACGTGCACGACAAGGACTGCGGATGAATTGTCGATGCAATTCTCGGGTGATTCGAATGCATATGTAAACGGTCGGCTCGGGTGTCAAGACTCAGAACTTATATCGTCGTCACATCGCTCCCAACCGTTCCGAGTGATCATGAATGCGAGACATGACATGCACCATCAGAAAGTATGTCTAGCTGCGGTCGGCATCGATCACCAGAAAGTACACCATGGTATTGCATCACACATGCTCCAGAAACTGCACAGAAAGACACAAACATGCACTGACAGGGCTGCTGCCCCGCCGATCCATGCTCCTATCCACAAACCGCGCACGCACATACGTGTGCACATGTACATCACACATGCATCCATCACACACGTGACACTACTTCGTCGAGTCGCGCCCTTCACTGCTCCGACCGATACGATATGTCCGCTACCACGGTCTTGAGTTCCGTGTAGGGCTCCAACCCAGCCTCCCCCAGCTCCCTGTGCTGTCCGCTCTGCTTGAACCCTCCAAATGGCGCGGCGGCGTCGAGTTGGTTCCACGTGTTGATGTAGACGGTGCCGGCCTGCAGCCTCCGCGCGATCGAGTGAGCCTTGCCGACGTCGCGAGTGCACACGCCAGCGCCTAGCCCGTATTGACTGGCGTTGGCGCGCTCGACGGCCTCGTCGACGGTCTTGAACTTGTGCACCGACATGACGGGGCCTACAATCGACAACAGATACTTCGGGCCAATGCGCAGGCGAGGCGATCGCCATACCGAATATCTCTTCCTCGCTGATCGCCATATCGTCACTGACATCTGCAAACACCGTCGGCTCGAAATAGTGGCCCCTGCACACATGCACACACATGCGCAAACATGCAGACGCACCACGCCCGTCAGATGATGCGTGGTAAGGTCCCCTGTGCCTGTCTTACTTTCCATCGACGCTGGTCTTCTTGCCGCCGCAGATGAGCCTGGCGCCGTCCTTGTGTGCACCCTCGACATAGGCCAGGATGGTCTCGATTTGTTTCTCCCCTATCTGAGGGCCGTGCACCGTTGCAGCGTCCAGCGGCGACCCGATTGTGCGTGCTGATCATGCAGACAGGACATCATCGCGTCTGTGCGTGACCTATAGTCTGAGAGTGTCTGTGTATACCCGCTGCGCATTCGCCGACGCGTCTGAGGAATTCGTCATACACCCCCGCCTGGACGTAGATTCGGGTGGACGCTATGCAGCATTGGCCTACGCTCACACACACCGACACACACACACACACACACGCACATCAGTCGGACAGACACGTGACGCCTTCGCCACTGACCCATGTTTGAGAAGCACCCCTGGCATGCGGCTTTGACCGCCTGGTCCAGGTCTGCGTCGTCGAGCACAATAAGCGGGCTCTTGCCGCCGAGCTCGAGCGACACACGCTTCATGCCCGCTTCGGCACAGGCACGCATGATGCGTCGCCCCTGTGCAGTGGAACCCGTGTAGGCGATCTTGGCCACATCAGGGTGGTTGATCAGTGTGTCGCCGATCACACGACCAGGCCCCTGGAGGATGTTGATGACGCCCGGTGGGAAGCCTGCCTCTTTGATCAGATGGCCCAACATGGCAGCCGTCACGGGCGTCTTCTGGCTGGCCTTCATCACAGTTGTGCAGCCAGTCGCCATGGCCGGACCTGCAGGACACATCACAGCCACATCAGATGGCGAACGGTTCCTGTCTGTGTGCGTGGGTTTGTTTTGTCTGCACATACCCGTCTTCCAAGAGAACATGAGCAGGGGGAAGTTCCAGGGTATGAGTTGGCCACAGACGCCGACGGGCTCCCTCGTCGAGTAGGCGAGCGTGCTGTGGTGATTGCTAAGTGGGATGGTGTCGCCCTGGATCTTGTCAGCCCATCCAGCATAATACCGGATTGCCTCTATGGCCAGCGGCAGATCAACCGTCCTGGAGGTGTGTGGTTGGGAAGGGGGCCAAGAGCAGCACACACAGAGACCAGGAGTGTGTAAGAGAACCCCCTCTTTGTCTGCATAGGTACTTGGCTTCAGTGATGGGCTTCCCACTGTCTCGGCTCTCCATCTCTGCCAACTCGTCGATGTGCCTTTCCATCAGATCCGCCAAGCGGTAGAGACAGTCCCGACGGAAGCGACCGTCAGCCTGGGACCAGTTTGGAAAGGCTGACGGCACGAGCCAGCCACAGGCAGACAGATCCATGCACCTCGATGTGGAGGTATTTGCGTGCATGGGTGCAGTGCTCACCTCTCTTGGCAGCAGCCACTGCCTTGTTAACATCTTCCTCACTGAACGGACACACAGCACGTGAGTGACTCTTCACAGCCATTGCCACACGGGTCAGCATGGACCAAATCAATGTCACCTACTTGGCCTGTTGGACGGTGGCAATGAGATCTCCTGTGGCCGGGTCGTGTGTTTTGAAGGTCTCTAGCGCCGACGACTCGACAAATTCCCCGTCGATAAACAGACGGCCCTCTGTCGGCAGCCCACTCTGACACACACACACACACACGGAGCGGTCTTTCTCGGTCTGCCGCATTCTGTCTGCATCACTCTCACCAATCTGACTGACGAGGCCGTCTTTGCAACCCCCTCAGCCACCCTCGATGCCTGCAGCCTGGAGGAAGATCTCAACCTCGATGCGCCTGCATGTGCACGTCTGTGCATGAAGCCCGTGGCTCGTGGTGACGGCTGTTCTGCGGTTCTTCCATCCACGAGAGAGGTGCCGTGCACGGCACACAGCCACAGAACAGTGGCAGCCATGATAAAAACCGGGAGAGGAAAAAGGAACGGGGCGAAGGGGAGAGATCTGCGAGCTCAGAGGGGTCGGCGATCCCCGTCTCCTTTTTTCCTCGAGCTGACCAACCGCGAACGATGCACGCGGCGCTTCTTCGCGAGTTCACCAAGCTCAAGGAGCTGCAGGCAGACCTCTTGGATGAGTCACCAGATACGTCTTCTGGAGAGGAGCCATCGACATTCATCGATGCCCTCATCGAGGAAGCCATCCAGCAGGACGCCGCAGAGGCTGCCGCCCAGCGCCGCTTCCGGGTCCCTTCGCCTCCCAGGACGGCCCCAGCTGGACAACACGTGTCGGAGGTGGTGGCTTGGGGGAGAGGGCGGGATAGCGTGAGTGCTGCAGGCCGCGCTGCCGATGCAGCTGAGAGGCGCCGCCTCAATGAATCGAGGCAGATGTCGATCAGAGCAGAGACGGAACAGGTGACCAGACCAGGGGATGCATGCATGGGATGGTCTGTCTCTCTCTCTCTGTCTGTCTGTCTGTCTGTCTGTCTTGTGTGGATGCCTACACACAGGTCCGCCGGCGGCGAGAGACCCAGTACCAGGCCTCACTGCGGCACAAGGAGCGACAGAAGCAGCGGTCAGTGGCCGACAGAGAGATACGCAGACAGGTACGGTGCCTCGCCGGTCGAGACATCACCTAACAGTCGTGTGTGTGTCATGCTGGTTGGCCTTGGCAGATGGTGCAGCGCACCAAGAGCACCCTCTTGAATCGGTCCATCCGCTCCATCCAGCTGAAGTGGCGCAACAAGGCGCAGCGTCTGCGAGCAGCATCCAGACGCCGCTCGTCAGGCATCTCACAAGAAGGCTCAGCCCCGTACACACAGCAGCAGCGGCGGGTGAGAGGATGGGGCAAGCATGCCCGTGTTTATGCGTGGGACGAGGCGCCAGCCGAGTATTATGACTTCGCGGAGGAGCTGAAGCGGGGCTACGAGGAGCGGACGAGGGTGCTGGAGCAGGCCGAGGCGATGCAGCGACTGACCGACCGGACGGCCAGGCAGAGGCGCCTGCGGTATCTGGGGACGTCTCGGTCATGGGGCGGGAAGGAGGCAGATGACGACAAAGCGAGGGCCGATGCGAAGCGGAGCACCGTCAAGATCAAGGCCAGGAAGAGCGAACATCGGGGATCAATCGTCACCATGGTAGGTACACACAGAGGCGAGGCAGGGAGGGACAAGATGCGCTCTTGCACCCTTATGTATGAACGAGTCTGTGTGAGGCGAAAGGTGATATGTGTATGCAGAAGCTGCCATCCATGTCCTCCCGCCGCCCCTCCTCCCTCCCCCCGCCGACACGCGGCTCTCTCCCCCGCCAGTCGGTGCTGCCCGCCTTCATGGCCTTCCCCTCACGCATGGACACCAGAATGGACTCTGACGCCATGAGCAGCACTGCCCTGACGGCGGTGCTGCCCACTCTGCTGCTGCGGCGCAGTGTCGACGAGACGGAGATGAGTGTAGGTGAGCGTGTGGCGCGGCGGCTGGAAAGGATACGCAAGAGGGAGGAGCGGCAGGACAGGCAGGCACTGGAAGTATACCACCTCAAGCAGAAGCACGGAGGTATGTATGTATGTTTTCATTCATTTATGTATACATGTATCATAGAGACAAGACGCGTAGACAGATTCGTGTCTCATAGAGAGTGTATCGTGTGTGCAGAGAGGCGCCGAAGGGAGATTGCCGAGGAGGTTCGTCAAGAGCGACAGCGCCGAACGGAGGAAGCTGAACACGTGAGTCAGTGGGTGGGTGAGTGAGTGAGTGAGCGAGTGACAGACAAACAACCCACACACGCACCTAATCGTTTGTATCTTAATGCGACACAGAGGCGGCAGCGGTGCCTCAAGCGCAAGGAGGAGCAGTCGCTAGCCACGCACCACCAGAGGGCGCATCGACTGCACCAAAGACGAGCCAACTTCAAACAATGGGCGGTCGTCAAGGAAGACGACCAAAACGTGAGCATGCGGAGAACAATGGCATATGTGTAGGTGGTGGCTCTTGTTCTCAGTATTGGCGCGCGGCTCGTCGTGAGGCGTACATGCAGCACCTGACCACCGCCCTCGGCAAGCTCGCTGAGCACACTGTGAGCAGCACCAGCAGCTGAATGGCTGTCTGGACCTCATTCCCGTCTATCTCTCCGTCTCTCTGTGTGCAGAGGCTGCGTCGCGAGGCGATGCGTGTGCTGCAGCTGCGGCAGCGGAGAGCTCAAATGCGCAAACAAGCCACACTCAAGCAAGTCGCCAAGTCGGATGGATGGGTGAATGGACAGATGGAGTCAAAACGATCTCTATGTTTCGTGTGTCGTTTGCTTGTTCATCTGCAGGCAGGCGCAGGCGGCCACCCTGCAGCAGAGGCAGCAAGAGGTGGTCAGCAAAGCCGAGACTGACCAGCTCGCATACTGCCTCCAAACACGACAGAGGCTCGGTGGGCATAGTGATTCCAGTCATTCACACCTTCATGGCTTTCGACTGATCGACACCTCTTCCTCCTCTGTCTCTCTATGTGTGTGTCCAACTAACGACAGAGGAGAAAATGGAGAGGGTGGAGCGGCTGCTCAGGTTCCGAGCGGCCGGCCTGCTGTCCCGCCTGTTCATCATTCGCGAGCCGCCCCGCCCCAGACGCAAGACGGCCCCAGCCATCCGTGTTCTCACAGACACACAACACACCCCAACCGTACAATCAGCGCGAGAGAGGGAGAGATCTCTCGCCAGCAGCAGTGGCAGCGTCGTACAAAGCGAGACAGCATCAGGGGCGGAAGGCGAGCCTCACAGAGCCGGCACTCGACTGCGGTGGCAAGAGGATCAACAACCTCAACAGGCAGAGAGGCGGCGAGCGCAGACAGCACTTGGTCTGCCTCGCAGCCGTAGTCAGTCGAGGGGCCGACTGATGTCGTTCTCTACCAAGGGCGGCGGGGGCGGCGGGGCACACCCAAGAGATATCGATGCCGGGGCGGGAGAGCCATCGCCAATGGAGCCCACGGCTGTTGAGGACAACGAGCTGGAGAGGCTTCTCACCAAGAGAGGGTAGGTTGACAGACGAATGCCAAGCCACTCCACTATTTGACGGTGCTCGTGTGAGTGTGTGCTTCTTCGTGTAGGTACACGAGAGCAGTGGACACAGACATGAGGCAACCCACACCCGGCCTCACAGAGAGGTACTGACACACCACACCACCCATAACGAGCCATACATAGTATCTTCGCATGAATGCAGCACACGGCCGCCAACAGGCCTGGTCTTCTCCCGGCCATGGACGCGCCAGATCATCACAGTGGTGCCCCCTGCAGCACGGCCACAGACAACCCCCACTGTCCGCGAGACAACAGAAGAGGAGGAGAAGCCACCAGAGCTGGAATCTCCCGATGCACCCGCTGCAGTAACCACACCATCAGCGCGTGTTGTGACCTGGCAGCAGCAGCAGCAGGAGGAAAAGCCACCCATTTTGCGGTCAGCATCGTCACTGGAGTTCTTCGATAAGCGAGGTCGGCCGAAGCACGGACTTCTCGAAGGTCTGGAGGAGGCAGCCACTTCCAAAGAGACCACCAGTCGCCCTGGCAGCAGTTTGAATGACATGGTTGACCACCTGCACCAGCGGCTTGCTGACGTCTCTGAGCTGACGCCACCGAGACGCTCGTCTAGTATGCGGGAGCTGGAGAGAATCCTGGGGCCGAAGGGCACTCGAAGCCGCGTGGCCATCAAGAACCAGCCATATGAAGTAAGAAAATCAGCCCTAAGCAGCCGCTCACGTGTATGTCTCCTCCCATTCCTCTATCTGTGTCCGATCACCTCAGCAAGAGCTGCGCGCCTATGTGCGTGCGGACATGCATGTCACTCGCGAGAGGATGAGGGGGGGCTACTTGCCAGGGGAAAAGCCGCTGGCCGAGCTGTCGAGTGACGACGGCAGGCCTGCCACTGCAGCAACAGCCAGGCGCAGCACAGTGGAAGGCGGCGCAAAAAAGCGCCGGTCGCCGAGCGGCTCCCCGATGTCTGCAAGGCTGCGGGCGCACCAGGAGGAACAGACCTCCAGGACACAGACGGTGAGAGAGGGAGACATGTGGAGAATACATGCGTTGTGTGCTTGTCGTCTTGTGTATGGTGTGCAGCGTCGTGCTTTTGATCACCTGCACAGTCGTGGCGCCATCGGTGCACAGGACGTCTCAGAGACCATCAGGGCCATAAACAAGTGAGATGAAGACAGACGGCAAACGCACATTTGTGTGTCTCTATTCGTATTTGTGACACGCGTGTGTGTGTGTGTGTGTGTGCAGGAGACGATTGGCGACTTGTGGCGAGGCTATGGACTTTGTGAACCGGCGCAAAGAGGGCATGTCTGTCAACGAAGCGGTCAAGTGGACACAGAGGTTCAGGAACCAGACCAATAGGCCGCTAGACAAACGCAGACAGACGCCCTGGCGGGCTCACAACAAATAGATGCACCAAAACGCATGCATGTGTTGCGGCGTGTGGTTGGAGGGATTTCTGTAGGCCCTCTCCCAGTTCCTCATTCATGTAGCGTAATTTTTGGTTGGTGACAAATTTCCCTTCCTCACCTCATCATGCACACAAATTCATTCCAGCCACTCACTTGAGAATTGCACATCTCGAGAATCGCTTAACTCACCGATAGCACGCTAACATACCAGGAACTTTCTGTCCGACCCCCTCATAGGGGGTCTCCTACGTCAATCCTATATCAGATACGGTCCAGTGATCGGGGCAGAAGTCTCGTGTCGTCCCCATTCGTTCGTATCTGCTTTCATCCATAGCACTCAACAGTAAAAGCAGCAAGTATGGCCCTCCACGTATAATGAATATGCCGCCGGCGGTTGCCAGTCCAACCAAGTGCATTTTCATAACACCGGGCTCCGCCATGCTTCTCAGGAGAGGCAAATCGGCGGATCGGACAAGCCAAACGAATAGTATGCCCTCAAAGACCACCTCGATAAGCACCATGATCAGCAGACCGGCCACTCGTTCAAGCAGCTGCGGAAGTGATGGAGAGAGCACCTGGCCGAGAGTGATGATAGATGCGTTTGTGAGAATAAGCACCGTTAGTTCCGCCAACCCGTAAGCGTGCATCTGCTGCATTCATCATCCGTCGACGGAAATCAGCCAGAAAATGGGGGAGACGTGTGATTTGAAGGTATAAAGAAAACTGACATGCTCCTCCCTTACGTCGCTGAGCCTCCTGAGGAATATCGGGTGAAGCTTGAACTGGACAACTCGTGTGGGGACATCGAGAAATGAGCTCAGGGACCTCAGCGATTGGCGGCTGAAGAGAGTGCTGGCACCTGTGCGACTACTCCCTGTGTAGAAGCTCATCACAGTGGTGGACAGACGGCTGAGCAGCTTGGCCGGCGGCTGCTTGTCGGTTATTGTTTCTTCAGTGTTGTGGGTGTCTTCGCCAGTAACGGTATCGGGCGTCTCGTTTGAGTGCTGATGTCGGACTTTCCATGAGGACAGGCACCGCATCAAAGCTCTCTTGAGTGTACCACTAGCAACCACCACTGCACCCAGAAACACACCAAACGACAATCCAACGATGGTCGCCATTGGTCTTATGTATATGTACTATGCACTAACCATATGGGACGGCCAAGTCGGTCAATAAGTCGAACGAGGCGAAGATTAGCGAAGTCAAAACCTGAGAGAACACGTGGACACCGAGAGTTAAAAAAGGTGACCAAAGCATGCGATTTGCATGCATCTTTTACCTGAGAGGACAGATGCTGCATCTTGGCCTGCATCACTCTTGGGATGCTGACAGACAGACAGACAGACAGGAGAGCAAGAGAGAGTGGGTATGTGTTGTTTGTCGTGTGTGGTGGACAGACTTACAGACTGAACACTACCACCCCAAACGAGATCGGCGTCCCCGAGTGCAGCGCAGGACCGTCGCGCAATGAGCGGACTAGCGCCGTCACTACAAGACGCACAAATTGACGGCACAGGATGAGGCTACGATGAGGCTACGCTGCCTTACGGAGTGCAAGAAGAGGGGACATTGTCAGCAACCACGTGCTCTCTCTTCTTTCCGCGACCTGTTAGTGGGCGGATGTTTGTCCTGTTAGTGGGGGGCCCCTTCCTAGCCCCTTCTGTAAACTCTCATTTTTGACAGTCCCTACTGCCCATTACTGTGGACGTCAAGGCCGTCATGGTGGGATGTGGGTGCTGTCTGCTACAAGCCAGCGATTGACTCAACTGCGGCTGTCTGCTACATGCATACGTATGCATACATTTGGTGAGGGGAAGATGCGCCTTGAAGGTCTGTGTGTATGTGTTGTGTGTGTACAAGTACTTACATATACAAACATACACAACACACACGTAGATGCCAACCGGGCTGATGCGCACACGGGATGGGGGTCGGTAGGTTCATGTATGTGTTGACAGCCGCAGTAGGTGGCCATTCACAGGTCTGTTTGGGTTGCATGCGGGTATGCACATTTGTTATTTGTACTGACGACGGGAAGTGACACACACATGAAATGCATTCATGACAGTGAGCCTGTCTCTTCATCTCAGAGTCCCGGTACGAGAATGATGAAAGTCTTTTTATTGACATTTCCACGACCTCTCGCTACTTCTTTGATAACAGGTAAGAAGAAGAAACGAGCTGCGTGTGAGAAAATTGTTATGGTAAAGAGAAAGATAAACGTCATTTGTAAGACATAAAGCCGCTTCCTCACAACCGTCCTCGAGGTGAGAGCCACTTGGCGAAAGACCCTGCATGCAACACAAGTGAACACAAGAGAATATGACATGAGTTGCCCGTTTTCTGTAGATCGTCCGTCCTTCATTTGTTCCCTTTCTTACATCACTGGCACGACAATCCCTGCGGACACATAGAAACAACCTGGGATTATAAGGCGGTGAGGCCACAAGGCCTCCACGTTGAAGAACACAGCACCGCCGACGTGTATGATGAATAGAGGAGCGAAGAAAGGCCATGTCGTCTTCAAGCGATAGAGAGCTCCACGAAAGCTGTCTTCAGCCGCGAACAGCATCGTAGCGGTGATGCACAGGGCAACAACAATGCGGCGAGATACATCAAGCACAATCCACGGTCCTTTCGCACATGCCCAGAAATACCCGACCCAAACCAGAGCCCAGAGAAACGCGATTGTTGCCGCACCGGCCACTTGGGAGACGAGCACCTTTGCCGTCCGCCTCACTGTCTTCCAAAAGGGCTCCGGGGTGAATACAGCACCAACAAAAACATCCCCTTCATAGCGTAAGTGAGTCTCAAACTCCTGAAAGGAGGCTGCAGGTCCCGCACAGAGTCGAAACTCAGCCACCATGGCCGCCAACTCGCGCTCCTCGCTCCGCATGGTTGTCCACCATCTTCTCCGGCCTCATTGTCCCCAGCCCCCTTCTCTGAACAGGTCTCCACAGCAGCAAGTGCCCCTGTGCTCTCGTCGCCGAGCTTCGTGATGGGTTGCTGCTGTTCCTGTGAGGAAGCTGGCTGCGGGGCGGTGTGCTCTGTGGGATGTGGTTCTGTGTCGATGATGACTCCAGCAATAGTCGCTTCGTTGACCTCCCCCATTGGTTCTTTCCGTCTGTCACTTCCGTGGGGCACGATGGGGGCGGTCACCCCGATTCTGAATCCAAGCCTGGGAAAGACACAAGAGAGCGATGAAGATGGTTGTAAGGTGCCTGACCCATGGCAAGCAGCCTCGCACATAGGGTTGTATCGGCTTGTGGTGAGGCGTAGTTGGTTTTCTTGTGCTCTGCTCAGACCATCCGAACTCAAAATCGGCTTGATGAGCGGCGGGCGCTTTCGGTTCGGAATCCCCGAGGATCTGTTGGATGACAGCCTTCTGGATGATTCTCCATCGTCAAGCACGTCAGCCAACCACCGAGGAAGGCGCAAGGACAGCGGCCTCGGGAGATTTGCACGCGTAGAGACCGACACCGGCAGCGACCGCAAGTGGAAAGGGCTCATTCAGAAGATACGGTACTGTCGACAGACGAAACAAATGAAACGATGAGTGCATCTGTTCCTTCTCTCTGTGAAATTACCTATGGTGTCTTCCTGCAGCGCCAACCAGAGCGCAGCATCGGCTCAGCAGCCCTCTGCAGACCCCGGCTCCGTGCGTCCCTCCCCTCCCGCCGCCAGCCATCCTCGAGAGCCGGACCATCACGCACCCGTGGCAGCAGTAGCCGAGAGGGAGGCTGCCCAGCCAGAAGCCGAAGAGAAACAGCAGCACGGTGGCGATGGCGAAGCAGGCAGCGACACTGTGAATGACGACGAGGCGACGATGCAGCAAAGGCAGAAGGTAGAGGAGGCCGGGGAGCCTGCCATCGCCCAAGCAGCCTCAATTCCCGCTGTCGCCCCGCTATCGCAAACCACCGGCAGAGAGACGACCGGCGTGACGGCTGGCGCTTCTGAGGCCCCTGCTTACGGCGCGCAGCTAGGGGACTGCCCGCCCACCCTACCCGACATGACCCAACCGGCCCCTATCATCGCCCCGCGTGTCCTTCGACCTCCAGCCGCAGCAGCACCCCGCCCCGCTCCTCTTTCGTCTTTCTATCGGTTGTGCGACGGGCCTGGGCTGAAGCGGAAGCGGAAGAGAGCTGGGCAGGCCGAGCAGCAGGAGGAGCACCCGGATGGTGAGGATGTTGACGCAGGTGGGGCGCTGCATCTGCTGGGCCGGGGAGAGAGGGAGCGGGAGGGGCCGGGAGAGGGAGAGGGAGGAGAGGCCCATGATGATGGGGGAGGTGGTCATGGTGCTGGTGCTTCTCTTGGAGGTGGCTGCACGGCCACTGTGCTGGACACAGACACGTTCGTTCCACAACCCCGGCAGCCACGCATTATCGAGGATCAGCAATCCGACCACCACCACCACCAGCAGCAGCATGAGGAACTAGCCAATGGTGAGGCAGCGGTAGCTGATGGAGAGGGTGTGGGAGGTGCAGAGGGCGCGGAACCCTCCACCGTTGTGGGCGTGTTGGAGCACACCGCCAGTGCGGATGCGTCGGTGCCAGTTCCGAGGGTGGTGGAGCTGCGCGAGGGGACATTTGTTATCGGCAGACAGCGGGACAAAGTGGACCTCCACCTAGACAGCACGTACGTGAGTCATCTCGGGAAAGAGAAACGAGAGTACCTGTCTGTGGGTGAGAGATCTGTGTCTGTCTGTGCAGGAAGGTGCCCAACATGATCTCCCGGATGCACGCCACTATTCTGGTCGACCGCCGGCCGGGTGGCTCCCAGGGGGGGCAGGGGCAGTATGTGGTGCGCGTCATGGACACCAGGTAGACACAAGTGTGCATGGGAGTGCGAGAGCACTGAGGCCCAAGTGTTAAGTGTGTGTGTGTGCAGGTCTACCAACGGGTTGTTTGTCAATTCCGTCAAGTGCACGGACGCCATCCTCAACGACGGCGATGTCATCACACTCGGCGGTGGGAAATGTGCCCCCCCACACACATATATATGTTCAGACATGATTGATGTGCATGTTTGTGTGTCGATGGTGGTCAGGCGGTCATCATCTGGCTGTGGGTGACTCGCTCGAGCAGCCGGAGAGCGAGTTCGTGTTCACCTTCAGAAGACACAATGCTGCCTAGTCTAGTGTGCGCGCGTGTTGTGGACCAGACTCGTGGGTGAGAAGAACGCTTCCACGCAGTTGTGGGACACAGAACACGTGCATGTCTTGTTTATCTACATGTACAAAACAACACAGCGTCATGCACTCACTCAGCCACCGTCCATCCATCCATCCATCCACTCAACCATCACACGAGCCTGTCGACATGGAACTCCCTGTCGATGAGCTGTCCGATGGCGGTGCCGTTGTCGCTCATTAGGTGGTAGGCGTACTGCATGTGCAGACACCGCACGCGAGTGAAGTCGATGATTCCGCCGATGCCGCGGTGGCGCAACACGCGGGCAATCGCTGCACTAGGGGCGCTGTCTGTGTGGGGCAGGTAAGACCATCGCTCCCTACAGGCAGACACAGACAGACAGACAGTCCATAGACACGAGAGAGAGGCATCTATGTGTCCATGTGTGTGCGTACTTGATGTATCTTATGTTGTCTTGTATCATCCTGGTTTGCAGCTCTCTGTTGTTGGGGATGACGTCCTTCTCAAGCCGCTTGATCCAACCAGACGACTCGATGCGCCCTATCTCACTGATTGCACACACACACAGGGCACACACACGTGTGCATCTCTCTGTCCTTGTGCCGTTGTGTGTGGGTGGTGACTCGGTGAATGACTCACTGACGCGATGAGTGTGGGGTCAGTGAGCCAGTAGAGTGTGGGGAATGGGCTGGCCTGAAGGATGGGGCTCACCCGCAGCACCTGGGGCACCCCGCCACTGCTGTAACGACACACCTCAAACTCACCTGACACACGATACACACCATCACGCCGATGGAATATCGACACGCGCTCACGCATACACGCCCCCTTACCCAGTGGTGGTCTCTGCAGCTGCCTTTCGACCACTCTGTAGAGCTCATTGTCGGGCGGCACGGGGTGAATGCGCCGAGCAGCTATTGGCTGCTTAGACAGACACACGCGCAAACTGCCATAAATCCCCGTGTGTTCCCTGGCACCAATATGCACATACATATGCCTCGCTCACCGATTCGTCCAGTTCTGTCTGGAGGTTTGCCACACTGTCGAGCTGCTCCCTGCTCACTCCCTCTGTCCGCGGAGGCTCCTGCACTGACGCCTGAACACCCTACTCGCTCACACAAACACACAACACAAACAGCCCTCCGGAATAATGAGTCCAGCTCTTCCGTGCTTCTGGCACGCGTACTGTCGTGTGGTCAGATCTCTCCTGTTGCTGGACGCCTTCTGCCGTCCGTTGTCGCCTGACGCATGGCTGTGCTTGCTCCAGGGAAGGCCATGAGTGAATGCGCGGCATCCCTGTGTGTGGTGGGTGGAAAGCGATAGCAGAAGCGGGCACAGCGAGGTCAACCATCATGAGGGGGAGGGGGAGAAGGGGGAAATGGCGCATCTGCTGGCAGCAGCGGTTTCAGGGAGCACCTGGGATGAGCGCGCAGACGTCGGCGATCCGTCGAGGAGAAGGAAAGATCTGCGCCTTCTGCTGTTTGCAAGGCTCTAGAAGGGTGCTATGCTGAGGCATTCATGTGCTTGTGGCTTCACATTGGCCGCAGCGGACGAAGATCTCTCGGACAGCTGAGAGGATGGTTCATCACTCATGGACAGGCACCAGGCAGCTGTGTGCCTGTCCTCCTGCGTCACTGTTCTTCAAGATGCTGACCCTTCTGCTGCTGCTGCTGCTGCTGCTGCTGCTCGTAGACGGGTTCTCGTTATGTGTCGATAGCAATATGGATGCTGCGCTGAGGCGAAGGAGCTCTTCCCATCTGCTGCACTCACTCCGTCTGCATCGCAGGTGCGTACACAGACACACACATATAAGAATGGGACGCATCCATTCATTCAGTGCCTGTCTGCCTGCCTGTCTGCCTGCCTGTCTGCCTGCAGGCCAGGCTTTGTTGCCGCTCCCGTCCCTCTGCATCCCCCTCCAAGACGCTCACACCGCCCCTCCCTCCTGCATCGGCGGCTCGTCACGATGATGGCCCAGTCGCTCAAGACTCGCGTGGCAGGCCCCGACGACGAGCGCGCCCAGGCCATGGAGAAATGGCTGACCAAGGCGGGCTTCAAGAAGCGCTACCCCAAGCGCAGCTTCCTCGGCACCAGCAAGTACTTCAAGTTCCACGCCCTGTGGCACGGTCCGAGGTTTGACCCCTGGGGGGACGAGCCGCGGCCGCGGATGAACGAATACCTCAAGTGGAAGGGCATGAAGGAGCGGAGGTGCGTCGGTGGGTCGATGGGTCGGTGGGCGGGTCACTGGTGCTAGGATACAAGCACTGGGTGTGTATGTCTGTTGGGGGGGTGCAGGCGTGAAGCGGGGGTCAAGGAGGAGAAGTTCGGGCCTGACCTGCCTCGCCTGCCGAACGTGAGCTATGAGGAGCCGAAGCTGCAGGACTTTGGGAAGGCCTTTTGGCAGTGGGAGCGGCTGCAGACTGACGATGGGGTGCCCTACTTCCAGTACAAGCCTGGCGACGATATGTACCTCGACACGCCGACGACGGAGCGGCTCAAGGCCGAGTGGGGGCCGCCCGGCACCATGGAACAGATCAGACATGGTAGGCATGCTTGTCGCATAGACAGACAGACAGACATCTCTCTCCCTCTGTGTGTGTGTGTGCGAAGACCACTGGTGGAAGTTCGGTTTGTACAAGCACCAGCGGGATGACGACAGCTGCATCATCCAGAAGCCCAAGGACATTCCGGAGGAGGTCTGGATGCAGCCCAACTGGGGGCCCTGGAACGTCACTGGCATCGAATGTACACACCCACCCACCCACACAGACACATGGACACGTGAGCAAGCCCGCACATACGTGTTTGTGTGTGTGTGTGCGTGCGGATGCAACGAAGGTTACTTTGAGCAGGAGCCAGAGGGCTATGAGTTCATGCAGCATCTGTACGACCCCGCCCGCAACTACTCGTGGAGCTACAAGACATACGCGCCCTATCGGACCAAGGAAAACTGGGTACGAGCCCCCACCGACAGACAACATGCCGACGGACTGATCGCAGGCAGCTGTGTGTGTGTGTGTGTGTGTGTATCAGGCACAAGGCATCAACATGTCATGGTACATGCCCTGGAAATCCAATGACTTCAAAACAAAACGATGGTACGCAGAGAGAGAGAGAGCGCGCGCGCGAGAGAGAGGGGCGCGAGAAAGGGGTGCCTGCTGTGTCTGTGTGTGCGTGTTAAGGTATAACGACGACATGACGCCGCCCGAGAAGCCTGTCGACAATGCAACCTGGCGACTCCCGCCAACTGAAGACTACCTCATCAAAGGCACACACACACACACACACACACAGAGGGAGACACACACATATGAATGTGTTCGTGTTCTGTGTGTGTGTGTGTGTGTGCAGGTGTGCACTATGAGATGCCGACATGGTTCGACCCCTTCATCGACTCCATGTCACCGTTCGGCGCCCAAGTGCACAACAACTACTCATGCCCCACCGTCGAGACCACGTAGCGACACAGCCCCCCTCCACACACACACACACACACACATACCCTCACACAGGAGGCCGTGGTTTGTTTGTTTCTCTCCAGGTATCACGCCGATTACGCGACACACGGCCTGCGATGGAAGCGGCTCGGCACATCTGACCTGGTGGTGCCCGAGATCGGCATCGGCACCATGACATTCGGCAACCAGAATGACGAGGCATCCGCACACGAGCTGCTCGACTTCGCATATGACCGATATGGGCTGAACTTCTTCGTAATGAGGCCCTCCCCCGTGTGTGGGTTTGTGTGGGTGAATGATGCTCTTGTGGTTTGTGTGTTTGGTCAGGACACGGCTGAGCTGTACCCCCTTCCCGCGCTGCCCGCGCACTACGGCAAGGCCGAGACCATCCTGGGCAACTGGCTTGCCAAACGCGGCGAGGACAATCGCAGCAAATTCACTATCGGTACCCACCATCCACCCACACACATGCCCACACACATGCCCACGATGACATCCATATGCTTCTGTGTGTGTGTTCAGCGACAAAGGTGGCCGGCCGCAGTGACAAGCTGGGTTGGCTGCGCAGCGACCCAGGCAATGCCGGCGGCGGCACGCGGCTGTCCAAGAGGCAGATCATGCAGGCCGTCGAGGGCTCCCTGACCAGGCTGCAGACCGACTACATCGACCTCTTGCAGTTCCACTGGCCGGACCGGTATGTGCCGATGCACATGAGCGGGGACTTCTCGCAGGTCATATACGACCCCAAGGTGCGTCGCACAAGTGGAGAAGCGATTCTTGTGGGTGTGTGTGTGGAGAGAGATGGATGGATGGGTATGTGTGTCCGCTCGTGTGTGTGTGTTGGCAGAGTGAGCTTGAGGACGACATTTCGTTTGAGGAGCAGCTCGAGGCCATCAAAGAGCTGATGGACCAGGGAAAGGTCAGCCAGCCAAATGCCCACCCATGTGCGTCAGACAGACAGACACGCAATCCTGGCATGTCCGTGTCTGTGTGTGTCTGTATGTGTGTGTCTGTGTGTGTGTGTGTGTCAGATTCGTGCGTGGGGTCTGTCCAACGAGACCCCCTATGGCCTGCTGCAGTTCTGGCACCTCGCACAGGTACCAAACCCACCAAACACACGCTTACACGCGTCACGCTTACACGCGTCCATCTGTCATTTTCTGTCTGTCTGTCTGTCAGGAGCTGGGCGTCCCCCCGCCAGCCTCAGTGCAGGTCAACTACAACCTCCTAAACCGCAACGACGTCGAGAAGGGATTTGTGGAGCTCGCCAGGCCGCAAAACACCGGTCTGTCTGTCTGTCTGTCTGTCTGTCAGCACCGACGCACTCACACACATCGGTGTGGTGTGTGGTCAAATCAGGCATTGCTTTGTTGGCGTATTCGCCGCTGGCCGGGGGCATTCTGAGCGGCAAGTATCTTGAGACAGTTGACTACCCGACGAGAGGCCGGATGCTCAAATTCCCGTCCTACATGAAGAGATACCGGTGGGCAGACGCACCGCCGACACACGGACCTGTGTGTGTGTGTATGTGTGTGTGTGTGTGGATGTGTGTGTTTAGGGCGTCTCTGGCGGCCCGGACAGTGGTGGAGCTGCACAAGTCGGCAATGTTCCACGGACACCCGTAAGTAATAAATAAGCTGACAATCTCCCTCCCAGTCTCACACCCACACCCACGGCAATCCCTGTTTGTATGTGTGTGCGTGTTTGTGTGTGCATTCCTTTCCTTCAGGAATCTCTCCCACCTGTCGCTGCAATGGGTCTATAGCCGGCCATTCGTGTGCAGCACGGTGAAGAGCCAATGAATGCCATGGCCCATACCAACCACACAGACAGACAAGGAGCCACATGCGCGCGCGTGTGTGTGTGTGACGGCAGCTGATAGGTGCGACGGATTTGTACCAGCTGAAGGAGAACATCTGCATAGTGGGTCGGCGGATGACCGACTACCAGGAGAGGGACGTCAACGCCATCTACTGGCGACGGAGGGACATGCTCAGGATCATCCAGTAGATAGACTGATGGATGGAATGAATGGACAGACGCTGTGTGGCTGTCTGTGCGGTCGGTCGTCGGCTGTTGATCGAGCTGTTGTCTGTCGTTGTGTGTACATAATTTGCTATAGCTAGATGGCACATACATGTGAATTAGGACGTACAGTGCGTGTGGACGTGTGTGTCGTTCGTGCTGGTTTGAATCCATTTAGTCAGTGTGTAGTGAGTGGTCAGGCAGCCCAGCCACGGCTCCCACGCTCTTCAACCCACCCCATTTACTTCTCGCTCAATTGGTCTGTCTACTTAGGTCTGTCTGCTTCCCAGCCCGCCCGACTTCCCGTCCGTGCCACCCCGACCGACGTACCCACCTCACCAACACTGATCATGATCCCGGTCATGTCATGCAGCTGGCTGCTACGACCCCACTCTGGCCCGCTTGCTGTCTCTCGCCCCATCAACCTCCGCACCCGCATTACCCTCCTGCCCCTCTGAGGTATTCTGGAAGAATAGCTTGGTGAGCTCCACAAAATCGGCCGGTCTGAGACGATCATAGACACGCCCAGTGGGGGCGTAGCGGAAGTACCGCGGGTAGGCGGGTCGCTTCTCGCCCTCCACGTATACGGGGTAGATGTGCGAGGGCTGCTTCTTCCCTTTGTGCTCTGTGCTGTCGTCTTCGGATCCGCCTAAGTCCTCGGGCGAGGATGAATTGTTGTTGGGGCTTTTCCCCAGACCACCAATACCACCAATGCCACTACCTGACAGGGACAGAGGGGAGGCGTGTGAGCGCTCTGATCATGTCAGAGTGCCACCTTCAGCCCGCGTGTGTCCCTGCATAGCCTTGTCTACGGCCTTGTTCGCCCCAGAATCGCCAACTGCATCCTCCTCTGCATGAAATGGACACACGCAGAGAGAGAGAGAGAGAGACATTATGGCTGCGCACCCTTCCATCGTTCTTGGCGAAACGTACCGAGAGCCTCATCCGACATGTTCACCGTAGCCCTACGCCCCACCCCCACCCCAAGCACCTCCCCCCTCCAATCACACAGCCCCATGCGCACCGGCATGCCCCCGTCCAGCAGACCCACATCTGCTTTCTCGCCACGTGCTGCCCGTGCCGTGAAGACGCCGTGCTGGTCGATGACGCTCAGGTACGATCGTGCCCACACGAAGGGGGCCTCGTTCTGGTACCTGAATAAGAGGACAAAATGGATGGACTCTTGTGGGTGTTTGCATTGCAGGGTTGCAGAAGCCAGCCGGCCAGCGTGCAGGCTATGTAGGTACTTTTTGATAAAGCCCAGGCGGTGCAGGGCTTTGCTCTTGGAGATGATGCCGTCCTCGGGGTTGTGGATGAAACACATCTTGCGCCACTGTCGGTGCATGTGTGTGAAAGGAGCATATGACACAAATCAAAGTCGACCATCTGAGTGGCATGATCATTCTTTCGTGTGAGCTTTTCAGTAAAAATCACCTCAGGGGTCTTGGTCATGAGGCCCAGTATGGCCGTGTGCTCACGACACGAGGTGGCGTTCTTATTCATCAGATACGATAGCATGTGCTCGTCCTGCAACCCATGGCAAATAAAGAAACACACGCCCCAAATGCTGCCGTGGGTGGATTTCGTCTCAGCGCATCGGATCTGTCATGCCTACCAGCGGCCTGCTCCATGTGGTCTTGCCATCTACCCATATGCTCTCGGCCGGCAGGTCGTCGAATGAGATCGGGGCTTGCTCGTCACCAGGATGATATCGATGCGATGAGAAGGGAGGGATGGACGAGGGCCCCGGGCGAGGAACGAACGAATCCATCCCCGCCCCACCGCCCCGAAGCTGCTGTAGTAAATTCTCATTTTTCCGCGTTGAGTAAGATGTCCTACTCGTGAATCAGATGTGTGTAGGGGTGTGTGAATGCATACGTTGGACGAACGCGGATGAATGTTCACGTCGATTAATTTTTCTGCACCTGTCCAAGTATGTTCATGTCTCGTGTGTCTGAACTGCGGCGTGTCCGTCAGCCGACCGAGATCTCCTACCTGTCTCTACCTGCCTGTTTGTCCGACAAAAGACTGCCGTCATAGATAGATAGTCACAGGGAAAGTCGAGAGACACCTTCCTTGAGTGTCGCACACGAGCTGTTACTAGATTGTACAAAAATCTCAGTAGGCACCGCCACTGGTCTTCTCTTGTCCTGGCTCGTTTCGTCACTCCTCCCCTTCACTCGACGCACATTATGCAACGGAGAGGAGGACAATCACACACACACACAGAGACATGCAGACTGCGAAGGGCACTTTCTCATGCAACAGTAAACGAGGCTGGGCACGACGTCACACGGCCAGCCTAAGCAGCCTCACACACACACAGGGACTGGCAAACGGCCCGCTCGCTGTGGTCGCAAAAATCTGGTGAGTTCGTTGCCTACGGCTTGAAAATCTGGTAAGACAGGCAGGCAGGCAGGCACGACGAATCGGGCAAAGACGAATGGGTAATGGCTAATGTCATCAGAGAAGTACAGGAAGCAATTCTCATTGTAATACGGTGCATGCCGAATATCTCACGGCTTTCATACCCACCTCTCTCCACTCAGTCCATATCGCTCTTCCGTGTCTCTCTCTGCAGCAAGACATCAGTCCTTCTGCTGCGGCCGACAAACAAACAATGGATCGCCACAAAGGGGGAGAGAGAGGACGAACGAATTGCTCCCGTGGGTGGTGAGTACTGAGTAGTTAGTGTGAGTGAGTTGAGTAGTTTAGTGGCGGGGGGTTGGCGGGGGGCGGCTAAATCCTATGCATGCAGCCACATACGGGGGGAGGGACGGGTGGGCTCTCTCAGCTCTCTGTCACTTCATGGGCACACACACGCGCCGGTGCACAACAAAAGCAGGGAGAGATGGAAGAGCATGCGCAGGTGTGGACAAGGGAGGGAGGGAGGGAGGGAGGGACCGGACGGCGGCGAACATTACGGAGAGGGAGACGAGTGTGGGGAGGGAGACGAGAAGAGACCAAGAAGCTTCATGCCGACACACACGCGTGTATGTGCCTATGTCACTGCCGTACGACACATCTCTCAGGCAGCCTCACACAGTGGGCAGCAGCAATCAATCAGTCAGAAGGCAGGCAGGCAGGCAGGGAGGCGACACGCACCCAGACACCCTAGAGACCCGAGAGAGCGCAAGACCAGGTAAGGCATGGCAAGACAAGACAGTAGGACGGTAAGACGGCTGAAAGGCAACTAGTGGGTCACTGAGTCGGTAACTCTCTTGCACACACACGGCATGGCATTGACTACAGAGAAAACTCGGCACACTCACAAAACGACAGATACGGACGCGATTCGGTAGTTGCGAGAGTATCTTTGCGTGTCGCTTCTTGTGTCGGAAACGAGCCCTCCTCCTTAGCTCTCAGCCCACACGAGGGACAGACAAGGAGGGCAGAAGGAGAATGCCCAAAAAAGGCTGTCTTGCCCCTATGTCCTCCCTGACACCACCGAGTGTTCTTGCTTTCCTTTAAGACGAGGCCCCGTTTCGCCCTGAAGCGCTCGCAGGGACACACACACACACATACATACGCAGCCACACGCACGCGCGCACACACAGACACACATGGCCAGACGCGAGTCAGACATACGCGCCCACTCACACACGCATTTCATTGACTAGCACACCGAATGCCGTTGATGAATCAACCGGCTGGCTGCGCGGGTGCGGCGGCGAAAAAGAAAGCAGAAATCCCGCGCACACACACATGCATCAAGTCGCCGCCCCCGCCCCTCCCATATACGTCGATTAAATAGAGATATGGCGGTGCGAAGAGGCGACACAACACAAGACAACACGGCACATACAACTACGGTACAACACGGTGGCAAAGGAATAAGTCACCAAGGAGTAAGTCGGTCCTCGTGCACCCAGCCAGCCACCGACCCTTTCCGCTCTCTCCCCCGTAATCAAAAGACATCCTTCAACTCAACTGGTATTCTGTGCGACTCACGCGCCGTAGAAATATGCACTGAGGCAGTCAGTCAGTCAGTCAGTGTGTATGTGTGCAGCGTGGATGCAGGTCAGTCAGGGATCCCCACCCTCCTGCGTCTCCTGTGCCATTTATATTTGCGTCCTTGGCCATTCTCTCAGAGCCCCCCCTCCTCGTCGATCAGACCCCTCGGCAGTGCCACATGACGCTCGCGGTCCGTGAGTGTGGTGTGGGGCGTGGGACTGGCCTGTCGGTAGCTGTAGGCGGCATCACTCGCTGCCTGTGGGAAGCAGAATGACGGTGCCGACGAGCCAGAACGGGACCAGCTGGACGAAGCTGAGCCATCCATCACACCAACACAACACACATTACACCCACCTCTTCAACCCCACCCGTCCCCCCTGCTGACCCTGCACAACGGTAGAGAGGTCGCTGCTGATGGTGAAGCCCACTCCCCTGCCCATGCCCATGCCCATCTGCACACGACCGCTGTTCACCTCGTCATGCGGGCTGGGCACGGTCACGATGTGTGTCGGCGATGGCAGTGCGGCGAGTGGCGGTGGGGGTGGGGGTGGGGGTGTGGGTGTGAAGCCGCCCTGGCTGCTGGTGCGACCGGCCTCGGGTATCGGGTGCTTGCTCAGCGAGTCCAACACGATGGGCAGGGCCGTCTCGAGGATGGTGGGTTGCAGGGCCTTAATGATCTGGTCGTCGGCGTGTTCGAAGTATCGCGACAGGGCGTGCAGCGCCGCCGTCGCCTCCTCAATGTTGCTGACCACCAAGGGGGGGCGCGCCGTCGACTCCAGAGGAACCAGCTCGCTGTCCGCGAGTGACATGGGGGTTGCAGGAGACGCGTGTGTTGACGCCGGTGTGGCCTCCTCCAGTATGTGGCCCACATTGGCCAGGTTGTGCAGCACGTCGGCACAATCGGTCTCGGGCAGGCTGCGAAGGGCGTCGAGTATCCTGGTGAGTTGGTCGTTTGGCTGGTGTGCGATGGGGAGGGCTATGGGTGGTGGCGGGGGCACGTTGGGTCTGGTGGTCGCGGACCGGGGGATTGGTGACACCTGTCGGTCGTTGCTGCCTTTGGTGGGGCCCTCGACCCGAATGACGCCCTCGATGGGGGGCAGCTCGATGCCGTCGTTGCGGTGGTACTTGAGGTACATCTTGTACTGGTGATCGGGGCGGTCTGCACACACACACACACCCACACACACACACAAACACACACACACAAACACACACAGAGAGGTGCCCACAAAGTGGGTGGAGATAAGGTGTTTGTTCCGTGTCGGTTTGTCCCTGACGTATGCGGCGGTCTGCGCGGCTGTGGACGAACGGGCAGTAGGGCCTTTTGCAGTACGTGCCTTTTGAGTGGTACGACGGGCACGCACGGGTCTTGTAAAACAGCGGGTGATAGAATATCTCCTCTGCAGCACAGTCATGACACACACACTCGCATATCCACTTATGTCACCACGCCATGTGTGTCTTCTCTCTCTGTCCCCCTTGCTCACCGGCCGAGTGCGAGTACGGGCATTTGGCGCCCAGCTTGCAGGTGTTGGACAGAATGGACGTGTTGGACAGAATGGCCTCGGGCCTGAAGTCGATCTGGACGTCTGGGCACTGCACATGGCAGTACTTGATGGCGTCGCTGCTGTTGTGATAGAACACACGCCGTCTCGTCCACTCGGTTGTGTGCGAGAAGTTACACTGAGCTCCAAGGTTGCACCGCCCCCTTGCTAGCAGCGGGCATTTGGTCGTCTTGAACGTCCGCAGTTTCTCATCAGGCAGGAGCCTAGTGCTGTTCATGCCGGCGACGTATGCGACAAGTGCCTGCACACCAGACACGCAGAACACGTCTGTGTGTGTGCGAGATCTTCACTGCCTGACCCTTGTGTGTGTCTTCAACGTTCTCGTACCGATGATGGCAGGGCTGCAGGACATTCGCAGCCGACGAGTGCCACCCACCGGATGTGACCCGCAGCTCGTCTGCAAGAGCAAGCGACAGGCAGAGCCTGCGGTGCGAGTCAGACGTTCAACTTGGTAGACAGACAGGCAGACAGACGAATAAATGGGCAGGCAAGCAGGTATGCCTGCGAGCAGGCAGAGAGGTGGGAGTTGTTGACGGGTCGGCAGTAGTCGGCAGAAAACTATTATTCCATGGAGGAGGGTGGCACGGTGGTTAAGGGCACGCCAAAATTCAAGCTCGCTAACGGCTAACGGCTGTGTCCTCTCTGTCTTTCCTTTCTTTCCTTCCCCTGTGACGTGACGGGCAGCTGATGACTGCACGGCATCGCATCTTGGCTGGCCTTGCTGTCCGTCCATCTGATCAGAGCCGGCCGAGAATGGCGAGATGATTGAAATGCCAGGACAATGAAGGTCGACGTTGATGCTTGATCAATCAATCAATCAATCATTCATTCACCATCGCAAAGAGGTCTCAGAAGTCAATGACTCATTCAATCATTCGTTGACTCATTCATTCATTCAATCAATCACTTTCTGGCCATTCTCG